GCATAGTGTGATAATACGATGCAACTTTTCTAACGTAAGTCTCAAAGTCGCAACGTTTCATATTTTCCATTTTTTGTCTTTTTGATGTTTTGCGAAGTTTGTCTCTCTTTGATTTTCTTTTTGGTTATGAAAAGCGTCTTGGGTTTTTTTTATTGCAACATACAGTTTTTGAGCATTATCTGGCTCAATCGAAACTTAATTTTTATGTTGGTTGTAAATTTACCAGCTCAATTTTTTAAAACTTCCATCTTTTCCGTTTTTTAGGCTTAATAGGTTTCGGCTTTTTTATGTCGATTTGATGTCCTCTTATTGCTTCGTTTGAAAACCTAATTTTTTCTCAAGACATCGACTTTTTAACAGGCCATTTTTGGCAGTTTTTGAAAAAAACCATCTGAGAAATATTGACGTCGATAGCTTAAAATTAGCGAAGCATCTCACTGGCGATTCGTTGTTTTTATGTTTTGAGGGATTAAACTTGGGACTACTTTGGCTATAGTAATTCAATTTGTGATAATTAATGCGCAATATATTTCGATCTATATAAGCGTAAGCGGCAAATCAAATAATCTTTTATTGAATTGAGGCCAGCAGTTGGCTCTTACCAGTGCGTTATCAGAGGCAAGTTATCTCATTTTGTACTCAGCATAGCTTTTAGAGGAACAAACTTAAGAAATAAAACTTTGAAGCAATTCAAAAAATAAATGTTTTTTTTTTAACTTTCTTTTTGCACCTTCTTCAGCAAATTTTTAAAAGGCAAAAGCTTGTCGTCGACGCTGAAGGGTAATTGGAACAAACAGGGCGCTGACCTGATGCGAGAACTCTTCTTTCAATTTGAAACGATTTTGAGTGCAGTATAAATAATTCGCGTCGCTGTTTCAGCATCATATGTCTTCGAAGGACGCATATATAACGACATAACATGGCGAAGTTTGAAATTTTGGCCATTTCTAGGATGAAACACCTATTAGTTGACAAAAATCGTTGCTGGTAAATGCATTTTTACATTCGAATTCCGAGAGGCGATATCTTCTTAATTACGTTAGTGTCATCAAATCAGAACATTAACAAAGTCACTGAATTTTTTCCAGCAGCAATATCAGGTAAACATATACATATTGAGGATATTTGCATTTCGAACTCACTCCCATACAACTTGCAATTTGTATGTAGGTGGCTGCATACCAACTGAATTTTCATTATCTCCCTTTTGTTTTGTAGCTAAAAGTGTTTACTCAGCTTGAATGGTGTCAGCTAATTTCTGATTGGCTTGATTACCTCCTATTGCATCGATTGATTGGCGATAAATTTTTTTCTTCGTCGCTTTTGGATATTGAAATTTTTGAGATTTGAAGTTTTTCGACTGAAAAAACGTCTATCATTGTTATGTGGGCTTAGTTACTGATTCATAAATACTGTTCAATGCTAAGCTTCTGCTAAGATAATATCAATGCTAAGATAATTGTCTTTTTTGAATTTTTCGCCCCGAAATTAGTTTTATACAAGAGAAGAGTACTTTTGGTACTTTTTTCAATTTTTGTTCGGATCAGTTTTTTTTCTACTGAAGGATTTTTATCTAGTTTTCTTTTTGGCTAGCTTGACATGTCATAGTTGTGATTTATTACAGGTGGTTTGAAGCTCTACTCTGCTTCGTTTAAAAACTTGGGAAGCTTTCAGGCCGAAAAAATAATATATAAATATGTCACTTCTGGAAGCGTTGGTATAACCCTAAAACCCTCATCAGAGGTTTTTATAATTTCTGTTTTGCAAATTGGCGACATTCGAAGAAGAAATATAAATACAGCCAATTAGATTCCTGCTTCCGAGTAGCTCACTTTCCTAAAAGTCTAAATAGAAATTTAAATGCTGTGTCTACTTTAGTAACAAGACTGCTCGTAGTAATTCAGGGCATCGTCCTGTATCATCTTACTAATATTTAAGTGGTCTCTAATAGTTTTTACTAGATAAACTTTCGATAAAAATTAAATTTCAAAAATCAAATGAAAACCAGTTTCAATTATTGTTCCGACATTCGAAGAGAACGGAATATTTAAGCTTGGTGCGGTTTTTTTATTCAGTCAATTTTCGGCGGTCAAAATAGTAGTTTTTAACAAACATTTTTTATACCCCCTGTCTGGTCATTTTATGTCGGCTTTGTTTCCCCATCTTGGTTCTTTGAAGATGAACTTTTTCCAACATTTATTTTGATTGCCATTTGTGAATTTTATAATGGTGCAGATAATTTAAATCCAATATTTTTCATAATTGTTTTGCTCACCTTTTTATAAAAATATTGGTATCATTCACTCTGAACGCTAACTTGACAGCGTTTATTTGGAATTTTAATTTTCGTATGGAAATGCCAATATAGAGCACCAATAACAAAGTGGTGTACGCTTATTGTTCCGATTGCGACTGTTTTTTTTAGCAGACGGCATTTTTGTTCGCTTTGTTTAGGTTTTGACGTCGTTCACAAAGAATGGCGTTTGTAAAACCCGTGTTCGAGAAAACCCTTGCGGGAAAAATTGACTCGGGCACCGCGGTGTTCTCGGCTGCGATCAGTGGGAACCCGTGGCCGGAAATCAAATGGTTCATCAATGACGAATTCATCGACTCTAGCAACGATCGGTTCAAAATCGACGCCAACGAAGAAACGGGTGAAATTTCGCTAACTGTTGAAAAAATCTCCGAGTTTGGGAGTTCGGTGTACATGTGCGAGCTGACTAACCGACTTGGAACTGTGAGCAGGAAGATCAACATCAATTTGGGGGGTGCGAAGAAAACTGCTAGTGGGGAAGACATAATTCCGCCGACCTTCGAGATTCCACTGAAGCCGAAGATTGAGAAGACCACCGGAACCTTCAGTTGCAAGGTCGCTGGGTATCCGAGACCTGCTGTTAAGTGGTTTGTGAACAACGAAGAAGTTGAGGACGATGAGATACATAAGATAACGTACCTCGAAGACGGAACTGCGACGATGGTAGTTCCAGATCTGACTGACATTGGAACTGCGGCCTACAGATGTGAAATATCGAATGAAGGAGGAACTGTGAAAAGTGGAAAGTTTGACCTCAAGGTCCCGAAGAAAGACGATAACATGAAACCGAAGTTTGTGCAGCAAATCAAACCGCAAGTCATGGGCCAAACTGCTACGTTTGAGGCCAAGGCTACTGGAAAACCGATGCCGAATATCCAATGGTTCGTGAACGACGAAGAAATAACTGGAAACGACGAAAATTTCACGCTTGAAGTGGACATCGAGAGCGGTTCCACGAAGTTGAAAATAGCCGACATTTCCAAAGTCGGACCGGCGAAGTATGTTTGCAAAGCAAGCAATGCTAGTGGAAGTGCTTCTAGTATAGTAACAATTGGAGGCGAAAGCAATCAAAAAAAAGACGAGAGCAACGAAGCCGACAAGCCGAAGTTTGTTGAGCAGATGAAACACAGTGTGCAGAAGTCGGATATCCTGTTAACAGCTAAAATAAGTGGATCTCCTGTGCCGAATATAAACTGGTATGTTAACGGTCAACTAGTCGTTGATGACGGAGGCGAAACGTTCAAGGTCAGCTGCGACGCAGAATTGAATATTTCTTTGTTGGTCAAAAACTTTCGGCAGTACGGCAACACCGAGTACAAAGTTGTGATTTACAGTCGTAGAGGGAGCGCTAAAAACCGACTCGAGTTGACGCTAAATCCGAACGACCCGCCGGCTCCTAAAACGGACGACCCAGATTTCTCTGCAATGCGACCGAAATTCGTAGAGCCTCTGACGCCAAATATAACCGACCGAGATGTTCAGGTTGAGGGAAGAGTTGTCGGCCAACCCTTGCCGAACCTAACGTGGACTGTGAACGACTCAGAAGTTTCTTACGATGACACAAGGTTTGATTTAGATTACCAAGCGACGGGAATTATCGTGTTCCGACTCCGGAACCCATCCGAGTTCCAAGGGGGAAAAGTTTCGATAGTCTGCGTCGCGGCGAACGACAAAGGTGAGACTACAAGTCGAGTTCAGATCGACCTGACAAAATTCAAAGCTCCGGTCGATCAGAAACAAGAAGAAAAGGTTACAAACTTGTTAAGCAAACCGATTTCAAGTGGACTGAAAAATGGTCGACAGTACTTTGACTTTCAGGTTAAGTCAAAGCCGAACACCGTTATGTTTTTCATTGACGGCGAGGCCTATGCTGATAAACACAAGACTTTCTTCAGACTTGAGTTTGAATGGAGTACTTTAACAGCGTTTGGTGAATGCTTACAACAGCCAAAGTATGTCACTCAAGTTGAAATAAAAGTAGTCGTGACCATAAAAGGTGTTGAACAAACATGTACGCACACGTTTCAGTTTGACAAAGCGCTTGGGGATGAAGAAGTCATTGACGATGAAGTGAAACCAGATTTTGAGAGACCTAGGCAGTCTTTGCAGAAGCGGAAGCTTCCTTCAGGAGCTGCAAGAGCTTCAGGGCCAATGCAGTTTTCTTTGCCTCAAGATGACGTAATTGAGTTGGTGATCAATTTCGAAGGTGACAGGCCCTCGGGAAAATGGACCATTGATGGAAAAGATGTCTCAAAGATGCCGGACGCAAAAGTTACAACTAGAGACAACAAAGCGATTCTGATCTTGAAAAATCGAGAGAAGTATCTGACTTCTGACATCGTGTTCACAATTGATAACAATATCTCCACGGCCAATAATTCATTCACGATTCAGCAAAACAGACCTGTTCTTTCTGAGAATCTAATAGACAAAAGCATTAAGAAGAAAAGCCCCTCAGATGAAGCGCCCAAATTTGTCAGCAAATTTACAATCAAAAGGGTCAAAATGGTGTGCATCATTGAAGGAAAGATTGTTGGAAAACCAGGTACTATGATAACCTGGTTCAAAAATGGACAACCTCTCGACCCCAAGGATCCAAAGTTCAAACAAGTGAGTAAACCAGATGGTACAGTTTCGATCGATGTACCAGATAATGAAACAGAAAGCGGTCTGGATCTCACGCTCATAGCTGAGAACTATCTAGGGACAATTGAGCAATCTTTTGTGCTAATAGGTCAAAATCCCAGAGATGTGAACTATCTGGATTCAACTCAATTGTTGCTCCTTTTCCTCTCGGATCCCAGTTTGAGAGAATTTTTGGAAAGTTTTTTGCCGGATGAATTGAGACAGGCTTTGTGCAAACCAAAAGAACAAAAGAAAGAGCCAGAAAAGAAAAATGAGCCTGAAAAGAAAGAACCAGAAAAGAAAAAAGAGCCTGAAAAGAAAGATCCAGAGAAAGAGAAACCAGAAAAAAAGAAAGACGATGAAATAGATGATGACGTAGTTAAACCAGTAGCCGAGAAGCCGCGACAAATGGTTCCCAAACGAAAACTTCCTAGTAACGCTGCAAGACCCACTGGCCCTATGAGGTTTTCTTTGCCAGAAGAAGACGTTGTCGAATTTCTTATTGACTTTGAGGGCAAAGAACCCAGTGTGACATGGACTATTGATGGGAAGGAACCTTCAAGAGTATCAGATGCAACAGTCATTACAAGAGGCAATACTGCTGTTCTGAAACTTAAAAACAAAGATAAATACATCAACTCCAGCATTAATTTAACAGTCAATAATAAAATATCCACAACAAGCAATTCGCTTGTGTTTAAAGAAAACAGACCAATTGTTTCTGAAAGTGTTCTGGATAAGACGATCAAACGAAACGGAATGAAAGATGAAGCGCCGAAAATTGTCTCTGATTTTACAATCAAACGTGTAAAAACAGTGGTTGTAATTCAAGGAACAATATCTGCAACGCCAATGCCAAATTTCACATGGTATAAAAATGGAACTCCGATTACGCCCAGAGATAAAACGCTCAAACAATCATCTAAGCCAGACGGAACAGTAACTATTGAAGTGCCTGATAAGGAAACCGAATGTGGTATTGAAGTTATTTTAGTTGCTGAAAATTACATGGGAGCCATAGAGCAATCATTTATTCTGCTAGAAGACAATCCAAATCCCAGGAAAGTAAATGCTCTCGATTCAACTCAAGTTTTGCTGTTGTTTTTGGCTGATCCGAAACTTAAAGATATGCTGAAGCAGCTGATACCTCTAGATCTTCTGCCTGAAGGAAGGGCCAAGAAAAAAGCACCACAAGACGAAGAAGTCGACGAAGACGAAGAACCAGCGAAAGACAACAAAATGGCTGAGAGTTCGAAACCTCTCACCCCCAGACATAAAGATTTCCCTAAGCGGAAAGAAAATGAACCGAAGCTAAGACCTGTTGACAGAAAAGATGTTCCACAAGGTGCAGCATTGATTAAAAGACCCATCGAGCCGATAGTCAAAGACGATGAATTGATTTTCAAAGTTCAAATTGATGGAAAAGATCCAAAAATATCGTGGTTAATAGATGGTAAAGATCCAAAACTCAACAAGGATGCCAAGGTAGAAGTTAAAGGGAACACAGCTTATTTGACATTGAAGAACAAAAACAAGCATATCAAGAGCGAAGTGAAGTTCACAGTTGAAAACGATAAGTGTCAGTCAAACAATACGTTTACCGTAAAAGACAAAAGGCCAGTGATTTCAGATGGTTACTTGGATAAAACTATCAAGAAAAAAGCAAGCGTAGACGAAGGTCCAAAAGTTGCGACTCCATTTACTGTTAAGCGGGTAGGAAAGACGTCAATTATTGAAGGAAAACTTGGAGGACGTCCGGAATCTACTATTACCTGGACTATCAATGGTCACCGTCTCGACCCTAAAGACCCCGTTTTCAAGCAAACGAAAAAATCGGATGGTACTCTTATAATGGAAGTTCCCGATGATGAGACTGAAAATGGCCTGGAGCTAGTTGTTCTTGCCGATAACTATTTAGGCTCAATTGATTATACGTTTGTACTAAGTTCAGATAAACCAAAGAGCTGGGACCTGGACCAAAATTTAGGAGCCTTGCTGTTGATGGCCGATCCAGGCTTCGAAGAAACGTTGGATAACTTTGATTTCTTCAACGAGTATATCCCCCAATTGTCTTCGGTTGAATTCGATGAACAGCAAAATAGTCTAAAAGTTACTGAAACAAGCGAAGAGTTTGATAAGCCAAAAGAGGAGGCAAACAAACAGAAAGAACCTGAAAAGAAAAAAGAGGAGAAGGTTATCGAAGAAGAGGAACTGAAACCTATTGCACAGAAGCCACGTCAATCGGTTCCCAAGCGAAAACTTCCGAATAACGCAGCTAGGCCATCTGGTCCAATGCGATTTTGTCTACCAGAGGAAGACGTGGTCGAGTTTCTCATAGACTTTGAGGGTAAAGAACCCAGTCTTACGTGGACAATCGATGGAAAGGAACCATCTCGAGTTTCTGATGCAACAGTTACCACAAGAGGCGATACTGCTGTCTTGAAGCTGAAAAATAAAGACAAATATATCAACTCGAACATTAACCTGATAGTCAATAACAAAATATCAACCACAAGCAACTCGCTGGTATTTAAAGAGAACAGACCGATTATCTCGGAAAGCATTCTGGACAAAACAATAAAGCGAAATGGAATGAAAGATGAAGCGCCTAGAATTGTGAATCCCTTCACCAATAAGCGTTCAAAAAACACAACTGTCATTCAAGGAACAATTGTTTCTACGCCAATGCCAACCTTTACATGGTACAAAAATGGAACACCAATAACACCAAGGGATAAAACTTTCAAACAGACGAATAAGCCAGATGGAACTGCCATTATTGAAATTCCGGACAAAGAAACAGAAAACGGAGTCGATTTGGTTCTGTTGGCGGAAAACTACATGGGAACAGTTGAGCACTCTTTTGTATTGTTAGAGGACAATCCAGACCCAAGAAAAGTCAACTCTCTCGATGCTAGTCAAGTTCTCTTACTGTCAATGTCTGATCCGAAATTGAAAGATGTTCTGAAACCGCTCTTACCAGCTGATCTTTTACCCCAAGCGAAACCGCAAAAGAAGCAGCCGGCTAAAGAAGAGGAAGACGAAGAAGTTGACGAAGACGAAACTCCGACTAAGGATAATAAAACAGCCGAAAGTGCCAAGAAGAAACCAAAGGAGGAACCGAAGAAACCAGACATGCCCAATGGTACCGCAAAGAAACCGCGAAGTAAACAACTGGCTGAAAATAAACCAGAGGGTCCTAAATTGAGGCCTGTTGATCGAAAAGAAGTTCCAAAGGGCGCAGCAGTTATCAGAAAACCTATAGAGCCAATTGTTACGGACGATGAAGTTATTTTCAAAGTCGAATTCACTGGAAAAGATCCCAAAACTTCGTGGTTGATTGACGGCAAAGATCCGAAAACGAACAAAGACGCAACGGTTGAAGTTAAAGAAAATGTCGCTTACTTGACCTTGAAAGACAAGAAGAAGTATATCAGGAGTGATATTAAGTTCACAGTCGAAAATGATTCCACCCAATCCAACAATACGTTCACTGCGAAAAACAACAGACCGGTCATCTCGGACGGGTTTGTTGATAAAACAATTAAGAAAAAGGCGAGTGCTGACGAAGGACCAAAAATTGTGACACCTTTTACAGTAAAGAGAGTCGGAAATACGTCTGTTATAGAAGGAAAACTAGGAGGAAGCCCTGAGCCGACAGTTAACTGGACCATACATGGCCAACCCCTCGATGCTAAAGATCCAATTTTCAAACAAACAAAGAAACCAGACGGTACATTTGTAATGGAAGTACCAGATAGTGAAATTGAGAATGGTTTGGAGCTAGTGGTAGTTGCAGAAAACTACTTGGGATCTTTTGACTACACTTTTGTGCTCAGTTCCGACAAACCCAAAAGTTGGGATTTGGATCAGAACTTAGGAGCTTTGCTTCTGATGGCTGATCCAGGGTTCAAAGAAACGTTGGATAATTTTGATTTCTTCAACGAGTATATCCCGCAACTGTCTCTGAGTGACTTTGACGAACAGCAAAATAATCTAAGAGTTACTGAAACAAGCGAAGAGTTTGATCAGCCAAAAAAGGATGCCAGCAAACAAAAAGAACCCGAAAAGAAAAAAGAGGAGAAGGTTATCGAAGAAGAGGAACTGAAACCTATTGCACAGAAGCCACGTCAATCGGTTCCCAAGCGAAAACTTCCGAATAACGCAGCTAGGCCATCTGGTCCAATGCGATTTTGTCTACCAGAGGAAGACGTGGTCGAGTTTCTCATAGACTTTGAGGGTAAAGAACCCAGTCTTACGTGGACAATCGATGGAAAGGAACCATCTCGAGTTTCTGATGCAACAGTTACCACAAGAGGCGATACTGCTGTCTTGAAGCTGAAAAATAAAGACAAAAATATCAACTCGAACATTAACCTGATAGTCAATAACAAAATATCAACCACAAGCAACTCGCTAGTATTTAAAGAGAACAGACCGATTATCTCGGAAAGCATTCTGGACAAAACAATAAAGCGAAATGGAATGAAAGATGAAGCGCCTAGAATTGTGAATCCCTTCACCAATAAGCGTTCAAAAAACACAACTGTCATTCAAGGAACAATTGTTTCTACGCCAATGCCAACCTTTACATGGTACAAAAATGGAACACCAATAACACCAAGGGATAAAACTTTCAAACAGACGAATAAGCCAGATGGAACTGCCATTATTGAAATTCCGGACAAAGAAACAGAAAACGGAGTCGATTTGGTTCTGTTGGCGGAAAACTACATGGGAACAGTTGAGCACTCTTTTGTATTGTTAGAGGACAATCCAGACCCAAGAAAAGTCAACTCTCTCGATGCTAGTCAAGTTCTCTTACTGTCAATGTCTGATCCGAAATTGAAAGATGTTCTGAAACCGCTCTTACCAGCTGATCTTTTACCCCAAGCGAAACCGCAAAAGAAGCAGCCGGCTAAAGAAGAGGAAGACGAAGAAGTTGACGAAGACGAAACTCCGACTAAGGATAATAAAACAGCCGAAAGTGCCAAGAAGAAACCAAAGGAGGAACCGAAGAAACCAGACATGCCCAATGGTACCGCAAAGAAACCGCGAAGTAAACAACTGGCTGAAAATAAACCAGAGGGTCCTAAATTGAGGCCTGTTGATCGAAAAGAAGTTCCAAAGGGCGCAGCAGTTATCAGAAAGCCAATAGAGCCAATTGTTACGGACGATGAAGTTATTTTCAAAGTCGAATTCACTGGAAAAGATCCCAAAACTTCGTGGTTGATTGACGGCAAAGATCCGAAAACGAACAAAGACGCAAAGGTTGAAGTTAAAGACAATGTCGCTTACTTGACCTTGAAAGACAAGAAGAAGTATATCAAGAGTGATATTAAGTTCACAGTCGAAAATGATTCAACCCAATCCAACAATACGTTCACTGCGAAAAACAACAGACCGGTCATCTCGGACGGGTTTGTTGATAAAACAATTAAGAAAAAGGCGAGTGTTGACGAAGGACCAAAAATTGTGACACCTTTTACAGTAAAGAGAGTCGGAAATACGTCTGTTATAGAAGGAAAACTAGGAGGACGCCCTGAGCCGACAGTTAACTGGACCATACATGGCCAACCCCTCGATGCTAAAGATCCAATTTTCAAACAAACAAAGAAACCAGACGGTACATTTGTAATGGAAGTACCAGATAGTGAAATTGAGAATGGTTTGGAGCTAGTGGTAGTTGCAGAAAACTACTTGGGATCTTTTGACTACACTTTTGTGCTCAGTTCCGACAAACCCAAAAGTTGGGATTTGGATCAGAACTTAGGAGCTTTGCTTCTGATGGCTGATCCAGGGTTCAAAGAAACGTTGGATAATTTTGATTTCTTCAACGAGTATATCCCGCAACTGTCTCTGAGTGACTTTGACGAACAGCAAAATAATCTAAGAGTTACTGAAACAAGCGAAGAGTTTGATCAGCCAAAAAAGGATGCCAACAAACAAAAAGAACCCGAAAAGAAAAAAGAGGAGAAGGTTATCGAAGAAGAGGAACTGAAACCTATTGCACAGAAGCCACGTCAATCGGTTCCCAAGCGAAAACTTCCGAATAACGCAGCTAGGCCATCTGGTCCAATGCGATTTTGTCTACCAGAGGAAGACGTGGTCGAGTTTCTCATAGACTTTGAGGGTAAAGAACCCAGTCTTACGTGGACAATCGATGGAAAGGAACCATCTCGAGTTTCTGATGCAACAGTTACCACAAGAGGCGATACTGCTGTCTTGAAGCTGAAAAAGAAAGACAAATATATCAACTCGAACATTAACCTGATAGTCAATAACAAAATATCAACCACAAGCAACTCGCTAGTATTTAAAGAGAACAGACCGATTATCTCGGAAAGCATTCTGGACAAAACAATAAAGCGAAATGGAATGAAAGATGAAGCGCCTAGAATTGTGAATCCCTTCACCAATAAGCGTTCAAAAAACACAACTATTATTCAAGGAACAATTGTTTCTACGCCAATGCCAACCTTTACATGGTACAAAAATGGAACACCAATAACACCAAGGGATAAAACTTTCAAACAGACGAATAAGCCAGATGGAACTGCCATTATTGAAATTCCGGACAAAGAAACAGAAAACGGAGTCGATTTGGTTCTGTTGGCGGAAAACTACATGGGAACAGTTGAGCACTCTTTTGTATTGTTAGAGGACAATCCAGACCCAAGAAAAGTCAACTCTCTCGATGCTAGTCAAGTTCTCTTACTGTCAATGTCTGATCCGAAATTGAAAGATGTTCTGAAACCGCTCTTACCAGCTGATCTTTTACCCCAAGCGAAACCGCAAAAGAAGCAGCCGGCTAAAGAAGAGGAAGACGAAGAAGTTGACGAAGACGAAACTCCGACTAAGGATAATAAAACAGCCGAAAGTGCCAAGAAGAAACCAAAGGAGGAACCGAAGAAACCAGACATGCCCAATGGTACCGCAAAGAAACCGCGAAGTAAACAACTGGCTGAAAATAAACCAGAGGGTCCTAAATTGAGGCCTGTTGATCGAAAAGAAGTTCCAAAGGGCGCAGCAGTTATCAGAAAGCCAATAGAGCCAATTGTTACGGACGATGAAGTTATTTTCAAAGTCGAATTCACTGGAAAAGATCCCAAAACTTCGTGGTTGATTGACGGCAAAGATCCGAAAACGAACAAAGACGCAAAGGTTGAAGTTAAAGACAATGTCGCTTACTTGACCTTGAAAGACAAGAAGAAGTATATCAAGAGTGATATTAAGTTCACAGTCGAAAATGATTCAACCCAATCCAACAATACGTTCACTGCGAAAAACAACAGACCGGTCATCTCGGACGGGTTTGTTGATAAAACAATTAAGAAAAAGGCGAGTGTTGACGAAGGACCAAAAATTGTGACACCTTTCACAGTAAAGAGAGTCGGAAATACGTCTGTTATAGAAGGAAAACTAGGAGGACGCCCTGAACCGACAGTTAACTGGACCATACATGGCCAACCCCTGGATGCTAAAGATCCAATTTTCAAACAAACAAAGAAACCAGACGGTACATTTGTAATGGAAGTACCAGATAGTGAAATTGAGAATGGTTTGGAGCTAGTGGTAGTTGCAGAAAACTACTTGGGATCTTTTGACTACACTTTTGTGCTCAGTTCCGACAAACCCAAAAGTTGGGATTTGGATCAGAACTTAGGAGCTTTGCTTCTGATGGCCGATCCAGGGTTCAAAGACACCCTGGAGGATTTCAACTTTTTCGAAGAATATGTTCCTGAAGTGTCGTTCGGCGATTTCGATGAGAATCAAGATTTTGGTCTGAAAATTACTGAAACGAATAAGGAGTTCGAACAACCAACACAGGAGGACGATGGAATTGAGAGGAAAAGAGCAGTGGAGAGACAAAGCTTTCCTGATGGGGGAGCGGCGATTACGAAGCCATTAGAACCAATTATTAACGATGACGAAATTGTTTTCAAGGTTGCTTTCGAAGGAAAGCAGCCAAAGACATCTTGGTTGATTGACGGCAAGGATCCCAAAACAAACAAAGACGCAAAAGTCGAAGTCAAAGACAATATCGCCTACTTGACCTTGAAAGACAAAAAGAAATATATCAAGAGTGATATTCAGTTCACTGTTGAGAATGACATCGCTCAATCTCACAACTCTCTGACTGTTAAAGAGAACAGACCTGTTGTATCGGAAGTGTTTGTTGACAAAACGGTCAAAAAGAAGTCAAATTTAGACGAGGTTCCCAAAATCTCGGGCCAGTTCAATATCAAGCGAGTGAAAAGTACCTCTATTATTGAAGGTAGAATTGCTGGGCGGCCACAATCTACCATAACTTGGTACGTACGTGGCGAACCTCTGGATCCCAAAGATCCTATTTTCAAACAAACTCAAAGACCGGATGGAACTGTTACCCTGGAGGTTCCAGACAGCGAAACTGAGAATGGTCTAGAAATTGTTTTTGTCGCCAAGAATTACTTGGGTTCCATAGACTACACTTTCGTCCTAATGTCCGATAAACCGAAAAGTTTAGAATTGGAATCTACACTTGAAGCGCTTCTGCTTCTTGCTGATCCAGAACTTTTGAAAACTTTAATGGTTACTTCTAAACGAGAAGAAGTTGAGGAGTATGAAGAACCAGATGAAGCGCCAAAAGAGGAAAAACTAAAGGAAACTGCAAAACCGAAAGAATCCGAGAAGCCCAAAGAGCCGGAGAAAAAGAAAGAAGCTGAGAAACCCAAGCAACCTGAAAAGAAAGAAGAACCAGATAAACCGAAAGAAGGCGACAAGACAAAAGAAGAGGAAGATCCAAACAAGCCAAAAATGGCGCTCAAGAAGAAACCACCTCCCAAGAAACCAGATGATGACAAAGATTCTTCAAAGAAAGAGTTATTTGACTCCCCTGGCATGGTAAAACTGAAACCGGCTAAGAAAAAGACAGCCGAACAGTACGAGGATCCGAACCAAGTGCAACTAAAACCTACCAGTAAGAACAAGAAAGGAGGCGACTCAAAGGATGGTTTCAATCTGAAACCATTCGATAAAGACAACGATGAGTCTGAAAAAGATCCCAAATTGAAGAAAGGTTCTATCGACAGACGGCAACCTTCGGATACATCCAAGGATAGACCAAAACGTGGTTCGCGAACGGGTCGAGATCCCACGAAGAGGTCGATTGACGACGAAGATATAGAAGACGAAGAATCAGAAGAAGAAGAAGAAGAAGAAGAAGAAGATGAAGAAGAAGAAGAAGAAGATGAGGATGTTGAGGCGAGTGAACAGAAAGTCGCACATTCGGCACCGAAAAAAGAGGAACCAGTCAAGAGTGAGTTTGGATGATCAGTTATAATTTTTAGCTCTTGCTTTTTAAAAATTCTATCTTTTTTTAAACTTTTTTAAAACTTTTTTAAAAATTCTATCACAAAGACTTGCTCGTGTCATAATTCGTTTTCCTGTCAGAAAACCAACAACCGGTAAAATATTTAACTACAGCTAGTGAAAATGAAAAGCCCATTTTTCTTGCTCACAGCAAAATTTTTGATCAGTTTGTAAGGCCTCAGCCTTCATAATGAGTTTTTTTTTTATATGAGGCATCACTAGAAGATTTGTTTAAAATAAGGCCTTTGTAGTCTTTGTGAGCTGGTTCAGTTCATAATGTCTAGTTCATGAGAATTTGTATTGTAACTTTTGATAAACAGAAGGCAAACCAAGATTTATCAGAGCGCCTGTCTCATCTGTTGCTGAACTGAACAAACCTATAACCCTCACTGCCCAAATTGAGGACGCAAATGAGGTCAAGTGGCTCAAGAACGAGAAGGAGATCCGCTCGTCACGTGACTTCAAGATAGAGAAGGATAAAGATGACAAAACTCTGCATTACTTAAAGATCCCTTCATTCACGGACTCACACGTGGGACTCTATACGTTCCAGGCGATGAATGAAAGTGGAGTGGTAAAAGGGTCTGCTCACATTAGTCAGAAAGGTGAGTTCAGCTTAAATTCAAATGAAAATTCGCCTTCTAAAATTCACCTTGTAAAGTTATTCAGCTATTTTTATTGGCTTGTTTTTAAGCTGTGTACCCTTGCGATTTACTGTACCCCCTTTGAAAACTTCACCGAATACGCACGTGAGAATTATACGCGTGTTTCAAATTGCTTTTTACCCTTGTGATAAGCCAGAGTATTGCAATCAGATACTTGAGTTTTTTCCCGTAAATAATTTTGTTCACAGCATGGTCAATTTTTTAGGAATGGTAAATTTCAAGACATGCTCAGTTTCTTGAAAATTCAAGTTAAATCCAAAGTAAATAGGTGGAGTACGTAAGTGGCGAGAACTGAAAATATTATAGAAGTTATATTAGTGTTTTTTTGCTTCATCAAGTATAAAGAAATTTACGAAAATCAATGTTTGTTGTCATTTTCCAAGTTCGTTGATAAAGTTAACGATCGATTCGTGCACATAGTTGAAGCAACTAGCCATCTTCTATTTAGTTTTTCTTGGAACTTATGAAGCGGCATTGTTCGTAATCATCTGAAAAAATTGTTTCCTTGAAATACAATACGAAAAATGGTATTTTTGTTTTTTTCATTAATAGTTTTTTATCCTTTTTCGATTTTGTGAAAGACTTTGCAATAGATGTGACAATGAATGGCTGCGCATGTTGAGTTTTGGTAGTTAATTACGCTTGCGATTAGCAAGCGTTATTCCATGTCGCGAAATACTTAAATTTTATGGTTCCGACTTTCGAAGAAAGTGAGGAATATTTTTGCTTGGTGTGGTTTTTTGCATTCAGTCAATTTTCGACTTGTCTTAACTAAATGTTTTTGACAAAAATTTTTATACCATCTGAGAGTTATTGCTCAAATTTGAAAAGATATTTTATCGGTGATGATTTTTCGTAAAGTTACGGGCGTTTGAAAATTGCTAATTTGGCCTACTTGGGATAGTTAAAGTGCGATATATTGCGTACTTATATCACGCGTAAGAAGCAAATTAATGCATTACAATTTGAATTGAGGCCAGCGATTTAATCCTGTTATCACAATTTGAGACGCTAAATACACACTTAGTGTTTTACATAGCGTTAAGGGGATAAAATGAAGCAACAAATAAAAAAAACTTTTTTTCTCAACCTTTTTGTCAATTACTCAAACGAAAAACTTCTCAATTGGCCCTAAGAGCAGTTTTTTAAATTACACTTGCGAAGCGAGTGTATTAGTACGAACCTTCTTTTTTTCCAACGTAAGTCGCAAATAAAAGTGCTACGTTTGGTGGCACTTTTGAATCGGTAGGCTGCAGTAGCAGTATAATGTCATATGTGCTTTAACATTTTGATCAGAAAAAAGTTGGTACAGTTGATGCATTTTTAATTCATCAAATGAACCGAAAAAAGTTAATTGTTTCAAGCAGCAATGCAATGATAAAAAGCTCGATTTCAGAAGTTTTCCAACACAATGTATTTCGCAATTTTTTGAAATGCATAATTTATACATAATTTGGTTTTATGCTTTCCAATTTATTACATGCAAAATTGTGTCTTTTTGTATTTGGTACTCCTTTTGAGTTATCGAATTGGCAAATTACTAAGCCGAGTTTTTACTAATTCGAGGCTTATTTCTACTTTTTCTGATTTTACTTGATAGAGCTGCTTTTTGGTCGTGTTCACGCAAGTGTTTGCGAAGAGCAGCTTCGCACCTGAGTAAATGTTTCGTTTTTGCTGTTCGTTTTTGTTTCGCATTTTGTTTCGCTTTTGCTCCGACTCGCCTCTGCATTTAAATATATTTTATTGAGCACTTGCTACCTTTTGATAAATTCCTCCAGTTTTCGATATTTTTTTCCTTTCAGATTTACATTGAGTTTCGAGAACTTTCTTGAATTAGGTTCTGCATATTTTTTCTTATCTATTAAATGAAAAATTGGTTTTCAAACATACTGATTAAGGTCTAAGGTACAAACTAAAACGGAATTCCGGGCTTTATAAATTCGATAAAGTCATATATACTTCAGTAAGTTCATTTTTGCAATTACGCGCACTTCAAGACGGTTATTTATTTTGACTGCCGTGATTTAGTTGTGAATTATTTTGTCAAAAAACATCGAGTTGTGTCAAAAACATGTGCTGCATTTGAACCATCTGATCAGTAGAAAACATTGCTCTTTTTCCAGAATTTCCCAAGAAATTTTGGACATTGCCTCCAGGTTTTAAATTGTTTATAGTAAATTACATATTTATAATAAATTGTGCCACTAAACCGATGACTCGGCAATTCGAAGTTCTATTACAAGCTATTAACACAATATAAAAATTGTTTTTCAGATTTTTTTAATCAAAATTTTCTGCCACGGTATGTATTCAAGCGTTGTAAAATTGAATTAGATACATTACAATGAACTATTTGCCTGCATTTTGATTAGGAGAATTGTATGCATTAGTTTATCAAAGTGCTTGCCCGTATTGACCGTAGAAACTTAACGAACCTTTGATAATTCATATTTTATTTCCTGCTCTTTGTTATATTCAAGCTGCCAATCTCAGTTGCAGATTGGGGTCACTTCTATAAAAATAGTCCCCTATTTTGGACCGTTGCGTTAGTTTTATACACACCTGTCATTAATTTCAGAACCCTCAGACAAACCAACACGAAAAGTAAGTTTCAGAAATAACTGAGTAATATTTAATACTTTGCTGGAATGCTAACTAGTTTTGTATCAATTATAACCACCGAATTTTGAATTGTTCATCTAGATTAGTTTTCGTGGAAAATCTTTTCTTGGTTATGCGGTTATGCAGCAACTTCAACCCAAAAATTCTTAGTTTTCAACAGATATCCTCATTAAATTAATTTGTTCAAAAAGGTAAACTGAGATTTGGTATTTGTTATGATTTATTCGCTAACCTGCAACTAACCCTTCCCTGTGTTTATATTTACTAGCAAAAAATAATGCAATAAGTTTGTTATCTAGTCAGTTCAATTCTTCTCGTTACACCGCAACAGTTAGTTCTTTTAGGAGAAAGTTGACATTCATTTGAATTTGTTTCCATAAAATGTCTCTGCAAGAAATCCCAGTTGGATCGGCCTCTCTTATGGCAACATTTCTGAAACAATCCCATCTCTTTGCAATTGAATCAAAACTCAAGAAACTGCTTAAAGTTTAGTTCTGCTTGGTTGGCCGTCGGCTCTCACAAATAAAAGTGAAATTTTCACAGTTGGTGACCAGAAACTCGCGATTATAGGGCGTAATTGTAATGTTCTGACTGGCAGGTCCAAATTTAGCGGATATTGGATCAAACGGTTGTAAGTTCCAACCTAGTATCATTGTTGCCTGCAGCTCAACTGCGGTGGTATGAACTGTTCAATAATACACTGCTTAATTCAAAATAGATCTGCACTTGAGTAGGTAAGCGAGTTGACTTCTTAGGTATTTTATTTTTTCTGACCATCTCGAAAAAAAAACGAAATCAAACTTGTGTGATAACCTATTTTTCACTTTTTGGCTCTGTGGAACCAGTTTGAATTTTACCTAAGTGAGCAAATTTTGTTTTCTCGCAAATTAATATCGATTTCGACATTGATAAAAGAAAAATCAAGTTCAATTATGTACGAGAGACTGTTTTGAAACAAATTAGTGTAGCATATTTCTATTAGGGACTATTTTTAAAAGATTAAACTGATTTTTTGATGAAAATCACACCCGTTCTAAAATTTTTAGTTTCAAATCGTGTTTTGAGTGTTGTTTGTAGTCCCCCACCTTTCAAATTTTTTTCGTGGTTTTATGGCTAGGTGATATTATGGCTACGCATGATGTTAATATGCTAATGCAAAAAAAAGTTTTCAAGTTAAAAATCAAAAATGGGGGCGCCCTATTTTTCTTTGAAATTTAAAAGTTGAGATTTTTTTTTCAAATCAAGTTAGTGCTTTTTTTTGGAATCTGGGGAAAAAATAAGTCCAATTTGTAATATAAAAAACTTTTTAAATTGATTTGAAAATAAGTCATCAAACAATTCTCAGTTAGGCATGGAAAAACCGCAGGACAAAATTTGTATCATTGATAAGTTGTAACAAAAAGAAGCCTCAATTTTTCTTGAGTTTCAGGTCTTCAAGATTTTATAGCCAAAACATTGTGATCAAATTTTATAGCCAAAACTATTTTCTTAGCAGCAATATCTGAGAACTGTTTGACTTGCTTTTTTTCTGATTCATTTAAAATGAAATTGATTTTTTTATCTGAAAGGAAGTCAATCCAATCTAATATTTTGCAACTTGATTTTGAGTTGTGTTTATGCATTTAATATGCGTCGGTTGAGTAAAAATTGGTCAAAAGGTTGTCACGGACATAGATGTTGCAATTTTTAGTTCTTAAGCGATGAAATAACAAATTTTCCCCTAGTTTCTACCGCTTTCACATGATGAAGGAAATTGTTTATTAGAACACTTCCGGATGAGTAAAAGTAAAAAATTGTGTCAGATGGTTGTTTAGCCATTTAGTTAGAGGGCGTCAGAGAAATTTTCTTGGTGCCAAAAGTCCCATTAGGAAGCAGCAGAAGCAGGTCGAAGTTTTGAAGATTTTGTTGGAAAGCTAAGGATCTAAGCAAGGCCATCTTAGAGGTTTCTTCTTCATAAAAAAATCTGCTTCATTTTAAGTTTTTTTTATATATGATAAATATGCTATCTCATTTCAAATATGCTATCTACAATGTTTTTTTTTATGCTCGATATTCGATGTGAAAAATTGGTTTACTAATTTTTATCTATGAGAAAAAATCACTTGAAGAAAAGTGATTATATATTGTGATCATTTCGCGAATTTTGATCTTTCGAGATATCAGGAATTGCTGATGGTGTCTTGAAAAACTTCCTTAAAGATTTATATCAGCAACAATCTGAATTCCAAAAAGTCTATCAGAGCGAGTTTTGAATTTTTGCTTCTTTTTTATTTTTTAAATTATAAATTGAAAGCAAAACTATTAACAAGCCTTGGAAACATAAAATTGGAGTTTTCGACGCATGAAAAAGCTAGGCTGTAAAATGGTTTTTTATTATGATTTCACGTTTCAAGTATCTCAAAGCACAAATTGAAACCTAGTCTGCCAAGAAAATCTGGTGGGAATTTTACCTATTCGGACTCAATTACCACTAAAGAGATAGTTTTCAATGTTTTTCCCAAAATTATTTTAATTACACTTGCGAAACTAGTGTTTTAGCGCGAAAATTTTTTTCCAACCTAAGTTGCAAATATTGGTGCCTTTTTTGGGGCACCTATACAGCTTTTTGATAGCATGTCCTTTGACATTCGTGTAGTAATAAATTAACACAGTTGATGCTTTTTTAATTCATCAAATGAACCTAAAAAAAAACTATTTGTTTCAAACAACATCACAATAATAAAAATTCGATTTCAGAATTTTTCTTCCTCAATACATTTAGCAATTTTTTGAAATGCATAATTTATACATAATGTGGTTTTAGGCTTTGCGATTTGTTACATGCAAAGTTAGTGTGGATGCCTTCGGTTTGTTATTTTTCAAATTATTACTTGCAAAATTGAGTCTATTTGTATTTGGTTCCACTTTTGCTGAATCGCATTGACAATTTGTTAGCCTATGTAGCTGCTTTATCCGTGACTTCTGTTTGTCGGTTTTTAAGCTTGCGTGGCTTATGTGATTAGCGTGAGACTCAAAATCTCGCGATTGCAGTTGGTCGCATATTCGAGTCCTACACTTAGCCGAATTTTTGCTAATTCGAGGTTCATATCTACTTTTTCTTATTTCACTTGATAGAGCTGCTTTTTGGTCGTGTTCTCGCAAGTGTTTGCGAAGCGCAGCTGCGCCTCAGTATGAAAGCTCACTGAAGCTAATATTTTTAAGTTCTTGAATATCAATTGTGTTTCTACGCTGCCCAAGAAACTCGACGAAACCTTTTTTTATATAATTTTCTAAGGTAGAATTTTTTCACTCTTAGACTTTTTTGGCGGTGTAGTATTTGTAAAGCTACCCGCTACGAACGAATTTAGAGAAGAGTTGGGGACAGGGTGGATGCCCTTTTCTCCTCAGGGACTCGACCCCCTCAACGCCCACCTGGATTCGGTCCCCCTTTGATTTTATTACGACATCAATTTTCGGCCAGCCGAAATTAATCACAAAATAGGGTCGTTATAGTGTTTTAGGATAACTCGGTTCGAAAATCAGTTTGGTCGACCTCTGCTATCCACGACTTTGGTTACATTTTATGTTATTTTATTAGTTTCATTTAAAAAAAGGCATCTTTCCAAGTTTCATTTAAACTTATTTTCGAGTGTGCATGCAAGTTTTTTTTCTAATTTCGATCATTATAATGTTTCCATTGTTTTTGTTGCAAACCCACAGCTAATACGTGATGTTTTTACTAGATTTCTCCTACCGACAAGGTCTACTGTGCACACACTAGCATAGAACCCAAGGGTCCAGAGTACCTGCCTGTAATCGAGGGTCAGCAGTTGGTGTTCATTTCTAAGAAGAGTCCAGACACATGGAATTGTGAGACCCTCTCTGGACTGAAAGGACTAGTGCCCTCAGATTGCCTCACTGAGAAGGATCTGTACACTATTCAAGTGCAGAAGGATATTGCCAGACATATTTTGGAAGAGGAGCTACCCAATAGCAGTGAGACGATTTTTTTGTTGCCCTACAAAAGTTTCAATTTTACAAATATCATCTTGAGTCGAAATAGTATTAGTTTATTAGTTCCAGTTACGTTTTTTTGCTTTTTCCTTTCATTTTCTTATTGTTTTTTTTTCGTTGTTTCGATTGCAGTTTTTCTGTGCATGTCGTTTGTTGTTTCCAGTGAAATCAGAAGACAGTGTCGAGAGCCCCAAATTCCTTTCGCCTCTCCCTCAAGTGACTGTTAAAGAAGGAGAAACAGCCGAATTTAAAGTCCAGGTCATCGGCAAGCCTCAGATTACCTGGTTCCGGGAGAAGACCAAGATAGAGCCAGACGGGAAAGACTTCCAGTGCACGTTCGAAAAGGATGTGGCTAAATTGAGGATCAAGGATGCAAATATCCAGGACTCAGGAGTGATCACATGTGTAGCGAAAAACGCGGCCGGAACTTGTTCGACGTCGGCCGAATTGCAAGTCTTGCGTAAGTCTTAAAAATTTCGTGATATTTGTTCCAATAGAAATTTTGCCATGCAATTTTGCATAGTTTTCATTCATTTTTTTCAATACATTTGAAACTAACTTGTTCTAACTATTATTTTACCTGCAAAAATGGATTACCTTTTCTGCTTTTTTGATAAGTAGCAACGTGTCTACGTCTCAGGTCCAGCTCGTTGTATATGCCTGATAGTTGCCTCGTTGTTACAGCTAAGACTGGCGCAGCACCGAAGCCTGAACCCAAAGAAGAAGGTATTCGACCTTCGTTCCAGAAACCCCTGGAAGACAAAAAGATCACAGAAGGAGCACCACTCAAACTCGAATCAAAGGTAAGTCTCAACCTCTTAAAGTTTTCAAAAAAGTGACGGAACAGTTGTGATTGGGGTGGCTTTTTGGTATTGCGACAATTCGTAACAGGCAACAATTCGTAACAAGCGACTTTTCGTAACAAGGAATCGGCAAGTAGAATCCGCTTGCCCTGCTGTGCTTACATCCGGCACGAGAGGAACACTGCGCGTTAGTCAGTGTTTCCCGCTTGGCTATTGTTACGAATTGTCGCTTGTTCCGAATTGCCGCCTCACAAGTTTCGTTTTCTCAAGACCAAATGCGACTTTTTAACTTGTCATTTTAGAACTGAATTTTTTTATACCATCTGAAATGCAGTGGTGTCTTGAGCTCGAATTTCAAATGATAGTTATCTCTGATCGTTTTTTGAAAGTTGTCGGAGTTTGGAACTTGCCCATGTGGCTAGTTTGGGACAACTAACCCGTGATAATTTTTGTGCTATCATCGTGTAATTGGCTAATTGATCTGATCATTAATCGTTCCAAATTGAATTGAAGCAAGATATTTGGTTTTTATTAATACATCATTAGAAGCTAACAAAACTGCTCTTGTACAGGGCAAAGTCCTGAATTTTCCGACTGCCCTTCAATCCTTATCGAATAGTTGTTCGGGAAAAATATTGAAAAACAAAAAACTTTGCACAATATTAAAGATCAATTGTGAAAATTAGAGTCGTACAAAATTAATACGACCGATTAGCTAGCCTCAATTCAATTTAGTGCGAGTTTTGTTGTGCGGGATAAATCGACACGTATTAATAATTTTTATTACGCTTTCAGCAATATGAATAAAATCTTCTAAGTGCGCATAACTTAGTCCAGAGCATGGCTAAGTTGGCAATTTTCAAACTCCCATAAGTTTGCAAAAAAAGATCGGAGGTAAAATTTCTTTTTACAAGTGATTTCAGGGAATCGATAGCGTCAATGGACTATAAACAAATTTTGTTAAACACTGTTCTTTTGATCGCAGAAGTTTCGCCATCGGACTTTTGCTTTGTTGCGAGTTGCGACTATTGAAAACAGGAAGGAACTTTGTATTCGGGTGTTTTAGTTTTTTTGTTTTCCACGTATAATCAGGTACCACAAATAATCATAGTACAAGGCTGAATGATGAATCATATTAAAGCTTTTTCAGTCGTGATTTGTATGACAATAAAAAATTCAAAAAAAATTTCAATATCGAGAAAACTGGTTGAAAATTTTTGACTTTCTGTCTAATTTCGAAGGAGTAAAGCGATCGAGTAACGTTCGTTTTTATAGAAACTAGCAATTTAGGCAAAAAAACATTGACCTCACATAAAGGAAAGGTAAAAAGAAGTTTTGGAATTTCCATTTAGGGCTTCTCTGGTTTAAAAAAATTCCAGAAATACTTAGGGCAAAGTTTTCAGTGCAAAAAATGAAAATAAACTTTTAAAAATTTGTTTATTTTTTTTTCATTATTGTATTTATTAATAATTTGAAGACAATTGTTGTCGTGTATACCTATGTAACTAATTTTGTGCGCGTTTGTATCGCTGTATGAGAACACGACGCACAAGAAAACACTCTAATTTGAAGAAAAGAAAAGTCTGAAAATGTGGTCGGAACATTCTGTGCTACTTCCACAGCAACCAGCTATCCTTATTTTGTCTGTGTAATTTTTCTCTTGTGTGGAACTTTGATTATATAAGTAAAGCTTGTGTTATAGTATGAACTCTCTTTTTTTCCTAACCTAAGTGGCAAATATTGTTAGGATGCAAATATTAATGCTACAAAATGTGTTCATTTTGAAAGTGTTCATTTTGATCAGTTACCAGCTATTAAGTAGAGCCAATGATAAGGATATTAAAAAAGACTATTATATTACAAATAGCTCTTCAGCTTCAAGGTATGATGGATCTGTAGTGTAGAGGTAGGGAAAGGAACCCGCAACAAAGTAAGAGGGTTCGAACCTGGGCAGGGTCGGATGTTTTTTTTTCGTACACTAATGATGTTTTTTTTTTGGTATACTATTGATTTTTTTTTCGTATACTAATTAAATCGAGTCCGCTCCATAAATTGAGGCATTTTAGTTGGTATTTTTTTTAAATTGACTGGTACGGCTAATGCGTCATAGTTGGCTTGTGTCACTTAAGAAATTTTGTAGACTGAAAGTTTTACTCATTCAGTTTTTCACAGTAGCATTATCGGTCATATTTTTGCTTGTGTATGCGAAGTGCAGCTTCGCCTCTGTGTAAAACTTTGATACACAAGTTTTCCATGAACTTAAAACAAAAATTGATTTGAGATTAGGTTCACAAAGGATCTGTTTATTATTCCGATTTTCGAAGAAATGTGGAATATTTATGCTTCGGGTGCTTTTTTATTCAGTCAAATTTTGAATTTTTGACTAAGCTTTTTTGACGAAGTTTTTTTTATACCATCCAGGTTTTCATCGCACTGCGTTTACTTTCCGCTGAAAGGAACAAAATAGAAACTAATAAAAATAGGATTTTTGAATGGCTCAACGCTTTGCAATTGATGAGCTTTCAAAAAATTAAATTTAAAAGAAACTGGGAATTTAAAATGTTTAAGGTCATTGCCAAGCCACAGCCTCACTTCACATGGACCAAGAACGACAAACTAATCACTGAGAGCAGCAAGATTAAAATGACGTCGCAGAGTGATGTGAACATGCACGTGGCCATTTTGGAGATTCCCAAGAGTACCAAGGAAGACGGGGGAGAGTATAAGCTAGTGGCGAAGAACACCGAGGGAGATGTGACGTCGAAGGCCAAGATCACTGTCGGTTAGTGTTCACGCACAACTAAATTAACATCAAAAGTAGAATCGGAGGTGAGTTTGAAAACGTTGTTCCAAGTGATAAATTTATAGTACAGTTGAATTATTTCTTTGTTGGAGATTTGAAAAAAAATCAGTAGAAGTGTTTGTTAATTACAGATGGGACTATTTTTCTTGTTTATATCGAGCAAATAATTTTTTTTTTGGGACTCTCAGTTTGTTTGTTCTGGAAGCTGATTGGTGAATATTGAAATGGGTTCTAAGGACACTGACTTAATTTTGGATTTGGCTTCTTTGCTCAGAGTCGAAGGAGCCAGAAAAGAAGAAGGAACCGGAGAAGAAGCCAGCAGCGAAGAAAGAAGAAGAGGAGGAAGTAGAGGAGGAGAGTGCGAAACCCAAAGAGTCAGAGGAGGTGAAGTCAGAGGCACCCCCTCTGGTGAGTTATCCTCGTCAAAAAGCAGTGGAAATTGTTGTCGCCTCTTCTTAGATAAAAAAAAATATATGCTGTGTCCATTTGAAAATCTGCATTTTCTTCACATGGGTAGTTTTTAGACAAAACACCTTACAAACTCCTTTTTAATGCTCTTTTTTTTTAAAGATGAGCGGCCTTAAAAACTTGAAATTTAATACTGGGGGATGAATTTATTCTCCGATTAAAAGTGAAAACATGCATCATTTAAACTTCAAAAAAATATATTGTTTTGAATGTGATTATTATTTCAGCCGAGTGTGGACAAGGGACCTCCCAAGTTCCTGAAGAAACTCAAGGACTTAGAGACTGTAAGAGACAGCACTGTCAAGTTGGAAGCTGTAGTCCAGGGCAATCCCCAGCCAACTATCAAATGGAGCAAAGAAGGTAGACCAGTGTTCCCAGGTAGGAATCTGGTGATTGAACACGATGCCAGGACAGGAACATGTTCGCTCATGATTCCGCAGGCGATGCCCAGAGACGCGGGCACGTATGCAGTGGAGGCGAAGAATGCCAATGGACAGGAAACGTGTTCTGCAGAACTGAAGGTGGTCGAAGGTGAGTTTTCGAGTGGATAACTTTCCGTCTTTTTGTGCTAGGGTCGCCGAATTTACCAGTTTGTTCCGGATCTTTCATTTTTTGATGTGGTCTATTGCGTGGATTATCTGGAAATTTTCTTTGATTGGCCCATTGTTTCGGAATTATTTGTCATTTCTCACACACATTTTTTTTTGTTTTATTGATTTTGTCTGTTGTGTTGATGTTTATTTGACGTTTTCAACTTTTATTTGTTGATGTTTATATGTTGATGTTCAACTTTCATATGTTGATGTTTATTTTTATCATAAATGTTCGTTACAAATGAAGGAAATGTGGGTTGGGTTCGCGCGCGAAGAGATTCCGGAAGGTGATTTAGCATTCAGTTAACATGTCACTACCATATACTTTTCTTAGTGTGCTAAACGTGTTTTCGTTCTGGTTACTTTGATTTGAAATACGTAATTCGTAAGTTTTAGCGAAACTGTCAGCTAAATTACGGAAAAGCACTATGCGTAATGGTATTATACTGCATGACTATGCGTAATGGTATTATACAGTATGACTAGTATACTATATGATACGCCACTATTTGGAATTAGTCGACCTACGGATCAATGAAAAGTTCAAATAGACCCGTTTTTTAGATCCCCCAAGGTACATTTTGTGAGTCCCGGAAGTATATCTGTTTTTATTTCTAATGGGTTCTGTCTGTTTCAGCGCCTGCCAAGATCATAGACATGCCTGACAATGTGGTTGCGAAGAAGGGAGAAGTGGTGGTGATCAAGTGCAAGATTGAAGGAAACCCCACTCCCACCATCACGTGGGTTCAGGTCAGTCAAAACAATTTAAAAGTTTTCAATTTTTATAAACTCAATTTATAAATCAATTTTTATAAATTATTCGGAATTTATATTCTTTCAAAGACGCAAAACCGTAAGAGATTAAAAATAGTTTGACTTAACTCCTGATTCGGCTCATTGGAATCTGCTCAAATACACTATCAACCACATATTTTTGTTACAAATCGGCCTGATTGTTATGTTTTCTGTTATTGAATCTTATTGAAAAAGAAGAAAGAAACCTAATTGAATTATTCTTCGTTTTTTACAGGGCGCGAAGGACCTGCAAAAGGCTGGTGGTGAGAAGTTCTCGGTGGAGAATACGGACACGACGACTACTCTGAAGATCAAAGATGTGGAACCGAAGGATGCTGGACAGTACAAACTGAATGTGAAGAACTCCTCTGGCAGAGACAACAAACAGCTCACTCTAGCAGTTGCAGGTTAGTCCACTTGACCATCTCATTATCATGGCCATCCTTCTGTATTGTGAATTATAGAATTAATAAGATTACTTTAACACCTAGAAGAGAATCCGACGAGTAATTATTTGTGTTGGCAAAGATTCTAGTTATAAGTGAGAGAAAATTTTCTGTTTGTTACATATCTTCGTTTGTTCGATTTGAAAATGAAGCATTGTGTTTCGCTTTCTTTTGATTTTTGATGGTGTTTACTTGTTTTTTTTTTCAGATGTGCCTGAGATGCCAGGCAAGCCTCAAGCAGGAGCCATCACACACGCCAACCTCAAACTGACCTGGGCAGCCCCTAGGAAAGACGGAGGCAGTCCTATCACCAAGTACCTGGTCCAAAAGAAGGGTGCTAAGGACGCCACATGGGTGACTGTGAACTCGGCTGTTCCCACTGTGTCTTATGTTGTGGAGGATTTGGAACCGGAGTCTAATTACTCGTTTAGAGTGTTTGCTGAGAATGACGTGGGACAGGGGCCTGCTAGTCAGGAAGTGGCAGCTAAGACAAATGGTACCAAATATTGTGCATTTTTTTCGGTTTTGCATTTTTCTGCTGTTTCAGGATAGTTGGCTAGTTTTGTATGCAACTGATTTTGCTTCTAGTTAACAACCTCCTTTTTTAAGAAAGGGAGAGGTTCTTAGGTAGATAGTTTAGCAAAGTACGTAAATTTTTGACCAATCAAAATGCATGAAATTTAAAACCTCACTATATAGAAAACTCCAAGTTGCAACAGCTGTTGTATTGCTACACTTAACAAAATAAATGAACTTTCAAAAATTCAATACTGCGTTGTTTGGGCCACTGTAAACGGTTCTTTTTTGGAGAGTCGGAGATTCTTTATTAGATAACTAGAGAGGTGGGGATTGTTGAGTAGACTTTTTATCAGTTCAATGAATTTTTTAAAAGTTCTACCTTTTTCTTTGAAATTAATGTGAACATTTTATCAAATATGTTTTCTTGAAATTGAAATTTGAAATGGAAGACACATTTAGAGAAATTCTCTTATCAAAATTTTGTTTCAGTTGCCCCCAAGGTTGCGCCAAAGTCTACTGTTGGAGACGGTTAGTTGAATTCTTTGAATATCATCTTTTTACCCCTGCGATTAGCCAGGGTGTTGCAACCGGGTACAAGACTTTTTTCCCGTAAAGAACCGTGTTCACAAAATTTCGCACATGAAATTGTTGCTATTTTCACCCCCCCCATTTTTCAGTTTTGAAAAATTAATTTTATGTTGTCATAATGTAATGAAATTTTGCATAGTGAACAAACTTACTATTGTGAAGACATTTGTACGCGTTCAGTCATAATAACACGAAAGATCATTGAAAAAATGGAAAATTTGAAGTGTGGAGAAGAGAAGTGGAAAAAGATCCGAAATTGTTACACGTGTTTCTACTTGCTTTATGTTTCATTCAAAATCAAGTAATTAACCAGCGTATCTGGTGTAGAGGTAACAACCCTGCGTGAGATGGCAAAAGTTTATGTTCCGGATCTGTCGGCCGGAGCTTTTTTTTTGCAAACCTGATTTTTTTTGTTTTTCCTACTATCGTTCGTCTGTTTATTTTTGTCGTCTTAGTTCCCCTAGCGCGGAATCTTTTTGAAAGTTTTTCTTCTAAATTGCTGCATGCTGCTGCTGCTTCTAAAGCTCCATTGGCTCTTTTCCAGTCCCCCCTTTCAAATTCAATTTTGAAAAGCTTATTTAACGTTGTCATAATGCAATGAAATTTGGCGTGGTGAACAGAATGACAACTGTGAACAGATTTGTTCTTCATACTTTACAACGTAACATCACGCATTCAGCCGTAATACCACGTAAAACAAACATAAAACTCGATATTTTGAAAGGGGGAACTGGAAAAGAGCCGCTCCATTGGTGGGGGTAATTGAGTTACAAGATTTTTGCGGATTTTTATTTTGTTTAAAAACAATTTGTAAAAAATTCTACAACAGATTTTGGTTGAATTTTTTTGAATTTTTTGCTTCGTCAAATAATATGCACGGATTTATTACACATGTGATTATTAAACTCGCAATTAGCAAGCTTTATCAATTCGGAGCCTAGAACTTTTTTGTGAATGTTTTCTAGAAAATCACAATCATTTTCCCATATAATCTGCTCCATCGTCAGCCAACGGCTGAAAAGTTTTTCGGTTTAAACCTGATAGGTCCAATGTGTGTTTTTTAAAGGGGGTAATGTGATATATTTTTTAAAATTTTCAAGTTTTTTACGAGACAGTTTTTTTGGCTGGAGGTGTGTCTGCTCAAAAGTTGTCGGCTTTATTACCGCTTCGTACGTTTTCTTCCTACGTTGAGCTTTATTCAAGACAACTATATGAAAACATAAAACTTTTGATAGATCTAGTTTTTTTCGACATTTTGAATTTTTTTTTCCAATTTTGGCGTTCGTCTCAATGTTTGCCTGCTATTTTGTCATGCTTTTTGTTGTATCGCAAAAGGTGCGAAGCTCTGCTTCGCCTCTGTGTAAATTATTTGCAGATCCAGAAGCTGAAATTATTTCTATTGTGTTTTTTTTTCTCGTAGCACCGGTTATTGTGGAACCCTTTAAAAATGCGCAAGGCGTTGAACATGGTACTGCTAAGTTCGAAGCAATAGTCAAGGGATCGCCCACTCCTAAAGTCCACATCCTTCTGGACGGAGTCCCATTCGAGCCAGAATGGCGAATCAAATTCGAAGAGAAAGTGGAACACGACGGATCTGTCAGATTAACCTTCAACAAACTCATCATGGACGACGAAGGAGAGTATACTCTTGTTGCGTCGAATCCGGCCGGAAAGGACAAGTGCAAGGCGTTCCTGACTGTCACTGAAGGGGCGGATAAGCACCAGTCTGGTCAGAAGGCTGTCAAAGTTGCTGTAGGAGCTGGAATCCCGCCAACGATCACAGAGAAACTTCAAGATGACGTAAGACTGGAAATGGTTAAATTATATCGAGCAAGACACTAAATCATAGCTTTGCTTTGCGTCATAACAAACTTAGATTTAAATTTTTTGTTAGTAAACCTTAATTTGATCCGTGGTTCAACATCGTTTAAACTTCTATATAGCGGTGAAAATATTTTGAAACTGGGTTCAACTGAAATTGCTTAAAATCCTTAACTGCAATTAGTGTTAATTGTTCAATGTTGCTTCTCAGCTTTTTGCTTCATGCTTATTAATTGTTAATGTGTTTGCGCAAATAAACTTCAGGTGGTAAGAAAATATCGGTTTGTATTGGCTTGTGAAGTAGAGTTGCACTTACTTGTCGCTCATGTCCAAGACGAAATAGTTTTGTTGTGTGCCTGTTTCACTGCATTGTTAATAACATAGATCATTACGCATTTCATGAATTTTGAAAAATATTTCCAAAAATTGCAAAAATATTTTTAAAATCTAAAGTGATGAATTATTTGTTTCCGCGGATGCTTTCAAGTGTTGTTTTTTATTGCACTGGAGAGTCCATTCCAAAATTTGTCCACTATTGTTTAAAATTATCACATTTCTATCCTGTACAAAAAAACTTGTTTTCTATCTAAATATCGGCTGCGTTGTTGAATGAAACTGCATAACTGACTAACATATTTTGCACGTCTCTTTTTTGTAGTTTCTAAATTTCCATAAATTTCACGGAGTTTTAAATTTAAATGAATGAAATTTTTCCATCGATGTATGGCTGGAACCGAATTGCATCATGATGCACGCAGGTTCTGGATATTTGTCCTTTTTCATCCAAGCACTTTGCTCTACTTGGTTCCCCCTATATAACATCACTGACACGGTGCAGTTGTATATCAGTACATTTACTGAAGTGCTGTCCTATTACTGTCAATCGTAATGAAACTGGAGATTTGTTTTAGAAAGCGGACTATGGCTTCCCCACCACGCTCACCGCTAGAATTATCGGGATGCCAGATCCAGTGATCTCTTGGTTCAAGTGAGTACATTATGAAAATTTATTCTGACAACACGAAAGCTTGTGCGTATATGAACAACTGGTGTGTTATTTCAATACACTAGTCGAAGTTTAGTGAGCGTTAGTGTTATACTATGACTATTCTTTTTTCCCTAACCTAAGTCGCAAATGTTGGTGCCACTTTTGGGGCACCTATACGGTTTATTGATGGTTAACACAGTTGATGCAATTTAAATTCATCAAATGAACCGAAAAAAGCTACTTGTTTCAAACAACATAACAATCATAAAAACTCGATTTCAGAAATTATTTAACTCAATATATCTCGCTATTAATAATGTGGCTTTATGCTTTCCAATTTATTACATGCATAATTAGTATGGATGCCTTCAGTATGTTATATTTCAAACTATTACTTGCAAAATTGGTCAATTTGTGTTTGGTGCCACTTTTGCTGCATCGCCATGACAATTTGTTAGCATATCGAGGGTTAGTGTAAGCAAATTGTCGGGGGCACGTGGCGCAGATGCGAGGGAGGTGGTCTCTATATCTGCTGTTCGTAGAATCGAACCCGCCAAGAAGTTTTAGTTGAAAGGCTTGTATTTACCTTTTCTTGTTTTCAAAAAAAGGTATCTTTGGAAATTCAAAAAAAGGTATCAGCCCACTCCCTTTTGTGTCTGCATAATCAGCGTCTATCTTTTTGCCTTATTCTACTTTTACATCCTTGAAAAAATCTTGGGGAATATTGACCCTTATTTAGTTTTTTTTGTTTTCTCAAAAAATACCGTTTTAAAGTGTGTAGCCTCTACCCTCCCGTGCTTGACATTTTGGGCTCAATCCAAAACAAAGGCCGCGGAAGGTTCTCTGCATACCAGACTACGGCCAATTTTTTTTGACACGGAGAAGTCAAATTATGACTTTTTGGCCGTTTTTTTTGAAACTTCTACTTTTCTCGTGAAGTACTCTCCCAAATCTGTTTTTAGTTTCAATCGAAATTGCAAGTTCCTTGTTCAAAAAAAGCTAGGATTTTGAGAAACATCAAATTTACTTTTTGATTTGTTGGCCGTTTTTTGGACTTTCCTTTATCGAAACAACAGGTTGTTGAATTTACTTTTAAAAGAGGCTAAACCCATGATTACTTCCAAACAATTTCTTATAGTTTTTTGGAGATTTTTTGGCTTTACTCGGAAACAATTTTTCGCTAAACCCATGATTACTTCCAAACAATTTTTTACAGTTTTTTGGAGCTTTTTTGGCTTCACTCGAAAACTACCGTGCGAAATCGCAGGTCAAGTGTTCAATGGAGAAACCCAGTTTGAATTTTTGTTTTTTGCTATTTTAAGCAATATATGGATTTTGGAAAATCAAGTTGAAACTTTTGATCGTTTCTTACAGAATTTTCTGAAGTTCTTAAAAACTTCCCAATCAAATCTGAGATAAAAATTCAATGGAAAGAACCGGTTGCGATAATTTTTCCTGCAGAAGCCACGAGTCCTTAAGTTTTTGTTAATGAAATGTTATGTACTTGGGATTTTTCAAGTTTCTCAAAAATTTTTATATATTTTAGTAGAAAAACAACAAGAGTTTGAGCAAAGTCCAATTTTTAAAATAACACATTTCGTCTCGCATCAGTATAACAAGATCAAAAAACTTGAAACTCGTACTTCTAGCGGGGCCTTTTGTTGTATATTATCGAGCAAATTTTATCACCTAATTTCTTCAACTTTTTTTAATAGTTTTTTAAATATTTGTTGAATCGCAAGTGGCTCGAAGCTCCGCTTTGCCTCTGTGCTCAAATTAATAGGCAAAGGCGAGTCTGGGGCTTGAATTGCAAAACATTGTAATTTCTATGAAATTGTTTTTTTTTTTAGTTTTCTGATACTTTTTCGATAATTGCCAAACAAAGGTTAAAGATCATAGGCAGGCAACTCCACAATATTTTAACCAATTTTTGGATGCGTGCATCACTGATATTACATGATTTTAGCCAAAATCACGAAAAGATTTAAGTTTTGTATATTTCAACAGTTTCGTTTTTATGTAGTATACTTAACTTACTCAATATGAAAATATATATCTTCTAAGTTTGTTAGGATTTTTCAAGCGCATTCCGAAGCTAGGGTTTTGTTAGCTTCAAAATTTTGAGAAAATTTTTTCAAAATAAATAAATTTTTGCTGGTTTTTCTTGCTTATATACAATATATCTACCAAAATTACCTGCTTCATGTAGGTGCAATTACCTACTCAAAATTGGCAGTTTTACATACATAGAATTTACACTCTAAAAATTTACATACATTGTTTAAAGCGTATTAAAGCAAATCATATTGCAATGCAAGAGTCTGAGTTTCAGATGATTAACCTATTTTCTATGAACAGTGTCCTCGAATTCCTAGACTGTCTTCCGCTACCCTTTTGTAATTTTCGAGGCAACGTTTTTAAAATTATTCTTAAATTTGTATATCGATTGTGTATGCGGCAAATAATCTGTTTTTTGGTAGTCGGGAATCAAACTGTTTTTACTCACTCATACCGCACGATGGAAATGCAAACTGGTCTTTTTGGTGTGCTTCCAAGATGAGATATCTCGATGAGACTTTTTTTGTAAAATATAAAGCAATTGTTCATTTAGTGAAAACGAATTTAATAATTTCATTGTTTTAGGGACGACTTTGAAGTGCCCATCAGCAAGTATTACAAAACAAACAAGGAAGTCGATCTCTACTCGCTCGACATATTGGAAGCATTCCCTCCCGATGAGGGTGTGTACAAGGTGACAGCTGTCAATCAAGAGGGCAAGGCCGAGTGCACCTGTAAATTGACTGTGTCTCCGAGTAAAGATACTCCGGATAAAGACAGACCCTCTTTCATCAAGAAACCGTACAACGCCTATTACCATGAGGGAGCATCGTTCAAAATTGACGCTACGGTTCAGGGAGCTAAACCTATTACTGTCACATGGTGAGAATTCAAATGTAACTTTTTTTATAAATTCATCAACTGTCAACTGTAATCACTGACTATTCTATTGCTCCTTGACGCTTGTTGGAATTATCATAAGCAGTGACCATTGTGAAACATGAAGCTTTTTACACTTGCGAGTTCAGTTCATTTTCTTTGATAAAATGAAGACAAACAAGTTTGAGATGAAAGACTCAATCGAAAGAATCGGTTGCAAGAATTTTTCCTGCAGTAACGACGAATACCTTTTTATACAAGAAAATGCCGCATAAACAAAACAGTCCAACACAAAATATTCCAGAAAATCATGTAATGAAGGAAAAAAAACAGTCCAATACAAAACTGTCCTGTTTAAGTTCGCAGGTGGGCGATAACCGGCTCTAAATTTTGTATTAAATCCTACCCTCTGTTGGCAAGCTTGCAACACGTTGGCGCGACTGCGGCGTTCACTATTTTGTTCTTTATATTTGTTGAACAAAGGATAATTCTTGGCCTATCAGCTTGCTAAAACAATTAATACTTGGAACTGTTTTTCGGACTGTTTTGTATCAGACTGTTTTGTATGGGGCTGTTTTGTACTGACACGAAGAAAATTGTTTTGTGTTTGGGAAGTTTCCAATGTCTCAAAAATTTTCAAACACAACAATTTTCTTCGTGTCTGTACAAAACAGCCCCATACAAAACAGTCCGATAAAAAACAGTCCGAAAAACAGTCGCAAGAAATAATTGTTGTAACAAGCCGATAGGCCAAGAATTGTCCTTTGTTCAACAAACATAATGAACAAAATAGTGACCGCAGCAGTCGCGCCAACGTGTTGCGAGCTTGCCAAAAGAGGGTAGGATTTAATACAAAATTTAGAGCCGGTTATCCGTAGCGCGCCCACCGGCGACCTTAAACCGGACTGTTTTGTGTTTGACTGTTTTTTCCTTCATTACAAGGTTTTCTGAACTATTTTGTGTAGGTCTGTTTTGTATATGCAAAATTTTCTCACCTCCCAATCTTTTCACTTAATTCAAAAGAGAAACAACTATGAATTTCGGCCTATGAATTTCGGTTCAATATCAATAGCTGGATCGCTTTTTGTTTTACTTCGCACATTATTTTTAATTCATTTTGAAAGCCAAATTTTTTGGAAGAAGTGTAAAAATTAAGTCTTAGAATAGCATTTCATATGGCAGAGTAATGTCTAAACAAAAAATATCTAAGTAAGAGAATAATTGATTGAAAATGAAATGACTATGTTATGCATAGTAGTTCTGATTTTTAATACATGCACTATACTCAAAATTACCACCTATTGTAACATATCACCCCAAAAATATCAAACAGTTACCTGCAGCTTTAGCTAGCCCCCTAGATATTTTTATCGAGACACGCGAAAATTTTGGTTCATCTAGTTTTTTTCATTATATTTTTTTTCGACTTTTTTGTTTTTTGTACTTATGTGAAGTATAGCAACTAAAGAGAAGCTGCGCGAGATTGTTCTAGAAAATGATCGTACGAATAAAATAGCTAATGAAGTCTACACATGCAAATCACGTCACCTGAATTCATTCGCTGCGTTTTGTCCCTCTTTTTTGAATGTAATTACAATATATTTAATAGGGCTTTCCAATTCAGAATTCTGAAATCTTGATTTAAATTATTTTAACTAGGTCCAAAGATGGTGTCCTTATTGACCCCAAAGACAAGAAGTACAGTTTTGTGTACGATGAGAGCGATGGTTTTGTGGAGCTAACTTGTCTCAAAGCGACTGCCGAGGATGCTGGGAGGTACAAGGTCATGGGCAGGAACTCAGTCGGAAAGATGACTGTGGAAGCACAAGCTATTGTTGGAGGTACAATTTCACGAAAACCAAAGGGAGAGGTGGTGAAATGGGGATATTCTAATCAGAAAAGGGCCAAATGCGCAAATATTACCAACCAATCAACGCCCTTTTAGCTACCCAAAGCTCATTCATATCCGCGTTTTTTTTCTATATATTTTTTAATTTGCAAGAGCAAGAATACTTTTGGAGCGAACTAGGTTTTTTCATAAAAATAACTTTTACAAAACTATAAATCATTGACCTGGCTTCATTATGAATCTCAATATTTTCCTAGCCCCTTCCCACTTGGGTTCCAAATGGTTTCGAAGCTCCGCATCGACTCTGTGTTGAAGTATGAATTCTGATTGGCTAACATAAATTTCGGGCATTCAGTCCTGGCGTTTTATGGAAGTTTTTTCTCTGATATAATTTATTGAGAATTTGTGAAACCATTACTGCTGCTCACAGCTATCATTTTGCCGCTTTGTTTTTTTCATGTTTTAATTTATATGATAACAGCATTTGAGAAGTCGAAGGAGTTTAATTGATACAACTACTACTGTCTCGAGATTTTTACTGGAGAAAAAACAAGATGAAAATCGAGTCGCGATTTTTTCCTTCCTTTATCCCTTTTTCCGGAACAGATAAATCTAATTTCTTGAAATTTAGGACGCTCCATTGTTAATTTGATTTTTTGACGAACATCTTGGGTTTCGGCATATTTGCCGAACATCTTGGGTTTCGGCATATTTGCAAGGTTAAAGCAGACTTTTCAAAAATAAATCAAGCTGAAATCTTTGTATTAATATTTGCCAATTTTTGTTTCAGACAAACCAACTCCAGCTGAGAGAATGAGGTAAAAAAAAATTCACTTCTCAACACATCTCATAAAAGAACAACCATTTAGCGCTTAATTAACAATTCGCTTTGGTAGAAGCAAAACAATTAATAAAACTCTGCGTTTCATTTTCCGTTCAATAATTTTTTTTTAACTGTGTTTATTTTGCAGCTTGATGGAAGCGCCTCGCAGGTTAAAAGTGTTCACTTTTTGTTTATGATTGGTCATCAACAGTTTTTACTGGTGGATAATAATTAAACCCTATCACGTTTCTAGTAGCTCTTACCCTATCTTTATCCCACAAGAAACCCACAAGACTTTAAAATCACAAGGGAAATTTCTCAATTTTCTGACGAGTCAGTGTTTTGTCTTAATATTAATTTCGTCCAATTGGGAGCCGACTTTTTTGATCATCATCATTTTGTCAACCTGGTAGTTTTAGAAAAATTTGCCGTTTTTTGTAGTTGTTTAAAGAGTCCAGTGATTCAAGTTGTGCATAATATGTTTTCTGCATGTTTTAACGTGGTTTCTTACACGTTAAGAAACCCATCAAACTAAACACTGAAATCTCATTTCCGATCAGACCTGTAGTAAATTATTGCTTATTTATAATGATGTTTCCAGCGCTGCTCCGGCGGTGTCAATAATGGTCGAGGGAGAGGAGGAGCCAAAAGTGCCTGGAGAGTCCTCGCACCAGAGACACAAGAATCCCAGACTGGAGAACCCGGAGACAGAGGCGGCGCCAGTGTTCGTCAAGGCACCAGAAGCTACTGTTGCAGAAGAAGGTCAGCTAGATCAATGTTTTGAGAAATTCAAGAGTATTCTGAGACAAAATTTTCTAATATTTATGGAATTCAGCATGGACTCAATTAGAGAACTCAAAAGAGAAAACAAAATTGGGTGTAAATGAAAGGTCTGAAGTGAGAATATATAAAACAGTTTACTTTGTGTAATGTCTCGTATCAATTTTACAGAAAACACATAAAAATCATTTTTTTAAATTATTACTTGGAAAATGAGCTCCAGCTACAACGCCACGATTTTTCAAAATACCAGGCATTCCTAAAATCATTTTTAAAAAATTTTCCTCTCAAATTCTGGTGATACGTATTAGACTGATTCATTGCCTGGTCTAAAATTATCTCAAAGGGGGATTTTTTCATCAAAAGCGGGGTTGGAAAGGTAAAAAATTCACAGACTGTTTTGGCTGAAAATGCGTTTTGTTTACGAGCGCTCCCCTCAAATTTAGTATGCATGAATGGCGCTCCAGGTCCCTTTGGAAAAATTTAATGTTGGCTGACCAAAATGGATGTCGTAAAATTAAATTGTACCAAAGCGGTATTCTTTGTGTTTAATGGGTCTCCTATGTCCCTCTTGATTAAATAAAATTGCCATCTGGCATTCACATCACGGAGTAACGCATTTTTTTCAGAGAAGCCGTTGATTGTCGAAGTCGTCATCACCGGAAACCCAGAACCCAAAGTCACGTGGATGAGAGGCATAACTGCCCTGAAAGAGACCTCCGACAACGAGTTCAGTTTTGACCAGGCCACCAAAACTTACAGATTAATTGTTTACACAGCTGAGAAGAAAGACGCTGGAAAGTACAAATGTAAGGCTGAGAACTCAGTCGGAAAAGAGACGAAGGCCTTCGAAGTGAAGGTCGAGGAAGCTTCGAAAGAGCTGCAGGTCAATACTAAACTCAAAAGGTCAGTTGATGTTTTACAGATTAGTTAAGTTTATCTTAGTAAAAATCATCTTTTCTCTCTTTGTTTGTATTATTTGTGTGATATCAATTTATGGCGAAGCTCTCTCTTCCTTATTTTCCAAGACATTTTTTTCGGAGACACTAAAATTTTTGAGTTCTTACAAAATGAGCTCATTATGTTGACTGATTTGAATGTCAGGTTCCTTTTTCAGTTCACCTCCCGGGCGCAGTAGGTCTCCCGGCCCCAGCGATAGTCGTAACTCCGATATGTTCGTTCTTTATGTCTGTGACTTAACTAAACATTCATTTTATGTTCAATTTTTGTTTATTAAGTGTTTTGGAAAGTTAAATACAGTCCTCATGTGACAAAAAAAAATGCGAATCCGGAAGTTTTGTGCTTCCAGAATGTTTTTTTTTCGTAATATAATGGTTAATGCTTGCAGTCGCCATAAATTAATATCACCAGCTGATCCAGATAGTTCTCGCTGTACTGGCATCTGGTTTTGTTCTAAAAGTATTGATAGTCATTACATTGGCAAGGAAAAAGCAGTCAACTAATTATAACTATGGGACATTACAAGAGTTATTTTTCCGTCAAGTGATCTAGAGAAAAAATGGTCCGATACAGGGGGCGGATCTAGGATTTTCTCGAGGGGGGGGGGGGGCGGTTTTTCAAAAAAAAAAATCTGAGCTCTCCTAAATCACTTGAAAGACATCATTTTGACCAAATTTTCTGCGCCGCAAGCAAACATTTGAAAAAACAGGCCAAAAAGGCGTTTTTAGGCTTTTTTTGGAAAATTTTGACCAAAAAAAATTCCGTTTTTTTTTTGGCGCGCTCCCCCCCCCCCCCCCCCCGCACTAAAAATTAGTATATATTGACGCCGAAGGCGCCTTTAGAAGAATTTTAGGGTCTGTGACCAAAAATGGATATCTCAAATAGTACAAAGGGGTGACCCTTTGGGTCGGCAGGGGGTCGAACTCCTGAGGGGGGGGGGGGGGACATAAATCCGCTGTTGATCTGATACGACATAGACTATTTGTCATTTTCTGACTTAAAACTTTTTGTTAAAAATGTTGAGGTTCATAGACATCGTTACACAAGCATAGCTTGTGTTATAGTATGAACTCTCTTTTTTTCCAACTCAAGTCGCAAATATTGTTGCGATACAATTGTTGCGACAAAATGTGTTCATTTTGGAAGTGTTCATTTTGATCCAGCTATTAAGTACAGCCAATGCTAAGGATAATAACACAGACTATTATATTGCAAATAGCACTTTAGCTTTAAGGTGTCATGGATCTGTAGCGTAGAGGTAGGGAAGGATACCAGTAAAAAAATAAGAGGGTTTGAACCTGGGCAGGGCCGGATGTTTTTAATGAATTTTTTTCGTATATTAGTTAAAATGCGTCCGCTCTGTAAATTTCGGCATGGTTGATAAATTTCTCTTTTTTTTCAAATTGACTGGTACTGCTGATGCGTCATAATTGGCTGCGTCACTTAGCAATTATGCAGACTCATAATTGGTGTACGTCACTTCAGAAAATTTGTAGATTCAAAGTTTTAATCATTCAGTTTTTCCCAGTAGCGTTATCGGTCTTATTTTTGCTTGTGTATGCGAAGTGCAACTTCGCCTCTGTGTCAATATTTAGTTTCATCCCCCTTTTTGAGACTCGAGAAAAGATTGCTTATATGGGTTCGAATCCCTACGGATTCTCCTAGAAGTTTCTTCGATCATTATATGGTCTGAAGATTTCTTCAATTCGCCGTACTTTGACTTTAGATTCTTACTAAAATTGCAAATAAAACTTGTAAATAAAACACTAAAGATGAGTGCATTATTATCTTGACCCATTATTTTTTCAGACGGAAATCTTCCGCTGCTCCTCAGGAGAAACTGTCGCTTGAACAGCTAGTGGAGGTGATGAAGAACATGTCTAGGTCTGAGATGGAGGCGTTTGCCTTCAAACACGGGGTCACTGACCTCAGAGCCATCCTGCAACTCATCAACCAGAAGAAGAAAGAAGACGCGAAAGGCTCGGCCGATGAGGTAAAGCAATTTGTCTTCGCTTCTGGGAAGTTTGCATTGCTTTTTTATATATACTGAAATGTAATAAAAGTTCTGTTGTATTGCGAAGTATCTGCATTAAAAATTTGGTCATTTTTATAATCCATTCAATAATATGATTGTATGGAATGAACTAAATTGGGAAACAGCTATCAACTTGTTTTACTTAAATCGAGTTTGATTTTGAACTGCAGTGTTAAATTTTTATTTCAAGGGTTTTATCTGCGTTTGTTACAGGCAGCGAAAAAAGAAGGAGGGGTAAATTTCGTCGTTCTGCTTAAATTTTCTTTCCAATGCTTCTTTTTTCCAGCTTTTAGTTTCTTAAAGAGCAGCTTAATCAATTCATTGGGTTTTCTTCATCATTTAAAGCGGCTCATGCTTTTCATAAACACCGAAAGCTTCAAAAAATCTGTTGAAATATATGGATTTTGAAAAGTAGCTCAATGCTCTAATTCGGACTGCTACCGACAAAAAATTATTAAAACGCAAGTAAAACGAAGTAAAAATGTAAAGGAAGTTTTGACAACTGAAAAATAGCAGTCATAAGCGCTCTGGTTCTTCAGAAAACATGCAGTGATTAACGCCCAAGATCATTACTGCAGCTTGTTTCAACAATAAATTACGCAATTTACTGACTAAATTAGATAATCTTCAACATATCACCGACGATGAATGTGAAAGTCGATGTAAACTAACGATCTTTCCTCCTTTACCACCCACATGACGAGTTTTGGAAGTTTATCAGTTTCATAATTGTTAACGCTAAACTAGCCCTTTAGTTTAGGCGTCTCTAAATTATGGCAATAATGTTTTACTGTACCACTTTTTTTGAAAGTTTTCAAAAGTAGTTTGAATTTTCGAGTTCGTTTTAATTGCTGTTTTTTTTGTAGAGATAAGCTTTTCTCGGTGTTGTTGGGCTCTTCAAGCTATTAGTTTATGATCTCGTCTTCATTCTTATCGAGGATCAAATTGATCGCCTCCCTCTCCAGCAGCAGGGGTCACAACCAATTTGTACGGGTCACCAACCGTCAGATTTGCACTGCTCTATAGGGCCTCCCTGATTAATCCAATTGTGCCTACCTTTTCTGCTTGATGATCATTCCACTCCGCTGTATCTCTTGTCTCAATTTTGTGTTCCTCTTACCCTGTCTCCACAGTCGTTGATCGTTCCAATAAATGATGGCCACTTTTGTAACTCGGATACTCTAGCGAAATCAATTAACTCATTTTGTCGATTTTTTCCTAAATGTTTGTAATCGTCTCTATCGTTACGTCCGTGACCGCATGTCCTGTCGCTCACGCTTGTTTCGCTTTGAAGAACTCGGATACTCTAGCGAAATCAATTTTTTCTTCAATTTTTTGTAATTTCTTCACAATATCTGAAAACTTCGACAAAAGCTTTTGTCGTCAGCATTGGTAGGTCGTCACTCTTGGCCTCTTTTTTCCCATTTTTTTTCCACAAACACTCGTCCACATCCATATCTCATAGTAAATCTATTTAGGCCTCTCTGTAAAATTTTCGCTCTCCCCTCCGCGTGCCTCTCGTTGCTCCTCTGTTTTCCGCATGATGTGAACTTCTCCCTTTTGCTTTCACTTGAAAGTTTCTTTTGTCTTACATAACATAATCGCTCAAAGTTTTTTTTATCACGGCAACTTTCTGTATATTTTTTTCTGTTTTTGGTTCAATGGTCGTCAACTCACTTAATGTTTGCTCAGTGGCCGCTCGATGAAAAGTAAAAGCGTGTTTTATGCTGGTATTTGTGTTATCGACTGTTTTTCTAAAATTGAATTTTTCTTTTGCTCCGAAAAAAAGCTATAAGTTGCTATTCATAATCAAGATATTTTGAAACAAAGAAAAAATTATCTCGATACATGAAAGGACCCGGGGTAAGTTTCCTATTTCATTTTTTCCAACCGGATTTGGTCCATTACTAGAATTTAAAACTATGTGAGGAGGTTATGGTGTTAATTTTTTGTTGAAAAACTAGATTGTTCTGCATAGTGTTCTAGTGTCACTGTTGAAAGTGTTAAGTTTGCCGCACTATATAGTAGGCCGACAAAAAGACTTTGTTTTTCTTCAAATTGATCCAACTTTTTTAAATGATGTTCTGATAGTTTCGGTTTTTCTATATATATTAGTGAATAAGAAAACATTTTTTTAAAATCAGTTTTTTTTATTTTTAGTTATTTACAATCCCATCTTGAACTTTTTATTTTTGGAGTTAATTTGAATGTAATCACTAATTAACTAGCTTTCATTTTTGTCACTTTCTATTTGCAAAATTTTAGTTGGGCGGATTTTCAAATGTTTGAATGTGACTTTCAAGAGTTTGAGTTGCGGTTTCAGTGATCTTATTTTCATATGCATAATCGTTTTTTTTGACACAATTGAAATAAAGAATAGACAGGGAGCTGCAATTGAATATGAAAATTTTTTCTCCTATGTTACTCGTTTAGTCGTCGTATGAATGATTTTTTACATTTTTTAAAATTTTTTTGAGTTGCGTTGGGAAAGGAATATTTCACTGATCAGTTTATGAAGTTTTCTCTATGGTTGTGGAATAAGTAAAAAAATATATCAGTATCAGCCTTCTTTGAATTTTCCATATCTTAAGACACGGTTGAATGGCGGATATTTGTTGAAATTGTTCTTTTTGCCTTTGGTGTTATTGAGTATTTTCCGTTCATTTTTTGGAACCTTTTCAAATTAAATGCGTTTCATGTTGGCTGGATTTCGTTTCCGCATTGCTTCCCCAAGTTTTTGAATTTATCGATAAATAGTTGGAAATCTAGTGGTTAATTTTTCCATTCTATTGCATTGCAGTTTTATTCCATAGATGGACCAGTTTCTTGGTAAACCAAACTGGCCATTTTGTTTGTTTTTCTTGAATAAAATGGGTAAATTTTTTCAAGAATCTTTTCAGACAACGTCTGCAATTACTCTGAAGCGTTTTGGTTGAAGCTTACTGGCTAACTTGTTTATCTTTCGGTTATTTTTTAGGTAAGTTGCTATTCATAATCAAGATCTTTTGAAACAGAGTAAAGTGGCCCATTACTAGAATTCAAAACCATGTGAGGAAGGTATGGTGTTTATGACTTTTAATAGATTTTTCTGCATAGTGTCCTATTGTCGTCCTATTGTCCCTGTTGAAAGTGTGAAATTTGCCGCACCATATAGTAGGCCGAAATAAAGACTTCGTCTTTCTCCAAATCGATCCAACTTTTTTGAACGATGTTTTGATAGTTTTGGTTTTTCTGTACATAATAACAGCTGTTATCATGAAAAATAGTTTTTTTTAGATTAGCTATTTTACCTTCATTTTAGGGTTTTCCAATCTCATACTGCATGTATTTTTTGTATCATTACAATTCCATCTTGAATGTTTCTACTTTTGGGGTTAAACTGAATATAACCACTAATTAACCAGCTTTCATTTTTGACTTTTTTTTGCAATGTTCTAGTTGGACATGTTAGATTGGCCGGATTTTCAAATGTTTGAATGTAGCTTTCAATAGTTTGAATTGCGGTTTCAGTGGTCTTATTTTCAGATGCATGATAGTTTTTTTGACATTACTGAAAGACATTGAGTGAAAATTAGTAGCTCTGATTAATGATTTTATATGATCAGATAAACATGTTATAACGAAACATTTTAAAGGTTGTAATCAAGGGCAACTCCTTCTTCGTTACTACCTTTGATGCTTAAGGTTGTTTAGTGTAGATTCTTGGGAAATTATCACAAAAAATTGTCCTTTTTGTCCTAAGTTTTAGATTACGATTATCTCGCTTCATCATTTTTACAAACACGACTTCAGTTGGGCTTAAGTCTTTAAATATTTCAACGTCTTTTGAATTCGTTAACTTCATTACTTCTTTTTTTTGCACACTGGTTTGGTTTTGCCACTTTGGTAATAACTGGCTCATTGATTTTAATTCTAGCTTGTAGGCGTTGTGCAACTGTAAAATATTTCTTGTCCATGCAGGCGTTAATGGTTCATGACTTCTATCTGATCGAATTGTGTTCATTGACATCTTCATCTTCTATTAACCCAATTTTTTCTTATGAATTTTCCTTCGTTACAATTTATAGCTTTTCTGTCTCTCACTTTGTCACTTCGGAAAAGTTTCAGTAAAAAACCATTTAAAAATCTTTTGACAAGTTCCATGAAAATGTCACATACGAAGGTCCATGGGAGTGTCTCATCAAAAAATTGAATGCTAATGTGCTTAGAAAGCTTTGTGAAAATGGCCACCAAAAATCCATGAAACTGGCCCATAAAAAACTAGTAATAATGATATGATAAATTCATAGTTTCAATTTACCAGGTCACAGTGGACAAAGCTCTTATGGACCACAAGGGCAAGCTGAAGAAGCCAGCCAAACTCAAGATCCAGTTGTCGGCTGGGTCTCCCAAACAAGTCAAGTGGTTCCGTAACGGAAAGGAGGTCGACAACAGCGATTTCAGGTTAATAATGCAGAGTCTATTAATTTTGGGGGGTATGTCAAAGGGCTTCAGTGCCAATTTTTTCAATTTTGAGGGGTGTATGTCAAATTTTTTCACCGATAAGAGTCCATAAACGGCAGTTCGAAATTCCTAGATCCACCGCTGATCAGTTTTGTCAACTGCCTGTTAACTTGGCGTGAATAAATTTGGTTTATATTCGTCTAGTAAACTTGCAAGCCGTGGTTCTTGACAACTTTGGTTGGTAGTTCTCCGGTGGAGCGTTATCGCCGCTCTTGTATAGCTTAGCAACTCGTTCTGTTCAGAATGCATGTGTATCTTACGTAGTCTGTTTTGTTTTAGGTTTAAGTTCTCCAACCAGATGCCGACGTTCTCGTTTGAAATCCCGGAGCTGCAGATGGTGGATGACGCAGAGTACACTTGTGAAATGGACGGAGTCGAGGTCGGCAGAGGCAAAATCATCGTGGACGGTGAGTTACGGGTGTTTAGTAAGGTATCATATGTTAGAAGAGGTTATACCATGCTATGCTCTACCTACGTTGCTTGCCCTTAGTTATGGGTGTAGTTTAAAGTCTCTTTATATCAACTAAAACAAAGAAAAACAAAAAAGTTTAGAAATGGTTCTCTAATATATTTATAAAGTTGTACACTCTTTTTGGATATAATATTTGTTTTTTTTTTGTAAATCGAGAAATAATAATGTTTTCGTCTGTTGTTCAGTGCCTAAGGTGGTGAAGCCCCTGGAGGACATGACTGTCAACGAGAAGGGTCCAGCTGTGTTCGAGTGCCACTTGAACGACGAGCAAGTGATAGACGTCGAGTGGTACAGAAATGGCGAACGCATCATCGTAAGTTTCAGAGAACCATCGCTACGTGAACCATCCACCACCAGATGAAGTTTTTACTCTGTCTCAGTGTACCTCATCTGGAGAAAGCAGGGTTGAATTCGGGTCATTGCGCAAAGGGTCTTTCGTAAGTGGTATCGAACCATTACCTTTGGGGGGGGGCGCAAAAATTCGCCTGCGGTGTAGTTTTTGGGAGAGGTCAGAATATTTTTTGACCTCCAGAAGCATAAAGCTTCGACTTTGTCGGAATACGAAAAGCTATCTGACCTCTTACGAAAGTCCTAGATCCGCTCTGGGTATAGTGGCTTAGGGTAGAATCAGAATTCAATAGCGAAGATTGTCACGAGTTTTTGAATTGTTTGCATTGCTTAACTTCTATTGACATTATGGACAGTAATCTTTTCAAACTTTATGTGCCGAGAAACAAAAACGAACAGCTGGAAGCGCCCCGTCAGAAAGAGCCATATTTGAATAACGGAAATCCTGACCTCATCTTGATTGATATTTCATGCAATTTAAATCTGGTTTACTTTGCAGGACAAAGCGGCTGAGGCGATCACGAAGGTGCGACAGAAGCCTGGCTGCATCTTGAAGCTGACCATAGCCAAGACAGTGCCAGAGTCAGCGGGAGAGATTAAGGTCATGTTCGGGGGCGGAGAGTCCGCGGCAAAACTGACCATCATTTGTAAGTAAAACTGTCAGAGCAAGCATGAACGAAATGATGTGATGCAATAATGAGTTCAGATATTTTGCTACTGTAACAGGGATTGTTGTCATTTTGAAGCTTAATTCTTGGATCATGTGAACATCGTGTTTTCATGCAAAATACTATCCTCGGATTGGCTGAAAAACAATAAACAAAACTTTTGAACAAATGACTTAGGGGTGGGATTTGTCTTTTGGCACAGATTCTGCAGTGAGTATTATTTCATCTTCATGTCTGCTGGACAGCTAATACTTCTTGTTTTGTTAGCGCCGCCCAAGTTTGTGGTGGACTTAGACCCGAACAGCAAGGCGGTGAGGGGCAAGTCCGGAGTGATGAAAGCCCAGCTGAGCACCACAGACTACGACATCAAGAAGATCAAAGTGTACAAGGACAACAAAGTCCTCAATATCGCCAAGGTCAGAGTAAATGAGAGTCGACAACTTTGATTGTGTTACCATGCTAAAATTTGTGTGAACTGACTCTTGTTTTATGGTTAGAGTTCATGACTGATAATTAAAAATCAAATGACTCAATTCATTATACCTAATTATAAATAACACCCAAGAAATTGCCTTTGATTTTCTCATGAGCCTTTGGCACTTTTTGGGCCAAAATTGCGAACTATGGCGGAGAACGCGCTCTGAAAAAAATGGCTGTCTCTGTCAAAACTCTCTTCGACCAATTCTAAAGATTTCTACGTCTTTGAGAAAAAGTTTTAGTTGATGATGATGATGGTGATGATGAGATTTTGTTTGTATTGTTAGGACCCTGAGAAGTACGTGTTTGCGGCGGACGAGAATGACCCCACGTGGGTGTATTTGACAGTGAACAAGACAGTGAATGAAGACAAGGGCAGATACAAGCTGCTATTAGGAGAACAGAAGACAGAGGGGGGACTCCTGATTGTCGGTTAGCAGATACAGATTTGCTTTTTTATGAACATAATAATATAAGTTTGATTTAATTTAGATACAAATCAGAAACTTCTTCACAACCGCGCTTTTTGGCGTATCCCAGCGCTAGAAGTTGTATGCAAATGTTTAATATTTTATTCGGTTCTGTAATCTACTTCAATGAGACGACCATGCAACTAAATTTGAAATTTAAACCGTGTCTGGCAAATTTGACGATATTGAATGATTCTAGGTCTTCTAATCACTTCTAATCAGTTGTGAAATGCTAGGTTTCATCTGCTATGAACCGTTTTAATTTTATCAAATATTTTCAGAGCCCCCAGTTGACATCAGCAGCAGCTTTGGCGACCAAGAGGGTGTTGAATTTGACTCAGTTAAGCTGGAAGTAGCAATCAGTCGAGATGACAAGAAGACACCGGTTGAATGGTTCTTCAACGATGAGCCCCTCAAGGCGACAGGGAGGTCAGTTATAGTAGCGCTTAATTATATTCTGGGCTAATTAGTCATCAGTGTAATTGGCGTTTAAAAATCTAACAGTTCATTAAGAATAACTATTAGTTCTTTCATATAATAGCTCACCAGTACATTTTAGACCTCCTCCTATAATACGAAATCAGTTCTCGAGCTATATTTTTTTGTTCGGATAACTATAATGGAAATCAACCATTTAACCATCCTTTTGTAACGATAATGATTATGATATGATGATCAAGATATTTCAAATTAATTTACATTTTTGTGTGAGAATAACGTTAATGGCAATTTGTCCTCTCGGAAATGACCGAAACGCGAGCTGTTCAGCTCTTTATAGCTGCACTATTGGTTAAGAATTGCTTGCAATTATTTAGCTATTTTTTGGACTGGATAATTTTGCTTCACCCTCAAACAGCGAACACGGATCATTCTGGGGCTCGAACCTCCGGCCTTTCCATTGACAAGCGGAGACTTAGCCACTTTGCCTCCTATCCCCATACCAACTGATTCAGATCCTCTCTTTGTTTGCAGGTTCTCTTCACAAGATACAGGGAAGGTGAGATCATTCTCAATTAAGGACCTGCACACTGAGGACGAGGGAGTGTACAAGTTCGTGATGGGACTAGCAGAGTGCAGTGGGAAACTCACCGTTAAAGGTACCTCATTCGCAGCCGCAGATATGACTAGCCCATTGTTTGTTCACCATTAGAAAACAATTTCCGCAAGATTTCCGCAAGAACTTTTCTTTCTTTAGGCTTGGAAGCATGGCAATAGTATGGAATGGAATTTCCATGATAAGACTGACCGATTTTGGCAATTCTAAAAATGTAAATTTTCAAACATGTGTCGCCAACAAATTCCATGTTTTTCTGAGCGTCTATATCTTCTGATTCATGAAATTGGTTATAAAAATAACACTAAATTTTCTAATTTTAACCTTTCATTTATTTGAACTTAACATGATTGAAATTGTCTTGAACCTAAAGATTTTGAATTTGTCTTTGCTTCTAATAGAGAAACCGATCAGCTTCCCGACTCCTCTGCACGACCTCAAATCGGAAGTGGGTTTCTTCGCTACATTCGAGGCCGAACACGACCACCCCAGAGCAGAGGCCTACTGGGCGAAAGACGGGGAGGAGATTGAGAAAAGTGACAAGTTTGAGATGAGTCAGGATGGACCTACTAAGTATAAACTAGTGGTGAATGACTGTACTCCGGAGGACATAGGCAAATACTCGCTGGTGGTCGGCAAGAGCAAAACAGAAACTGCCGCAAATTTGTCGGTCGAAAGTAAGCACACGTTCTAATTAAAAAAAAAAAATTGGATCTCTTGGTGCGAATTTCAAGCTACGAAGTTCGCGACAAAAGAATTTGATTCGTGAACCAAGAACAATGTCAACAAGAAATAAGACATTTAATCATTATGGTCATTTTTTTAACAGTAACTATGGGTTTGGTTAGTCCCGATGACCATTTATTTATAATTTAACGCAAAAGCTGATGTGAAGCGGAGTTAACTAGATGGAATTTCGAGTTTGGTCATCTTAGTTTTTTTTAATGTCTTCCATTTCGACTTTTTAGACGAGCCCAAGATGCTGGGTGATCTTAAAAACGTCGAAGTGAATGCCGGAGAACCAATCCGACTATTTGGCGAGTTCATTGGGTCACCCTACCCCACCGCCAAGTGGATCAAAAAAGTGAGCACTCCAGCCAAGAAAAGCACAGAACTGCAGCCGGACAAGAGGATCAGTATCAGTTCGAATAATAAGAATACTGAACTGGTCATTGATCCTTCTATGAGGACTGACAAGGGATCCTACGTTTTGCAGTTGTCAAACTTCCTCAAGACTATTGAGTTAGAGTGTCAAGTTGATGTACTCGGTGAGTCTACCTCACTTTCTTTCTTTCTTCTCAATCATAATCTCAAAATTTCAACGATGCAAAATGCTGTTTGTTTTGAAGATTCTCCAAATCTACAGAATTTTCAAAAAGAACTAAAATTAATTGCTAAAAATTGAGTGATTAAGTCTTTGAGATTTGCTTGCGTTGCTTTCTGTACTTCGGAGTTAACTTGTGAACCAATCTGCGTAGTTGGAAGTTCTAACGAAGTTCTTTTTGAAATGTCAACTTCAAAATAACTTTTATTTTGATCGATAACTTAAGATTAGTGTTTCAACAAAAAAGCTTTAAATTGGTAAGAGTAATTGCTTCTCCATTTGTTGCAGATACCCCTGGCAGTCCTGAGAACCTGAAGATATCGCAGGTGAGGAGGGACAGCATGGTGATCAAGTGGGACCCCCCTGAGGCAGACGGAGGCAGACCGATCACACACTACGTGGTGGAGATGAAAGACTGCACTGTCAACGGCGACTGGACCATTTATGACCAGGAGGTGAGTCAACTTATCAGAGAAAGTAAACGAAAACTTGAGCAACCAGTCTGGCAAAATTGCATCAGAAAACTTGGTCTTGATCAGTCAGTCGTGCTGAGCATGAAGCTGTTTGAATTGTGCATTTTAAAGTTTTGTTTTTTTTGAAAAAAATTGTTCAAAGTTAATAAAATTTACATGCGCTATAACATAGCATTGTTTTCGATTGAATAATCTTCTTCGGTTTTTAACGAAAAAATTGTCAAAATGCGTAGATGTTTTTCATGCCAAAATATGACTATTAACTAATTTCTGTGTGCGTTGAATCTGTAAAGCGGCAAAATTCGTGTACTGTGCAATTTGAATGAATGAATGCAGGTGGGTCGTGACTGGAAGGGACTGCCGGGCGAGAACCAGTGTGCAATTGAGCACGGGGTGAAGCAGGACCACGAGTACCAGTTCAGAGTCAGGGCAGTCAACAAGATAGGCACGAGTGATTGGAGCGAGACACAGATCGAGAGGGCAGAGGACAGATTCAGTTAGTATTTGTACAATGTATATGGTTGGGCTTCGTGCTACCTTTCCAACCCACCAAGTTTTTTTGTTGCTTTTTCATCTGCTTTTGGAGAACAAAAACAGTGAACGAAACTTTGGTTAAAAAAAGTAATTTAGTCAAAATGGCGACATCAACTAATTTTAACCAACCTGTATTTTTCATCCCTCAATTTGGACTGAACAAGTTTATAAATCTTCTACATGGACTAATAAAGAGTAGTGAACTCTTAAAAGTGACTGATAAAACTTTCACCCTAGGTTGTTTTTGGTAGTTGGATCTTTTTCCTGCAGATCTTAAAGCCAAGTACAATATTAATCTTACTTTTTTGTCCTCCTCCGCAATTATTTTTCCTCCGCAATTCTACTTTCTTTTGCGGCTTTGTACACTTGCATAACGTCTTTACTTCCGGCCTCCCTAGCTTTCCACTGTGGTTAATTTTCTGACTCTTGAAGATATTCTAGGATTGGTGTTTCTGTCTCCGACTCCAATGGTTCCTTTAAACTGTCGATGTACAAATTTTTTTTGGCAATAATTGCCAGATGAAATTGGTCGATCCAGTTTGCCCATTGGGTGTGGGGCTCTACCGTATGATTCGGCCAAAAGGCGGGAAATCCCCGTCGATTCGAGTCAGTTGACTGTGCCATAATAAAGTGTTCAAATGCCATTGGTGTACTCAAAAGTAACTAAGCAAAGGTTAAAAGCATAAAAATAGTAAAGATTGAATTAAAACTTTTTTCTCTTGAAACAACAAAAGTGTCGCGAAGTCCCATGGACTTCGAATAGGCACGAATTAACGTGTATCTAATTAAGAAATAGAGGTCAAAATAAGAGAATCAATACGCAAATTGCAACAATCTGTACAAGTATATGATTGGACTTCGTGCTACCTTTCCAACCCACCAAGTTTTTTTTTTGCTTTTTCATCTGGTATTGGAAAACAAGAACAGTGAACGAAACTTTGATAAAAAAAAGTGATTTTGTCAATTTGGCAATATCAACTAATTTGAAGCAGCTTTTTTTTGATACCTCCTTTTTGGACTGAACAATTATTTTATAAAACTTCTTTATGGGCTAATTAAGAACAATGAACGTAGTGATGACTTTTATATAGGTCTTGCTGATTTTTTAAAGTTTTTTTTTTCCAGGAAAAGCCTTAAATGCTCTAGCAACTACAGATAAGCATTCATACGTATCTAACCTTTTTTTGAGCTCAGGTGAAATTAATCTGCTGAAAGTTACATTAATAGCACTTTCAAATACGAACGTCGAAATCGCGTGAACGATGTCTTGTTTCGAAAGTGGATTTTATTTCTTAGACTTCTTGCAGAATAAATACTTTACCCATTGATCCAGTTTTCTCAGTTGGATTACTGCTAGCAAAAAAGTGTCAATCATAAATTGTTCTAGAAATTTAAACAGCTTAAAGGGCATCTGTTTTTTGTCTTCGAAATTCGAAAGTCGAGCTTTTTTCAACAGCAAGTCATTTATTTTTTCTGTTTACTTGCGTTCATTATACTTTTTTCCAACATCCAGTTGGCTATGTTTTTGATGTAGAGATGGAAACTTGCGTTTTTTTTGCTGACAATCTCCAGTACAAGAAAAATTATATTACAACGAGTTCATCGAGATGTCGAAAATGTAGCCGATAAATTTCCTCAAGTTATTTAAATAACGGGGAAAGAGCCATTGATCCAAATAATGTATAAGTAGATACAAAATATGTCACTTTGTTTTTTACATTGCGTGCGGGAGAGGGCAAGATTATCAAAAGGAAAGTTATTTGTTTCATTACTTTTTATTTTTTTCTTGAGTTCTGTTCCGATTTTGTATCAAAGTTTGTTCCAGTCACTTTAAGTGACAATCCAAACATTCAGAACTTTATCCTGATATGAGAAATGTTTTTAGCCTTGCCATTGCACGTATTTTTAAATCCGGAGAAAGGCTTTTTTGGTACGTATTTTTAAATCCAGAATAAGGCTTTTTCTGAAACATTTTTTTGCTTAACTAGTTTTTAAGCACGTATTTTAGCACGTGACAATGATTACATTTTTGCTTTTTCATGTGTATCTGCCTTGAATCAAAGCTACCCAAGCAATATTTTATCTTGTGCAGAACATCGTTTTTTTGGGAAGAAATTTTCAGTCTAAAAATTTTGAATTTTTTTGGCATAAAGAGCGTATACTATACTTATTTTTTGGCATAAAGAGCGTATACTTTGGCATAAATAGCGTATACTTGTGTATTCTCTAAAAATCTGGAAAAGTTATATAGTTTGGATTATTTTTTACTCAAGTAAACGCTTATATTTTGTTACGAGTTTTTGTTCCGAACCAAAATTTCAAAAATTACTCTTCAATATAAGTCTTGAGTATCTGTGTATTGCTCTTATTCTAATTTCATTGTTCCGACTTTCGAAGAAACTATGAAATTTATATACTCGAATAATCATCATATCTATATATCGCTTTTTCTATTTTTTTCCGGCTTGATAGGTTTCGGCCTTTATTATATCGGCTTATCGACCTCATATTGTGTCCTTCGACGAGCGAAATAAGTGTGTTGTGCGTGTTTGTGTTTTGAGGGCGAGGGGGCTTAATAATTTCATTTTGTGGGCTTCTTAGTTTTCGGGCTATATTATGTCGGCTTAGCTGTCTCATTTTGTTCCATTTGACAAGACAATAATGTTTTTGAGTGTTTTGAGGCGAGGGGGCTTAATAACTTCTTTTTGTGGGCTTCTTAGTTTTCGGGCTATATTATGTCGGCTTAGCTGTCTCATTTTGTTCCATTTGACAGGACAAAAATGTTTTGAGGGCGACGGGGATTTTTCAAAAATCTTAAATCTTGTTGCTTTTTTTCGGCTGAAAAGGTTTCTGCCAAGATATCTTCAGAGGCTAATTTCATGTTCTGTTGTCTCGGCATGGTTTCGTTTCAAAACTAGGCTTATTCATTATGATATATCTAGTTTTTTTTGACATTTTTGATGTTTTTTGTTTTATTTTTGTGTTGTGTCGCAAGTGAGCAAAGCTCAGCTTCGCCTCTGTGTCAAATACTGTTTTCTTCTTGAACCATGTGTTTCATGTTCGTTCGTTTTTGGGTTACATCTCATTTTTTCCCAATTAATTTGTCCGATCGCAACTTATTTTGCGCATCTCCAATGCTCAGTAGTTTTTATTCCGACCATTGAAAATTGGGAGGAACTTTGTGTTCGGGTGTGTTTCAGTTTTTTTTGTTTTTTGTTTCCCACGCAAAATCAAGTACCAAAAATAATCATCGGACTGGGTTGAGTGATTTATAATATTATAGCCCCTACAGTCGTGATGCGAACCACATTTTAAAATTTGAAAAAATGTTTTCCCATTGTTGAGAAAACAGGTTTGAAAATTTTGATTTTTGTCTTGTTTCGAGCGAACAATGCGAGCGAGCAGTCTTGTTTTAACTTTAACAGCTTAAAAGCTTAAAATAGCTTAATTTAAAACATAAAAATTTAGTTTTACTTGAGAAACTTTAGCTTACTTCGAGTACTTTAGCGCCTTTTGGAATGAAAATTTTCAAAAAATCAAAAAATTGCAAAACTTGAAAAAAAAACTTATTAATTTTTTTTTCATTTTTCAAGTAAATTTTCTAAAAAAAATTGTTTTTCAATTTGCTTATTTTATTATGACTGTCGAATATACCTAATCTCCAGTTTTTTTTGTTCAGCTCCTTTTGTTACACCACGCAAAAAAAAACGACAATAAATTGAAAAAACTTAATTGTATTTTTTAAAGATTATGGTCGGAACATTCTGTGCCACTTGCACAGTAAGCGGCTATCCTTGTTGTTGTTTTTTTTTTGTGAAATCGTGTCCGTTAATAATGCGTTCGTTTAATTTGCTGAGATATTCCCCACGTAATTTGAGTATTTATCTTGAGTATGTACGAACAAAGTAGTAAAACAATGACGCAAAATGAAAGAATAGCCGCGTTTCATTCAGTTTCGGTGGGCGCTATTTGTGTATAATTGTCAAATTTTGGCGTTCACTTACCAAAAACTATAATTGAAAAAGATTGAGCCAAAGACATCATAGTTTTTGGTATTTAAACGCCAAAATTTGAGATAACAAAAGACTCTAATCGAAAAAGATTGAGCCAAAGAAACCAGAGTTTTTTGTTATCTCAAAACGAGTCCAGTCCCTATTAGCACTTGCTGGTCTTCAATTTGAACATCAAAGAATCAAGTAAAAGTGTTAATTATGGGGCAAAACGGCATAGGACAAAATGTCGTATGGGTCAAGTTGGCATAGAACTGGTTGCCATGTAGGGCAAGTTAGTATATGAAAAGTTGCCATTTGACTTGGCGCAAAAATTCTTGGCACCCATTCTTAGACCAATTCATTGTTTCATAATCCGTTTTTTTGTTCCCTGCTGATGATGTGTTTTCATTTTAGCTGTGCCGGATGCACCTAATACGCCGAAAGTTACAGAGGTGGGACAAGATTTCGTGGCGCTGCACTGGGATACCCCCGATAGTGACGGAGGAGCCCCCATCAAGGGCTACATCATCGAGAGGTACAATGACCCCTCTGCATTTCTTTTTTTAATTAAATTGAGATTATTGGCTTTAAAAGATCAAATACGTGCTGACTACATGAGGTATTTAATGCTATCTATTTTCAATATCAGAATCAGTGTTTGGACTAATACTGGTTGCTTATTTGCGTCTGGGTTGGTTGTAACAGACTATAAACCATTTTTTCGAAAGTTTATGAAACAGTGGTTTGTTTTCTGATCTTCTTTGCTGAAAAACCGCTAGCGTCGCAAAAAAAGCAAAAAACTTTTAAGGCTGGTGGTTTTAATAGTTCTTTGACTGATTTTATTGCACCAGAAACTTTAAAAACTCAAATACTCTCTACTTACAGGTGTCAGGGCAACTGCATAAGCGGCATTTTTTTCTGGTGTGATTAGGTGTGAGAAGGGAAAGGACAGATGGATCCGGGCTAATAAGCGACCGGTGAGTGGGAACGACTACACCTGTGACAATCTGGTGGAGATGAAAGAGTACATGTTCCGAGTGAGTGCAGAGAACGAGGCGGGAGTGAGTGAACCCAGCAAGCCCACCGACAACATCCTAGTCAGAGAACCAATCTGTGAGTAGAGTAACTAGTTAACTGCTAGTTACTATTACTTATTTAACTTGATTAACTAGGTAACTTTTTATGAAAAGACATCATGAAACTGGTTAACAGTTGATCTCCTTAAAACAAAGTGAAACAAAAATTATCGAAATAGTTTGCGAATTTCTCCTTGTGAAATCTCTAAATCTTTGGTTGAAAGGGTTTGCATTTTTTATTGCACTTCTTAATTTAGACCCATTTTAGTTCTATATCATGAATGAAAGAATCCCGCTTGAAGCTATTCATTATGGCAAGGGAAATAAATATTTTCTCAAGTGAATTAAATTCTGCGTTCAGGAATTGATGATCTTCTCAAATTATTAAAAATATTAAAAGAATAGTTGTTGTCTCTGACCAAGATTTTGTTCTCTGTTCCAGATGCCGCAGATCCTCCAGGAGCGCCAGTTTGCGATGACGTCACAGATTCATCGGTACATCTGGTTTGGAAGCCGCCGGCTTTTGACGGAGGCACCAAGATCATCAAATACATAGTCGAGAAGAGAGAAGTGAAACCGGATGATTTCGGAGACGACGACGATTGGGATGAAGTGATGGAAACTCCGGAGTGCGAGGCTAATCTCTATGATCTGGATACAGGAAAGGAGTTCGAGTTCAGAATCCGAGCCGTGAACGAAGTGGGAAAAGGAGACCCTAGTGACCCGTCTGAGAAGACGAAGATAGAACTACCGAAGAGTAAGTCAGAAATATAACATAATTATCTAATTAGCTATATAGGATCAATTATCAAAAGCAGAGGCGTTTAATTGTCTCTTTTTTTTTCGGAAATAATTTTTGAGAAAGAAGATTTCTAAGAAAGAACTATAAAAAATTATGCTTCAGAAGTCAGATTGAATTGTTTAGATATAAAAGACGCAATAAAAATAATTTGTTGGTTTGGGTTGGCTAAAAATCTTTTTGTGTTTAGTTCCGCCAAGCATCAATTTGGATAACTTCAAAGACGTTAAGGTCAAGGCAGGTCAACCAATTGACCTCAAAATCCCCATCGACGGCAGTCCTCCGCCCACATGCGAGTGGTACCTGGATGATGAACTATTGGAACCGACGGAAGACGAGGAGTTGCTGACCCCGAGTACGAACAAGGAAGCTCAACTGGCTATTAAGAGTGCAGACAAGAAACACAGAGGCACTTTGAAGTTGGTTGTTAAGAATGAACATGGAACCTCAGAGGGAACGTGCCAGATGATTGTTTACGGTGAGTCGATCTTGAGACAGGAAAATAGTTTTAGATGCAAGATTTTGCTATATTTTTCTTTAGTTTGCTCAAAATTTTGAAATTGTTTTCTATCAGGCTTCAAATAATTTTTTCATAATTTTATATCGAACTATTAAATCGTTTTTAAGTTTTGAGCAACTTTAAATGTAAGCCTCAATTATACGATAGAAAGAAGAAGTTTTAACTACCAACAATAAGTTGATGATGAACAATCAAATCTTTGCAGACAAACCTGGTCCGATTGATCCTCCAATCTCTTGTCCCGAAACCACAAAAGATTCAATCACTCTCAACTGGACCCCGCCAAAAGACGACGGCCAAAGTGAAATCATCGGTTACAATATCGAGCGCCGAGACCTCACACGACAAGCATGGGTTAGAGTCGGAAAACTTCACCCGAACCTTGAGTTTGTCTGCAACAAACTATCCGAAGGTTCAAAGTACGTGTTCCGTGTTTCGGCCGAAAATCAATTCGGCGAGGGACCCGCAACTGAGAGCGAACCGATTGAGGCTAAAAACATGTTCGACGTGCCTGAAGCGCCTGGCAAGCCGAAGATCGCTTCAGTCGATACAAAAGAATTGACCCTAACTTGGGATAAACCGAAACGAGATGGAGGTCGACCAATTGATGGGTACATTCTAGAAAGATTTGACCCTGAAACTGAGAGGTGGTCGAAGGTGACTCCGAAAGTGATCAAAGAAGAGACATTTACGGTGACCGATATGAGACCGTACAAGAGTTGCAAGTTCAGAGTCAGTGCAGTGAATGAAGCAGGAACCGGAAAGCCTTCCAATGGATCAGATGATTGTGAACTTAACTGTAAGTTTTTAATGTTACTCTCATGTGTCTAACTATCAGGGGCCTAAAAGTTACTGGTGCGTCGAAATTATGAGACACTCCTACGCCCCCTCCCGAGATTAAGGACCCATGATTTTGGAAATTAAAACCCTTGGTAATATTTGCCCCAGTAAGAAGTTAAGCACCAGACAGTACCGTTAATTGAGGTGATTTTAAACTAAATCAAAAGTGTGGTATTTTTTCGCTTATGTCTGAAAAGTTTATTTATTTAAATGTTTTAATATTTTTGGTCAAACGCAAGTGATTTGTCTATTTTGTTGTTGAAATGTACATGTTTCAGCTAAACCGAAATTTGACGTTTCTAAGTTCCGAAACACAACCGTGCGAGCACCACAGCCAGTCAAACTAGAGATCCCGTACTCGGGACACCCCAAACCCACATTCAAGTTCCTCAAGAATGGGGAACCTCTTGAGAGCTCCGATCGTATCAAGATCATAGACGAAGACGGAGTTCTGAAGTTCGAGATCCCAGAATCTATGAGAGCTGACAGTGGTGAGATGGAACTGGTGATGGAGAACGAACTAGGAGAAGAGAGAGCGAAGATGATGCTCAATGTCCAGGACCGACCGGATGCTCCTGAGAATCTTAAGGTTGATAGGATGCAATTATTATCTAGAATTTTATTTATCTAAATGCTATGGGTTTTTCTACAAAGCAAATTAAACATTGGCTATCTGCTAAAAAAATTGTTTTTTGTTTCACTTTCGGGTCATATCAAGGCTTTAAAAAGTACCAGAAAATCAAAGACTATGCAAATTTTGTATTCAAGTTTTTAACAGATGAACCCCAATAGCTTTGTCATGTGTCCGGTTTGATTTAAGCCCGGCTTATTGATTTTTAAATAATGTTGCGATAATTCAATGTTTTTTTTACAGGTTGAAGACATAGTCGAGGATGGATGTACTATGAAGTGGGATCCCCCGAAAGACACCGGAGGTTCTCCTCTGATGAACTACGTTGTGGAAAAGATGGAGGAGGGAACAGGAGTCTGGCAAAAGGTAATTTGTTGAACTGATTGCTTGAGCTTGTTATTACGGGATTTTGTAATAAGTAGTTACAGAAGTCGGTGATGCTAGAATGGGTGATACTTGGTTTACAAACTGTTTTTGATATAACCATTTGCCATTTTAGGTCATGTCCTGTCCTCCCGAAAAAACCGAGCTGAAAATCTCGAATCTTAAAGAGAAAGCCAAGTATCACTTCCGAGTGTGTGCGGAGACTATGATCGGTGCCAGTGACCACCTTCAAACTGAAAACCCTGTCCAAATCCGACTTCCGTACGACCCTCCAGGACCTCCAGGAGTTCCGAACATCCTCAAGACTGCTGAGAGCAGCATCACGATTGCCTACGACAAACCCGAAACCGACGGTGGATCGCCGATCATAGGATACATCATCGAGAAGAGCGAAATCACGAAGCGTCCCTCGACGAAGCGTTCTAGTTCAACGCCTGGAAGTAACAGGTCCTGGATTAAGGTGAACAAAACGCCAGTCGAAGAGTTGGAATATAAGTGCACGGGGTTGATGCACAAGAGCGAATATGTGTTCCGAGTGAGTGCCGTGAACTTGGCTGGTCCGGGAGAACCGAGTGACGAGAGTGAGAGAGCGTTTGCACGAGAACCTATATGTAAGTGGCAATACCAATAAACAGTCATTTCAAGTTATTGGATTGCTCGATTTTTCCCAAGCTGAATTCTACTTTTATATCTAAGGATTTTTCCAATTTTCATGGCTAATAGGAATAAGATTTGTAAAATGCCAAATGCGATTTGTCAAACTAAATGCAAATTTTATATCAAATGATTTTCCGATTTTCAGGGCTAATAGAAAATGTATTAATCTGAACTAAAAGATTCCACGAAACTTTTTTTTTCCGTTTGAATATCGCGTTTTGAAATTTCGCGTCCACTTTTTATTGAACGTGGCTCTAGGTTTCGCATCTAAACTTTTTTCTAGATCTGGCTGGATCTCCTGGCCAACCAGTGGTAGAAGAAGTGACCAACTCTTCCGTGAAGTTGAAGTGGGATGCTCCTGAGAATGACGGGGGGTCCAAGATATCCCACTACGTAGTAGAACGCAAACCAAAGAGGAAGGACAGCGATGATGAAGAACCCGAGTACGAAGAGGTCATGGAGTGTCAGAGTAAGTCACCAACTGATCAATCAAAATTTGAAATTTTACATATATTCTTCAAGCATAGTCAACAGAAACTTGGTAAATTGTCAATGAACTCAAGGAAACTGAAAATTGGAAGCTTTTAAATACACCACATTTATTAAAACTAAACCAATCATAGAAAGGTAATTTGGGTTAATAGGTAATTTTCTTTACTGGGAAATGAAAGAATTAAAAATCCCGTTTTGAACCTAAAAGTTGAAAGTTTTTTTGCGCCATTCTTACTTACGTAATTGAAGACTGCAATTTACTTTCCTTTCACCAAATGAAATTGAATTGAACTTAAAAAGAAACCAAAGGCCAAACGACGATAAATCAAAATTGATTGTTATCAAATTTAAGGATTTTTTCTGATTAAACCACACAACCTAACTTCGTTCCTTGACAATTTTTTTTTATCGATGTTGAACACTTGAAGTTAAAATTGTCGGCGATTGAATTGGTTAAATTAAGTACATTTAATTGATAGAGTTCAAAAAGGTTAAATAGTTCAATTAAACATTCTCGAATACTCTCATAACTTTAAATGGCCTAAAACATAAGAGAGTCAGCAGGGCAAATGTTCCCGGATATTTATGCTGAAAAAAAGTTCTACAATGAGTAAATGTTATAGCAAATGAGGCTCTACTGCGTGATCAGCCGTTTGATGAGACGTTCGACTACCGAGTGCGAGCCGTGAATGAGGCAGGAGAGGGACCACCGAGCAAGTCCACACAAGTCAAGATCCATGAGCCAGAAGGTGTGAGAATACTACTTCCATAGTTATATCATCCGGTTACCATGAATCCAACCCAGCGCTAGATGATTGAAAATTGGTTTTCCACGCTCTGGTACTATTGCAGCGGTATTTTTCTGGTACTAAAGGGCATTTTTCTGGCCTGGGAAATCTTGCCTCCTTTTTGAACAATGATAAAATCTTAGTAACAGTTTTCAGACTAATGTATTAATTTGTTTTAAGTGGCTCCCGAGATGGACGAGGAAATGGATGACATCATAGGGGAGGCGCACAAACCTCTCGAGTTCCGAATTCCATTCAAGGGAGGAAAACCCAAGCCCACCGCCGAACTGCTCAAGGACGGAGTACCAGTGGACGATGTCGACATTGAAGTGCTGGACGATGAGGTAATATATTTTTCGTTTTCGTTTCTTGCCTGGTCACCATATAAGGTGAAATCACAAATTCTTCCTCAGAATATATTTTTTTGGTGACTCAGATAGGTGTAAAAGATGCAATGACAAAAAATGAAAATAGTAGAAAAAAGGGTAGAAATTTACAATATATTGCTATTTATTCTTGTCTCAGATACATCTACAGAGGAGCTTTTTAAAATCTTTTTAAAAAGGTTGAAACATTTTTTGTATCAATTTTTTCTTATTCCAGGTTGTCGTCAGGTTCAAGGATCCGACCAAAGCGAACTCTGGAAACCACGCACTCAAACTCACGAATCCATTTGGAGAAGCCACAACTAAAGGAAACATCAAAGTGCTAGACCGACCAGACCCCCCTGAAGACTTCGAATTGACCGAAGTGTTCAAGGAGACTGCAAGTATGACATGGAAGAAGCCGAGTAACGATGGAGGAGCTCCAGTAACTGGGTATAACATAGAGAGAGTGGACCATAAGAGAGGAAACTGGGTTCCCATTGAGAATGACCATGCTATGGAAAAGTACACTGCTAAGAAACTGGGTGAGTTGCTTATCTATTTTATCAATCAGTTTTAGAACTCTTTATTCATGAAACTTAAAACTTTTTAATTAACATTGTCTCAAACTTATTCAAGGGAAAAGATATTTGTTTTTTTTTTCAAGTTTTATTACTAGTAAGAAAGTTTGCTTTTTGAACGTTTTTTAAAAAAAAACAAATACCGCTAACTCAACTTCTGTTGTTTCAGTGGAGGGCAATGAGTACTCCTTCAGAGTGTCAGCTGTGAACAAATACGGAGCCAGTGAGCCAGTGGAGACTGACCGATTCACCGCCAAGGATCCTTATGGTTAGAGCATCAAATCAATTTGATTGCACCATTTCGCTTAGTTGATTTTCTCATCTGCGACATCTTTTATTCGATCAAGCTAGTTTTTTTTTGGAATGAAAAATTTTAATTCCTTGGCAATGTGCTGAGTCGCGAATAATTTTGAAATATTTCCCAAAATGACATATTGAAATGCCATATAAAAACGACAAAGAATTTATTGGCTTTTTGTTCATAACTTCTCTGTTTTCAGATATGTCAGAGCCTCCTCGCAATCTCAAAGTAGTCTCGATCGATAAACAGAAAGCTAAACTAAAGTGGGACCCACCCAAAAACGACGGAGGCAGTCCCATTGAGGGATACATCGTTGAAAAACAAGTCGGCAACACGAATAGATGGCAACGCGTGAACAAAGTGCCTCTTAAAGACTGTGACGCTGAGATTGATGATTTGGTTGAAGGCCAGGAGTACAAATTCAGAGTCTGTGCCGTTACGGCAGCTGGAAATGGAAAGCCGGCAACTACAGATGAAGTGATTGCAAAGGACCCATTTGGTAAGTCCAAATACAATAAGAAGTCCCGAATGTTCCGACTGCATGTTAAGGTCTATGGAGCAATGTTCGTTTTAAAAAAAAAAGAAAAAGATGAATTTTTCAAAAAAAATTTTTTTTTTGAAAATGTCACCACCACACACCATATGGAGTACAACGTGATAGATTTCACTTCTAGTAACATAGCAATTATGACAAACAGCTTGCTTCCATTAATTTTGAACAATTTCTAATACGGATTAAATCTTCGCTTACAAGTTAATAGCGCGGAATATATTGCGCAATAATTGTCCCAAATTGATCAAAATGGCAATCTTTAAACCTCATAACTTCACAAAAAATGGATCCAGGTGAAATACCGTTTTAAGTTTGAGACTTAAGACAATGCTACTTTTTGAATGATATAAAAAAATCCGTCAAAAATTGCTAGTTAAAAAGTCGAAAAAAACCACCCCGAGTTCAAATATTCCCTCATTTTCTTCAAAAATAGTCGGAACGATAGAGAAAACTCTTACATTTGTTACAAAGACTTATATTTATTTCAGTGCGGCCTTCAATCAAGTCGGACTTCCTGCGAGACCAGACAGTGAAGGTGGGCCAGACCCTGAAGTTCACTGTTCCCTTCAATGCAGACCCCCCTCCCACAGTACAGTTCAAACTACCCGACGGCACTCTCCTCAATGACATGCCAGACTGCAGGTACGCATAGACTACTGAACAGTAAACAACAAAATATTTCAATTAAAACTTAAACCTAATCAACATTTTCTGTTACTGCACATCGGTTAAAAAAAAACAAGTTTGGAATATTTTAATTGTGGAGTTTTTAATTGTAGTTTTCTATCGTAAAAAACATCCTGTAGATTTGCTGACCTAAATATCAGAAATGATGCGTATTTTGTTATTTTATTAATCTCGAATTGTGCTTAGGGTTGATGTGTCGAATGGACAGGCAGTGCTGACTCTGCCCAACTGTCAGAGACCATGGAGTGGACCAGTGGACATAGTTGTCAAGAACGACTTCGGAGAGGACACTGCACAGTTTAACCTCAGTGTCGTCGGTAAGTTTCTAAGATAGTAACTAACTCCTTAAAGTTTCTTTAAATTACACAAAAGTGAAAAGGTTGATCAGCGAAAAATTCAGAAGCCTTTATTTAAGCAGCGAAACAATTGAAATTAACAGGCCATGAAATGATTCATCATGAAGCGAGGAGAAAACGTCAACCTTTTCACTTGCAAATTCAGTGCGCAAAGGTTTTAACGGCAAAAAGTCCTGTAGTAACCGGTTGCAATTCCAAGACCGGTTCCTTTCTGTTCAACTTGCACAACAAGCGGATATCCTCGCTGTTCCAACTTTCGAAAAAGTGCGGAATGTTTATGCTTGTGTGGTGTTTTTATTGTTCCAACTTTCAAAGAAAACGGAATATTTATGCTCGGTGTTGGTTTTTTTTATTCAGTCAATTTTCGCCGATCGAAATAATAAATTTTGACAAACATTTATACCCCATTGAAGATATCGACTTCCTGAGTAAAAATTTGAAAAGATATTTTACCTCCATTTTTTTTAAAGTTCTCGCGGTTTGAAAGTTGCTAAATTCGCCATATTTTGGACTAAATTATGCGCGCTTTGAAGAATTTATTGTTCCGACTTTCGATACGAAAGTAACGGAATATTTGTGCTCGGGTGGGTTTTTTTTTTCTTCAGACAAATTTGACTTTTTAGCTAGCCATTTTTGACGGAATTTTTTTATATCATTCAAAAGGTATTGTTGTCCTGAGCTTAAATTTGAAAAGATATTTCACCTGTGATCGTTTTTTGTAAAGTTATGAGGGTTTAAAGATTGCCATTTTGATCAATTTGGGACAATTAACGCGCGATATAATTCGCGCTATTAACGCGTAAGCAGAGATTCAATCCGTCTTATAAATCGTTCCAAATTGGTTGAACGAAGCTTATTTGTCATAATTGATGTGTAACAAGGAACGAAAACTATCTTTTTGTACTTTATATGGCGTGTGGGGGGATGATTTTCATACAAAATTTCAATGTTTAGAAAAAAAAAGTTTTCTTTTTATTTTAGTTCATATAATGTTTTTATGTTATTACTGCTGCTCCATAAACCTTCAAAAGCAGTCGGAACATTCGCCCTGATACGAGCAGTCTTGTTCATATTGCTGAGTAACGCGAATTATCCCGCATAACAAAATCGTTCCAAGTTGAATTAATAATTGGTCGTATTAATTTCGTACGACTCAAAAGTTTTACACTTTTATATTGTCCAAAATTTATAGGTTTCCAATATTTTTTTCCCAAAAACTATTCGATATAAATTAAGGGACAGTCGGAACATTCAGGGCTTTGCCCTGATATACGAGCAGTCTTGTTCAGTTAATTTTCGATTTTTTGGTTGAAATTTTTTAAACTGAAACAAAGTGTTTTTGACTGACGTTTTTTTTATACCATCTGAAAAATATTGTTCTCTGGAGTTCAAATGTAAGAAAACACCTGTAATCTTTTTTTCGTTAAGTTACGGGTATTTGGAAGTTGCTATTTGTCATTTTGGGATAATTAACGCGCAATATTTTTGCGTTCGTATAGCACCCCTAAGCGGCGGATTATATCGTGCCAAATTGAAATGAGGGATGTCATTTGGCCTTTTTTATGACACTTGACGCTAAATACTTCCCTTTTGTACTTTAACTGGCACGTGTGGGTGATAAAGTTCAGATAAATTTTTAGTAAGTTAAAAACGATTAAAAACCAAAAATTTGTTTTTTTTGCTGTTTATTTTTCTTTCAATTTTTCTTACTGTGTGACATGTATGTAATCCGATTTTTTCTCTGTGTGACATGTATCTAATCCGATTTTTTCTAAATTTTCATAATTTTCGTGTCAAGCGCTGTTTATTGTTTTTTTTAAACATGTTTTCTACAAATTTAGCTTCATTTGAGACGAATCGAGACAAACCTTGAAATGTTTGGAAAGATATAGTTTTTTGTCAATTTATTGTAGCTGTAGTCTCATTTTATGCCTGCTGGATTGCCATGGTGTTTTTTAAATTTACTGCGCCTGTGTAATTTGTAAACCATGTGTTATTATGTTTTATTTGTGAACCATTTTATATATTCTAGGTCCCCCTAGCAAACCGGAGGATCCGATTGAGTTGGAGAATATCTCTAGCGAGAAGATCAAGGTGCAGTGGAACCCCCCTAAGGACAACGGGGGAGCCCCACTGCTCAACTACATTGTAGAGAAGATGGACGAGGAGAGAGGTTAGCAATTGCTTACAGATTAGGATTGTTATAGTTCGATCATGATCAAAGCTAGCTGTTTGATTCAAATCGCCTCAAGTGTTTTCTAATGCCCTAACTCATTTCTGCCGTGAATTGATAAGTGGTCACAAAAAATGTCAAGTGATATGTTTCCTCTTTGCAGGCCAGTGGGTTCGAGTGGGATCCACGAATGAGTTCACTCTGGACTTCACTGTGCCCAATCTGAACGAGAAGCAACTCTACAAGTTCCGAATCATGGCCGAGAATATACACGGACCCAGTCAGCCGGCAGAATCCGCGAGCATCGTGTGCAAGAACCCATTCGGCTAGTATCAACTTACAAATTACTTAAAGTTTAACGAACATTGCTGCATCGAAAATGATGCGAATAGTCGAAAACATGGACAAAATTTTGAATTAACCAACGCTCAATCCCCAGTACTTGATTTCGGGCTTAGAATTTTGGCACTCAAATGTGGCAGAAATTCACATAACTGAATTGCATAAAATTTTTGGGCTTGTTTTTTTATCAAGTATGTTACAACAATCCAAAAAGTATGCAATCTTATCTATGTCTTTGCTCCAAATGCAGATCCTCCAAGCAAACCAGGCAAGCCGGAGCCTACAAACACTAGCAACTCAGCCATCTGGCTCAAGTGGAAGGAGCCAGAATCGGACGGTGGATCACCTATTAAGGGATATCTAGTTGAGAAGAAAGAAAAGGGAGACAGCAGATGGACAAAGTGCAACAGGGAACTGGAACCAGACTGCACTAGCAAGGTAATTGGTTATTTCCTTCATTTGATGGTTTAAAATCGGAAATAATTGCCCAAAATTTGATTGTTCCCTGCTCTTCACGAAGTTAAGGGAAGGAACTATGGCACAAGGTGTTGTTTTACCCAATTTTAGTTATCTCGAGGAAAACTCGTAGAAGATCAAATGTGATATCGTATTAAAGCCCTATATGTCGGGACTCCAAAAAAATCGAAAAATTTGTCTCAGTGTCGACAAGAAATTGCCTAATTTTTTCGTTTTTCAGACTAAATGACGCGAATTATCAAATGACAGGATGAGATCCTGAATTCTCATTTTAGTTTTACTGCAGTTTATGCATTTTTGTACCGACCATTGAAAATGGGGAGGAAGTTTTTCTTCGGGTGTTTCTTGTCTTTTTTCACTTTTTTGTTTTCCACGCAAAAGGAGCTACAGCAGATAATCATCGTAATTTGTCGAGTAATATCATATTAAAGCTCTTTTAGTCTTGACTCGAACGACATTTTGAAATCTTCCAAAATATTTTTCCAGTATCGAGAGAAAACTGGATTGAAAATTTTTAGTTTTAATCTGATTTCAAGAGAGTAGGCCTTATAATAAATTTAACAGGTAAACTAGTTTTGGAAGCTTCATTCGGCGCTTTTTTGCAATCAAAAACTATTTTCCAAAAAACTAGAAAGATTGTTGTGAGTTTTTCTTTCTTTTTTGCGTGTTATTCATTTTTCAAGGAAAATTGTTGTCAATTTTGCCCAATTCACGAATTTTCTGCGCGTTCAATTAGTTCTCTCAACACAACGCGCACAAAAAAAACTACACTTATCCGAAGAAAAAAGGAGAAACTTTTTTTTAGTTATTTTTATAATGTGGTCGGAATACTCCATGCTAGCACAACTGCCTGCTATCCTTGTTTTATTTTCTATTCACCTAGATTGATTTTAGTGACATGGAAAATTTTTTTTGATGGGGGAGGGCGGTTTTTTCAAATGTTTTTTTAAGTTTTTTTTTCTTCATACCACTTTCGACTTGTTAACAATGTTTGATTACCTCTTGCGATAAACAAGGGTGTTGAAACTGGGTACTTTTTAAAATCAAAATTTTTTTTTGATTAGAGATGACTGATATTGGTAGTCATTTCCAGGCCTGTACTTTCGTCAACTAACTGAAAAGTTTTGAGCATATATAAATTTTAGTTGCCCGTTCTATTCAAAATTTGTTTTTTTTTGAAAGTTTACCAAATCTGATTTCAGTATACCTGGTTTTTATCGTTTTTTTCCGTTTTGCATTTTTTTTTATTCTCATTTAATATCCAATTGTTCTTACTCTTACGATAAGCAAGGGTACTGCTATGGGGTACTAGACTTTTTTCCGTAAACTACTTTACTCAAAAAATGGTCATTTTAGTAGGAATGGTAAATATCACTTCTGACTTGCTCATACTCTAGAAATTCATTTAAAACTACCATCATTTAAGTAGTAAATAGGTAAAAACTGTTTCAGGTAGTAATTAATTTTTCAAAAAAAAAATTTCTCAAATTTAATTCTGTTTCGTGGTTTCCGTCCTAGTTTCTGCCGTTTTTTTTTTCGTTTTTTCTTAAATTTACATTTTTTAATCTTGTATGGCTTTTATTGGCTTACTTTTTGAATCATGTTTTTTTTCCAATTTAAAAAGTGTTTACTATAACAGGAAGTTCAATTATACGCATCAATAACAGTCTGACAAAATCAGTATTGGTAAATTTACAGATTACTGAACGTCCTGTTATAAATGAAAAACTGTTTAAATTGCAAAAAGCCCATGCTTAAAAAAAACCAATAAAAACCATACAAGATTTAAAAACTGCGCGTTTAAAAAAAACGAAAAATGAACCAAAAGGAACTAGAACGAAAACCACGAACCCGATTACACGCACCAATAACAATTTCCTTAAATAATTTACAAAATAAAAAAATGCAAAACCAGACATGGTAAATTTACAGATTACTGAAATTCCTGCTATAAATGAATAACTGTTTAAATTGGAAAAAGAGCAATGCTTCAAAAATAAACCAATTGAAACCATACAAGATTTTAAAAATGAGCATTAAAAAAAAACGAAAAATGAACCAAAAGAAACTAGAACGAAAAACACGAACCCGATTATACGCATCTAAAACAGTCTGCTGAAATATCTTAAAAAATGAAGAAAAAAATTGCAAAATCAGGTTTGGTAAATTTACAGATTAAATCAGATTTGGTAAATTTACAGATTACTGAAGTTCCTGTTATGAATGAAAAACTATTTAAGTTGGAAAAAACCCAATGAACCAATAAAAACCATACAAGATTTAAAAAGTGAGCGTTTAACAAACGAAAAATGAATCGAAAGAAACCAAAACGAAAAATGAATCGAAAGAAACCAAAAATAGTCTGATTTTGCGTAATTTTTTTCCATTTTTTAAAAATATTTAAGCAGACTGTTATTTCGGCCTAGTCAACTTATATTGCGTAATTGCGAGGGCAAAATATATTTGTATAGGATTATCTGCTTCAGCATGGATGGGTCGTAAAAAACTTCTAAAAATCATGAAGTTGTATTTATTGCTGCTAAGTGAATGATTTCAAATTTTTTTTAAGATTATTTTGGAACGCCATTCGACATAACCATAAGTTTTTATCGCAGTAGTTTTTCGAACGTTTTCAAGCTTTGCCTCTGTGTTGAATTTAATTGTACCGTCTTTTGAATTGAATTTAAATGTTTTTTAATTGTTTATTGTGCCGAATTTAAATGTTAATATTCGATAGTTGATTTGTTGGGTTAATTCTATAGGCTTTTGAAATTTCTTAGGTTTTCTGCAAGTTGTATATTGTGGCAATTGCTTAATTTTTGCATTCTTTGTTTTAAAGTTTGGTTTTAACGTTTCATTTTTTATTTTAATGTTTGTTTAAAGCAAGCAAAGGATAGGGCTTTTCCTTAGTCCCAAATTTTCCTCTAGGACATGCAGTCTGTTGGTTGTATGACTTCAAGCAAAGTTTTTGAATTCAATTAGGAGTTTTTTAACTCGTTTTTATCTATTTGTTATGAGAAAGAAATGAATGGAGTTTGAATGGCCAGAATCTTTCTGTTGATTTAGGTAATTGATTACTCTAAGAATTGAAATAAGATTTTTTTTTTTGATTTTTTAGCGTACGATTTCTTCAATACTTTACTGAATATGTTTCTTTTGAGGTATATATTTTGAATTTTGGCATTTTGTTTGTATCGCAAAAGGTGCGACGCTCAGTTTTGCCTCTGTGTTGAATATTGGTGCCGACTGTATGCAACCTAAAATGTAGTCCCTTAAGAGTAGGCATTTGTTGAAAAGCACCATGAAATTTTGAGCTTGCAATTTTCTTAACGAAGTGTTGATTTTTCTTGACTGGTCAAATGGCGAGCTTTTGCCGAAATAGAAGTAAAACTGTCTCATTTCAATTTCCCTAAAGTTTATTTATATCGCAGTTAATACAATCCTGACTCTAGTTTAATTTACAGGTGTCTGGCTTGACCCACATGACAGTGTATGAGTTCCGAGTGTTTGCAGTGAATGCAGCTGGCAACAGTGAACCCAGTTCTAGCAGCAACCCCATCACCGCCAGAGAAGCTATCCGTCAGTTTAACCAGCTTAATTAGTTCCTAATCAACCATTTTCGATATTTCATGCACTAATTTCTTTCAGGTCCCGCAGATGCATGTGATGACTTGCGAGTGGACAAAGTGACCAACAACTCGGCCACTCTCTCCTGGCAGCCGCCCATCAACACTGGCAACTGTCCCATCCTCAAGTACATCATTGAGAAGAAAGGCAAAGGCGACAAAGCATTCAAGTTAGAAATCCTAGAAATCGTATTCCATTGATGTTGTACGCGTTATGGTTTTAGCTTACTAATAAAAATTTTTACACAATACGGTACTCATTGTGTTGCTTTAATGAGAAAACGTGGGACACCATGAAGGCCCATAAAGGGCAAAAATCTATATGAAAATCGATCATTGGTGAAGACAAAAATGTCGAATATTGCGAATTAAACGCAAGTTCGTTATTAAGGCTCATATTAAAAGCCACCTAGTTTAAATTAAGGTTGCATAAATTCTTAATTGTTTAATATAACAGGCCTTGCAAAGAGACAGACGTGCCTACAGGCACTGTTGATGACCTTGAGATGGACGATGAAGTGGAATTCAGAGTCATTCCTGTGAATGAGGCCGGAAAAGGTCTGCCCAGCCAGCCCCTCAAGGTCAAGATCAGGGAGCCAGAAGGTGAGTAGCAGACTTTGATTACGTGAACAATTAGATTCTTTTTTACGGTCAATAGAATGCAAAAGCAGCGCATTGAAATGATAATTCATGTCATGATAAGAGAGAATCGGGCGCACTAGCATTCAAATTCAATCTTAAGTATCTTAAAAAACGCCGGGCTAGAAAAGAAAACCTGGTTTTGAGTGCGAATAGTTTTTTTTCAAACAGTGATGGAATGGGAAATCGGTTTCATCTTATTAATTGTACATTAAGATTAATGAACGTAGTGAGTACTCTTATATAGGCCTTGCTGATTTTTTTGTTTTTTTTTTGAGGAAAAGTCTTAAAATTTGTTCACGCTCAACTTTGATTTTTCGCGGTTTGACTTGTGATTACTTTTTAAATTCAGTGCATTTCTATTGTTAAAAAGAAGGCATACTCCACTATCGAACAGCAAAATTGTAAGGGTCACGGAAAATTATAAGATTTCCCTGCAAATTAAAAAATTTATCTATTCATCCAGTTTTGTCATCATAAATTTTTCTACAAATTCAAAGAGGTTTAAGGCCATCTATTTTTTCTTCGAAATTTAAAATGTTGAATTTTTAGAAAAAAATTCAACATTTTCAACATCTCCCGTGTGGTTCTGCAATTCGGTTTTTTTTCAGTTTCCTTGCGTTCATTACTCTTTTCCACCTGTCAGTTGGCTATGTTCTCTAATTACCAGTAAATGTGCAATTTGAAAGAATCAGATGCATCAATAGTTTCGCTCCTTTCAGTATTGATTTTTAGAAAACCCAAGTCAAAAAATACCATACTTATTAAGAGTAATGAACGTAGTGAAGACTCTTTTATAGGTCTTGTTGCTTTTTTTGTTTTTTTTTTCAGGAAAAAATCTTAAAATGTGCATATAAGTCTCTAATAACTACAGATGTGCGTTCATTCATATTGATGCATTTATGAGTGCACTTAAGTATATATGCACTTATTGAGTTTGATTGAAATTCATCTGCTGAAAGTGACGTAAACAGCACTCTCTAAATACGAACGTGGAAATTGCGCGAAAAACGAACGATTTCTAGTTTCGAAAGTGGAATTTCATTTTTAGATTTTCAACAGAATAAAAACTTTACCTGATGATCCAGTTTTGTCAAGTTGGATTAATGTTATCAAAAAAGCGCCAGTCATAAATCGTTCTAGAAATTCAAAGAATTTTTTCAACAAAGTGTTTTTTTATGTATACTTGCGTTCATTACTCTTTTCCGAGTTTCGATTGGCTATGTTTTTATAAAACTACTGAGTTTCTTTTGCAGCCCCACCCAAGATATCTTTCCCCGCGCTTGGCATGAAAGACCAGAAACTCCAGGCAGGCCAAATCCTCAAACTATACGTTGAATTCACCGGCTGCCCCGAGCCCACTCCCGTGTGGTTCTGCAATGGAACAGAGGTCAAGCCCAGTGATCGGGTCAATTTAGAGGTCAAAGATGGAGTGGCCACTCTGCTGGTGCCATCTGTGAGTAAGGAAGAGAGGGGCAAATGGCAAGTGCAGTTGAGAAATGAAGGAGGCACGGCTGAAGCCAAGTGTAACGTACAAGTCTTGGGTAAGTATTTGTGTTAGAAATTCCGAAATTAAGAGTGAAAGTTAGTCTGCGTTAAGGAAAACTGTAAACAATATTTCATGTCATCTGGTATTTTTTAAAACTCGAGTATGCCTATTTTAGACACACCTGGGCCGCCTGGTCCTATCGAGTACCCAGAATATAGCAACGAAAAGATAGCCCTCAAATGGACTGCCCCTGTTGACGATGGTGGATCAGTCATCACCAACTACGTAGTCGCCAAACGAGAGGTAGGCAAGGGAACCTGGAGCAATGTTACGTCATCCATTTCCAGGACCAACTACACCGTCCAGGGTCTGATGGAAAAGGCGACGTATGAGTTCAAAGTATGTGCCGAGAATATATACGGAACCGGAGATCCCTCTTTTGGAGATCCAATCATGGCCAAGAATCCTTTCGACCCCCCGGATGCTCCGAGGTCATGCAGGGTCAAAGAGGTTACGCGAAGCGGGGTTAAGTTGGAGTGGGAAAAACCGACCCGAGACGGAGGCAGACCGATTAAGGGTTACATAATCGAAAAAAGGAATGTTATGGAAAACTCATGGCATAAAGTCAACCGAGTTCCAATTCCCGAGACAACAGCATTCGTAGATGATGTTATTGAAGACGAAGTGTACGAGTTCCGAGTGATGGCTCTGAACGAGGCAGGGTTGAGTAAGCCAAGTGACTGTACGAGCCCTGCAGTCAAAATTGAGGATCCACCAAGTAAGAGATTGATTGCACGCGTCATTGACTTTTCTTTTAAATTTATGTATCACACTTCACTTTTTGTTATGACAGAAATCACTGCATACTGCATTAAATATTCACAGTTTAATTTTCTTTTGAGAATATTCTGCGACTTTTTGCACTCCTCCGTTCAAAACTTGTGACTTAAATTGTGCTGTCTAAATTTCAGCCTTTTTTTATCGCAAATTTAATTTTAGTTCACGTTGAGCACTTGCATAGTAACCGTTTGTGATTTTCTGTTCTGCAGTTGTGCCAGGTACGTCTGTGATGCAAATTTGTCAGTTTATAGATCATTTGTAGTTTCATATCGTTATTAGTAATATGTCTGCGAAGTGTCTGGAATGCAATGAGAATGAAAAATTTGTTATCCTATAACCTTTACTTAAAACTCCCTTGAACCATTTATGCTTCCATGCTACGTTTCAACATTGTAAATTAGAATAACCGTCAATATGAACGTTTGTGCGGATCAACAAACACAAAAAGGTTTTTTGTGTTCCAGTTTGACAAAACATTTTCGTGTTTTCCAAAGTTAACTTAAGTAATGAAAGGTTAACTCATCGAAGTTCATTTTCTAGTGATTCCTAACCCGGAAAAAGACGGACTTCAAGACGTCACAGTCCGAGCTGGAAACTCTTTCCGACTCACCCTTAGATACAAGGCCCACCCAGTGCCAAACATCCAGTGGATGGCCAACAGCAGGGAGATCCTCCCCTCCGCCGACAACTTCAAAGTGGAGAAGAGTTCCAGAGATACGGCTCTGATTTGTCTCAAAGCCACCAGACAGGACCTGGGAGTGTACATTGTGAATTTGAGCAATATCGCCGGATCCACTGAGTCTTCGTGCCGAGTCACTGTACTGGGTAAGAATGTTCTCGAAACTTGAAGAGACCGAGTTTAAAGACAACAAAACTTTCAGTAATTGTGGAGTCTATGGCTTGCCGTTTTCCCCTCGTTTTCGTCTCCATCATTAATTAATCATTCCGTTTTTTTTAAACTGCTTTAAAATATTTCCCCTTCCTTTGTGTTTAGACGTACCTGGGGCTCCTATACCCCCGGTTGTCGTCAAGGAAGTTGCAAGACACTCAGTCACTCTTCAATACTACCCTCCAGAAGATGACGGTGGAAGCCCAGTAACTGGTTACGTCATCGAGAAACGCGAAGACAAAAGCAACATCTGGACACTTGCCGCGAACTCACCGGATCTCACTTGCGAAATTAGTGGACTCCTTGAAGGTGTTCCTTACAGATTCAGAGTCGCTGCTGAGAACAAACAAGGCACTGGTTTGTTTACTGAGTACGGAGTTCCAGTCATCCCAAAGAGTCCCTACAACGTTCCCGACGCTCCATCGACACCGAGGGTCCTCATGACAACACCCGCTAGTGTTTCCATTGCTTGGGATCCTCCTAATGATGACGGTGGTTCCCCCATTACAGGGTACATAGTTGAAATTAGAGACAATATTTCTGGAAGGTGGAGAGCGTTGAACACGCAGCCAATTGATGCGAAGAAATACACGGCTACAAAATTGGTCGAAAATTCAGAAGTAGAGTTCAGAGTCGCAGCTGTGAATGAAGTGGGTCAGAGTAAATTCAGCAAGCCATCACCAATGGCAGTTGTCCGAGATCCCATCGGTTAATAATTAATTATTTTACTCCTTTAATTTCAAACCAGTGACATGCTTACAGCATGGTATTGTTGATATTTTTATTCGGCTAAAGGATCCTTTAATTACCATAGCTTCAACACATTTTGCTACTGGATCCAAAGCTTGGTTGTGGTTCTGAGTTGGTTTAGCTGTTTGCTTTGAAAACTCCAGTTAAACAATCCTGGGATATTTAGACGCCCCCTCGAAGCCAGGCAAACCAGAACCTGAGAAGATCACCGACGACTCAGTCACTCTCACATGGGCAGCCCCCACGCAGACCGGAGGTAGTCCAGTGTCCGGCTACCAGGTGCAGATGAAGAAGAAGGGCAGTCCCAACTGGGAAGACTGTATATACTCTCCCACTAACAGAGTGCATATTAAGGGACTGGAAAAGGATGATGAGATTGAGTTCCGAGTGGTGGCGGAGAATGTGGCGGGACAGAGCGCTCCGAGTGCCTCTTCGGGATTGCTCAAGATCAGAGAGCCACCAAGTGAGTCTGAACATAAAATTATTGCAAAAATCGAGTACTGGTAGTCTAGAAAACTAGAATATTGTTCAAATCGATGCGCACCAAATGAAGTGCGCACGAATATGATCAAGACACTGTTCGCATGTGCCTTTTTATGCAGTCTGTCGCAGCCACGATCGTCTTAGTGCTTACTGTTATATTTAATAATTTCCAGGTGCGCCTGAGATTGATATGAACGCCTGGCCGAAAGAAATCACGGTAGTCGCTGGTCGGCCATTCGAGATCAAAGCAAATGTCACCGGAAACCCGACTCCAGAGTTCACCTGGTACGACCAGAAAGGACTGAGAGTCATCCAAGATGACCGAATGAGACTGGACAAACTACCAACAGCCGTCAATCTTAGATGTGTCGAGTCTAAGAGGGTCGATGCTGGAAGATTCACTTTGAAGTTGACCAATGAGAACGGATCTACGGAGGCGGTGTGCACTGTAAACGTTCTAGGTGAGATGATTTAGATTCAATATCAAAGAATTGAACATATCAGTGATGATAGCCCTCTTAATAACTGTAGCTCGTACGATTGCCTGGACTCTGGTACAAAAATTATTTCTTTGAACTTATACCTACATGCATCAATTTTTGAAATGAAATTTAACGAAGTGAATTTCCATTTATTTAGATCTGTTTTTCTTCTCTTTTTTCCTTCAAGAAATTCTTTGAATTTATTCGTGCTCTAACGCAAAACTTCGAGTGTAACATTTTTTAGACCGCCCAGGAGCTCCTGGAGAACCCTTGGATGTTAGAGACATCACCAAAACTTCCTGCTGTCTTTCTTGGGAGAAACCACGTGACTTAGGAGGAGTTGAGCCTGAAGATATCCTTTACGCAGTGGAGAAATGCGAGGTAAAACGAGGTAATTGGATGCCTGTTGCCTCTAACTTGAAAGGAACTGAACTTGACGTGAGCAAACTAGTCGAAGGATGCAACTACAAGTTCCGAGTTACAGCCGAGAACAAGTATGGAGTCTCTGATCCTCTGGAATCTCGAGTCGTGACACCGAGTGCTCAGTTTGGAGTCCCAGACGCTCCTGGAAAAATCGAGGCAATCGATGCTGGTTTTGATTTTATCGAGATTGGCTGGGAAAAACCGGTGAGAGACGGTGGAAGCAAGATCCAGGGATATGTTGTGGAACAAAAAGAGGTTCCAGCTGGTAAATGGCTTAAACTGACCATTGGTCAACTGGCGCACGAGAGACGATACAAGAGTAAAAAAGTAGAGGCGAGGAAGAATTACTTGTTCAGAATCAGGGCTGTGAATGAGGCGGGAGAGGGAGATACTAATGTTTCCGACAAACCCATCACCGCCAAGCCTCTCAAAGGTTAATATTTTGAAGTTTTTCTAGAACAAGGTAATTTTTCAGCGCGGGGCTTTCAATATTTTGCGTATTTATGCACAAAAAAATTGTTTAGAAATTAACTTGGTGTCTTTTATGAAGTTAATGGCAAGTTTTTTCTCCGAGTAGTTTTCAGTTAAAAAGTTTTGTTGTTTAGCGGCGCCCTCTTACGAAATTGATCCAAAAGCCAAAAATATTGTCGTCAAAGCTGGACATTCCTTCCGAATCCCAGTTTTCATTGACGGCTCTCCTCAACCAGAGGTCAAATGGTCACACAACGGAGAAGAAATTATAGCCGATCTGAACACAAAGTTTGAAAACTCCGAATATACGACAGCTATGAGTGTAAGCAGTGCCACTAGAGATATGTGCGGAGATTACAAAATCAAATTAGAAAACGAATACGGTCAATGTGAGGCTGATGCAAAGGTGACGGTTTTGGACGTTCCAAGGATGCCAGAGGGCCCGATAACGTTCGACAGCATCACCAAGGATGGTCTAAAGATGTACTGGAAAGCTCCTTTAGATGATGGTGGAAGCGAAATTATTGGATACACGGTCGATAAGTGCCGTCATCGTCAGCAGACCTGGAAACCAGTGACTGCTAGTGCCAAACATCCACAACACGAAGTTCAGTATTTGAAAGAGGGTGTGCAGTACAACTTCAGAGTATGCGCTTTGAATCTTTACGGATCCAGTGAACCTTTGATGTCTGACCGTCCAGTTTTGATCAGAGACCAGTTCGATCCTCCGATGGCTCCTCGAGGAATCTCTGCCGAGTCCTTTGATCTTGGATGTATTGACGTCACCTGGAAAGCTCCCGAGTCCGACGGTGGAAGTCCTATCACCGGTTATGTCGTCGAAAAGAAAGAACGAGGCTCCGCCAAATGGACCAGGTGCAACAGACATCCACTTAAAGACTTCAAGTACGAATTGATTGACTTGATTCCAGAGAATTTGTATCAAGTAAGAGTTCTGGCCATCAACGCAGCAGGTGAAAGTGAACCTTGCACTTTAGAGAAAGCTTTGACTGCGCAACCTGCGCTAGGAACCGTCAAGGCTCCTAAGAATGTGGCCGTGAATGAAGTGACTGATAGTTCAGTGTCGCTGACTTGGGATAGACCATTGACCAGTGAGAGGATGAAGGTTATTGGATACATGATTGAGAAAAAACCAAAAGATTCGAAAGAGTGGACTCCTGTGACCAAGATGCCCCGATCACCTGTAAGTACTTGGAAATTACATTCAATTTCTTTTGCATCTTCAAGTTTTCTAGGAAGATGGCGGTGTCATATAATCATCAAATGAAAGCTCGACCAATTTTGAATCGAGGAAAGCTCCTAAGTTTTTTTATAGCTTATTAAGATCGAAATATTGACTAACGGCGTCTGTGACCGGTTTATTTGTTCTTTCAGGGGCCTAGTCGCAGACCTAGCACAGCGGTTACTCCCCTGACCCCAGACAGCTTCAGACCCAACTTCGGATCCTCCTCCAATCTGCTTGGATCAGGCCTCAATCTAGCACCTCAGAAGAATGTGAGCGCAAAATTTCATCTTGAATTTTTGTGCTTATTTTTGAAACATATTTTCATTTCTTATGATTTTGTGTATACTTTTTCAAAAACAGTCTTTTGCTGACTTTCTATTCTAAACAGCGTGAAAATTGTGAGACAGCACTGAAAATGGAGAGAAACTTTGTCTTTGGGGTTGTTTTAGTTTTTTTTTCTACATCTTTACATCCAAAATCAGGTAACACAGATACTCACCAGAATGAATCGATTGATGTATCATTTTATAGCCCTTTCAGCCCTGATTTGAGCGACTATAAAAAGTTTCAAAAAGATTTTTCAGTTTCGTTAAAAACTGGTTTGAATATTGTAAAATCTAATTTTGCCTCAAGTAACGTTTGTTATTTGAATATCGATTATTTAAGAAAATCTAGTTTCACCAAAAGATGTAATTGATCCTTCGTCTAACGCATAGCGCTTTAGGCGTTAATGTAGTAGAATTGGAGGTTGTACTTAGTGAAAAAAAATGAGGACTATTCTTATAACTATCCAGCTATTTTTTTTTAATTCAGATGATAACTGGAACCCGAGCCACTTTGGATGACCTCGAAGTGGACGAAGAGATTGAGTTCAGAGTAGCTGCAGTTGTGGAGTCAATGGGAGTGGGAGAGTTCAGCGCGCCAACTCCCCCCACCAGAGTGAGGTATCCTCCTTGCATGCCATACATACTGAGCTACAGCAAGAAGACCATCACTGTGAAGGCGGGAGAGGAACTTCAGATCCCGGTGTCTTTCAGAGCCAGTCCAACTCCTACTGTATCATGGACTAACAAAGGTGAGCTATATTGCGATCCTTCGTTTAGCGTTGCATATTTAGTCATTTCGAAATTCCTAGATAAACGATGTTAAATGGGTAACCCGCGGAATCCCCGGGGCACCCAAGGAATTCCATATCAAATTAAATTGTTGCAATCAAACTAAGTACATCTACAACTCTTTAGAAACTGAGTTTGAGCGGGTAGCATCATGTGGCATAAGTAGCTAACTCATTTCTAATGATATTTTTTATATTAACCAGGCAAACCAGTGAAAGAGAGCTCTAATGTGGAGATAGAGGGCACACACAATCTGGCTATGCTGACCGTAAAGAAAGCGACCAGGGCAGATGCAGGACTCTACAATCTCACCCTCACTAATGACAACGGAGTTACTGATGTCCAGATCATTACCAATGTACTTGGTGAGTTGTTTTCTCCTTTTAGTTTGACTATTCAGTTTGACATTTCAGATCTTTGGCCACCAATGCTTACATAATGTTGTGTTTGGTTATGACTTTTGTGAATTGTTTTATGAAAATATCATAATTTTTAGACGTTCCCGGGGCACCCGAGGAACCTTTGGTCTACAAGTCTATCAGTACTAGTGAAATCACTTTGGGTTGGGAAGAACCTCTGGACTATGGTGGATACTCCGATATCTCATATGTCGTGGAGCGCAAACAGACCCGAGGTAACGAAGACTGGACCGAACTGGCTAGTGCCAGCTACAAACGAACCTACAAATCAATGCGACTCACGGAAAACAAAGAGTACCAATTCAGAATCTGGGCTGAAAACGACTGTGGACGCTCCAAGGAACCCCTTGTCGGCAAACCAGTGGTCGCTAAGAACCAGTTTACTGTTCCAGGACAACCTACAAACTTATGTCCTGACGATATAACCAAAAACTCAATATCTCTTGTCTGGAACGCCCCAAGATCCGACGGTGGGCGACCAATTACCAGCTATGTTGTTGAGAAACAAGGTCACGATAGTACAAGATGGTCTAAGTGTTCTAGATCAAACATTCTTGCTACTAAGTGCGTCATCGATAATTTAATGGAAGGCGAATCGTATAAGTTCCGAGTTTACGCTGTCAACGACGCAGGACCGGGTGAACCTTGTCAGGCACCCAAAGCGTATCGCATTAAGCCAATGCGAGCTAAGCCGACTATCGATTTGAGCGGAAAGTTGAACCAAGTGCACGTCAAAGTAGGGGAGAGGATCTACGTTAATCTACTTTATGAAGCTTCGCCTTTACCAACAGTCGATTGGAAGAAGAACGGAGAACTGGTTGAAAAGAGTTCTCGAGTTGATATTCTCGAAGAAGAATACAGAACGCGTCTTGCAATTGAAGATGCAGCTCGGTCTGACTCTGGTCTTTACGAAGTGCTTTTGGCTAATGAGTTCGGTCAAGAAACTTATCGGGCAAATGTGGTAGTTATGGACACACCGTCTCAGCCTCGAGGACCTTTAGAAGTTTCTGAGATCACCAACGAATCTGTTGTTCTGAACTGGAAAGTTCCAGAGGATAATGGTGGAAGTGAAATTACAAGTTATATAATAGAGAGGCAAGATTTGGACAAGCGAATGTGGGCCAAAGCTGGAACCGTGGTCAATAAGACTACGTTCCAGGCGAATAAATTGATTGATAATCACCGATATATGTTCAGAGTGTTCGCTGAAAATGCCTGTGGACTCAGCAAACCTCTTGAAGGAGAACCGGTTGAAGCTAAGAATCCTTATGACGCTCCTGGATCGCCTCATAACCTCTCCATCTATGACATGACTCCATCGAGCTTGAACTTGAAATGGGAAAAGCCGCGAAGTGATGGAGGAAACAAGATCAACGGGTACATTGTGGAATACAGAGAAGTCAACTCTGCTCGCTGGATCAGAGCATGCAGAGCTCTCATTGGCGACACTCAGTTCACAGTTAATGATTTGCTTGAGGGCGAGTCCTATGAGTTCAGAGTGTCGGCGGAGAACTTTGCGGGCGCCGGAACTCCCTGCGAGGCCACAGAACCGGTATTGATGCGATCTCCATACGGTGAGTTTTATCGTATTAGAGCGCCCCTTGAGATGATCAAGTTTGTTTTTGTTCAATATATCAGGCAAAAAAAAATCCGAATTGAAATTGGTGAAGCAAAATTTGGGCGTAGGTTTCAAGTTTTCTGAACTGTCAGTTGTAAAATCTTGGTGATAAAGAAACTTTAGCTCTCCATGTAACAATAGAAGTCAAAAGTTATTTCTCTATCAACTAAAAAAATCAGTTTTTTTCCTATCAGATCTACCTGGTGCCCCTGGAGCTGTGCGTTTGGTGGATGTCAGTCCAGTTAGTGTCAGTCTAGCATGGAGTGAGCCTATGTTCGACGGTGGAACCCCCGTCCTCGGATACCACGTGGAGTGCAAACAAGCAGGTACGCTCACAGAGCTTTTTTAAAACAGTATAACTTGGTATGTGAGATTGACAAATCAGAGGGATTTGACAGAAAACGTGTGAGTGGTCTATTATCGCTTCTCTCCGTGAAATGATCGTAATTCAATTTTTCGACCCGTTAATTAACTGAAATTTTTGGACAATTTATTGATTTTCATTCAAATTCATTGCTCATGAAAACGAACAAAATTATGCGATACGTCAAGTTTCCGTTGTGTACATCACGTTACTGTATTTAGGCACATCAAAATGGACCCGATTGACCTCTTCTAGCATGACAACCGTCAACTCCTTGAACACCTCCAACATAATCGGAGGCCACGAGTTTGTGTTCCGAGCATATGCTACCAACAGGGCAGGCAGTGGACCCTACAGTGAACTCACAGACCCCATCATGATCAAAGAGCAGAGTGTGCAGAAAGCACCTGTGGTGACGTCATTCTTGGGAGATATGACTGGAAAACTGGGTGACCAGATGTCAATTGTCGTGGAGTACTCGTCAGCTACGAAGGCTGACGTTAAATGGTCAGTTTGATCTTTTTGAAGCCCACTTTAAACTACGATTTTGAATAGCACTTTTGGTGTTTTGAAAACATGTGCAAGATCAAATCGCTCTTCTTGATTAATTTCAATTTACAAAGGCATATTTGTAATTCCTTTGTTCTGCTTCAAAGCGCAACAGCTGTTTTCAATTTTTAAGAGATAGATCAAAGATGCTTGACCGTTGCGAATGTTTCAGGATCAAGGATGGAAAACAGATCTACTCCGGCCGCAGAGCCGAGATCAGAGAAGACGTCGGCAAAACCAGTCTCGAGTTCCTCTCTCTCGCCGAGATCGACGAAGCTACCTACACTTGTGAAATTTCGAATGCAGCCGGTCGTGCCAAAACCGAAGGGACTGTTCACGTGTTGGTTGAGCCGACAGTCGAGGTGGACGCCAGGAAGTCGAAGATGGTGGTTCGAGAGGGAGACAGCTTCAAGATCAGAATGAGCTTCAGTGGATTACCGAAGCCGAAGTTGACTTGGTTGTTGAACAACCAGCCATGCGTGGATGAAGAAATGTGAGAAGCTTTTTTTAACTGCTTCATAACCTTACTGAAAAAGAAAATAACACAAAAGTTGGCTCGGTGACCAAAAGACTTGTCTCACCAGATATTATTTTTGACGGTTCCCTCTGGTACCTAATGGTACCCTCTCATTACACCACTCGAAACATTGCATCGGACAGTGAGATCTACCGAAAATTCGATTGATTAGAAGCTTTTTAATTAGAGTAATTTTGATTAGAATCTTTTTAAATAGAGTATTTTTGTTTTTTGACGTAGGTTCTTCGACTCTGTGCAAGAGGGTCTAGCTATTCTTTTTGTCAAGAACATTAACAAGAGGGCAGAAGGAACGTACCAATTGAGGGCCAAAAATGAAGCTGGAACTTCATCCGCACAAGTACAGGTCACTGTACACTGTAAGTAGAAAACATTGATCTTCAATTTTTCATAGGTTGAAAGTAGTTACATGAATAATTCGATAATCAAACTGAACTTGACGTTGCTGTATCACACGTTGATTGCAATTTTGTAAACGAGTATCCTGGATAGTCTTTCTAATTTTTAAACTGTGAAATAGATTGGATATAACGCATTTTTTTTTACAGCAAAACCTCCAGCGCCGACTGGACCTGTCATGATATCCGACATCGAAGCCACTTCCTGCCGAATGTCTTGGAAGGCCAGCAAGAATAACTCGGGCGTTCCTCTGATTGGATACACAATCGAGAAACGAGAATTGGGTCTGTCCAAAATGTGGAGCCGAGTTTGCAGTCAGGTATCCGAGACTGCATTTTTGATTGAGAATCTACGAACTGGCGTCGAATACGAGTTCAGAATCTTTGCTGAGAACGAAATCGGACTTGGCGATCCTTTGATTGTCAGCGAGACTGTTGTCGCCAAACCGCCGTTTGACCCGCCGAGTGCTCCTATGATGCCTGAGATTAGCAACATTACCCCGTCTAGCGTCGATGTAACCTGGAAAGCGCCTTCGAGCGATGGAGGAAGCCAAATCACTGGCTATGTCGTGGAGAAACGAGAAGGTCCTTTTGCGAGGTGGACGGTCGCTAAACAGGCGAACCATATGGAAAATTGGTGTGTGATCAGTAACTTGGTCGAGAACCAAGAGTATGAGTTCCGAGTGATTGCCGAGAACAAATCGGGTCTGGGGAAGCCGAGTCCCCCAGTTGAGGGTGTGATCCCGAGAGATACGGAAGTGTGGGAGATACCTGTGGTTGAGGATACTATTCGACCTGTGAGTGCTCAGGAGAATCACAATGCTACTTTCACTTGCAATATTGCAAACTGCGCAGAAGTGAAATGGTAAGTGACCTAAATTTGTAAAATTCTAATTGGACATAATAAAAATTGACTAGCTTAATTATTTCCCAAAAAGAGTATGATGCCAACTAAAATTCACGTCAGAATTTTGAATTGAATTGTGTTTTTTTTTCAGGTTTAAGGGCAACCGACCTCTTACTTCCAGTGAGAAATACAGGATGAGCAGTGATGGATCCAGACACACCCTGGTCATCAAGAGTGTCTTCGGGGAGGATGAAGACGACTACTCGTGTCAAGGGAAGAACAAGAGTGGTTCAGTTTCATCCACAGCCAGGCTTGTCATCAACTGTGAGAAACTAACTGTTGCTTCGTTTTTTTTTTCTAATTTTTTTACGTTTCGCCAGTACTTGCTGATATTTTCATCGTTACGGCTAAGTTTTAATGGATTTAAACTGAAATTTACGCTAAGAAATATATTTTTACATTTATGCACATTTTGAGAGCCTTCAGAATATTATTGAAGATGGTTTTTTGTTTCTCTTTTCTCATTGAGGCGTGTCTTGGTTTGTGATTTAACTTACCGAATTTGTTTTCAGTGGCGCCCAAGATTAAACTGCCCAACCGACTTCTGACCGCCAATGTCTTCACAAGGAACGACAGACTTAACCTCAAGATCCCCATCGTCGGCAACCCCAGACCTACACTGTCCGTCATCCGAAATGACGTCACCCTATCCTCCAGTGGCAATGTGTACTTTGACGTGGACAGCAGGTGTGCCCTGTTGGAGATCAATCACTTGACAAAGAAGGATGCGGGAGTTTATCTTCTTAAGGCGGAGAATAATTTGGGATCAGATAGTGCGCAGTTCACTATTGAAGTCAGTGGTAGGTTTCCGAGACTGCCGAAACATCCTTACTTGCGATTTGCGAGTTATTTTGCCGAGAGTTGTGATTCGATCGGTGTAAAATTCTGATTCATAACACATCTCATTTTTTTTTATTTCGTATGATTGATCTACGAAATGAATAATTCGTTTGTTTGGCACAAATCAGCGTATTGTATTATTTTAAGTCTAATTTTTCCCCCAAAGTGGCCATAATTGATGGTATATTTTTCTGTTTGCAGATCGACCCGAACCAGTGACGGACCTTAAAGTAGCCAACATAGCTGCCCAGTCTGTGGACCTCACTTGGACTATGCCTCGAGACGACGGAGGCAGTCCCATCTCCTCTTACATTGTCGAGAAGCGAGAGGAGAGCATGTCCAACTGGATCCGAGTGGCCAACTCGCATGTGTGTGCGGCTTCTATCGGCTATCTCAGTCCCAATATGCAATACAGGTAAATCACTTTGCAAATAACTTTCGTCAGAACATTGAGGTTTTCTTGAAAAAACTAGGATCACGCCTTTCGCAGTGAATTTTGGTTTATTGCGTTTGACATCTGAAAACGAATTAATGAATACCTTTTTTGTAGTTAAGGTTAGATATGCTGCAAATTATCGTTATTACGCGCTGTTCTTGTCAGCCCATCTATAGCTGATTATCTTCTTCCCTGTTAGGTTCCGAGTGTCGGCTGAGAATGTGTTTGGAGCGAGTGACCCCTGCGAACTGTCCCACTCTGTCACTACTCACAAAGAGGTAGACAGAGACAGAGAGCTGGAGATGACGGAGGCTAAAAAGAGGAGGCAGAAACTGCTCGATGGTATGTATCAAGAATCATGTCTTTGTTTGAAGATTTATCATGTCTGTATTTGAATTTTTGGCACCAGGAAAATAGATTGGAATTGAGGATACCAATAAAGCAGCTGGGAGTTGTAATTGTGTGTTTTGACAGCAACGAGTGATTTCAGATCAATAATTTGTTGACTTGATTAGGTGAAGTGATCCCTAAAAGTTGGATTGAAAGTTGGTATGTGAATTTTGTTTGTGTGGAAATACAATGGTTTGTTTTCCGGCCTATGAGGCGTACGTGGAATTTGGACCGTTTAGGTTATGCTACTTACGTAATCCAAATCAAAATTTTACTGGGTTAAGAATAATGCAAAAACAAATTATCCGGGAAATAAAAGAAACAAAACTAAATGAAGTAGATTAGTGTCCATGTTAGGGAGACGGGGTATAATTGATTTTTTGCACATGTTGTAGACTCTCTCAACCGAAAATACATCCCGAAGAGCAGCCTCATGTTGAAACAGCGTCGCTTCGGAGACCTCTACGAACTGAAGGAGGAAATTGGGCGAGGTGCTTTCGGTGTCGTGCACAGGTGTGTGGAGAAGTCTTCAAGACGCCACTTTGCAGCTAAGTTTGTGGAAGTTGGCAACAGCGAGGAAGAGATGAGTGTGATGAAGGAGATTGAGATCATGAAGGAGTGCACACATGCGAAGTTGCTGCAGTTGCAGGACGCATTCCAGACAGATACTGAGATCATCATGGTCATGGAGTTGTAAGTCTTCTTCGGTAGTTCACCCCCTTCCACCATTGCAAATCTAGTAGAACACCTTAAGGCAGAGAACAGTATACTAACTTTCCTTTCTTTTCAACCAATTTATGGAAATCTGAATTCCGCGGGTACCTATGTAAGTCTTTGAACCTACGATACCACCACTATAGCTTTCACGATAGAGAAATTATAATTTAAATCCAGCAGTAATTCTGGTTTCATGGTATTTATGGTCTTACTTTTTCCGGAACAATAGACTTCAAATAAATTATTCAATTCATTTTTTTTGCTGAGCAAGTTTTAAGAAGTAACGCCGGGTGATTACTGCCACGTGTAGGGTTCTTTTACGCATCCTTAGACTACTATTTGTCTTTGTATTTATTGTAGAGACTGTTTATGATTCTCATATTGATTTTTTTGTTCAGTTTGTCTGGCGGTGAGGTGTTTGAGAAGATCATAGACGACAGCTACGAGTTGACAGAGAAAGAGGTGATCGGATACATCCAGCAGGTCTGTCAGGGACTCAAGTTCATGCACAACAAGTCCATCATTCATCTTGACATCAAGGTAAACATACTCTAACTGTTTCGTTTGGAAAATAAGTTCAAAGTGACGGAAATACAAAAACACTAGTTGTTCAGCTCTTTATGAAAAAAAACTCTTTATGAAAAAAAAAGAAAAGCAACAGCATAAATTTTTAAATCACTAGTTTGGAAGCTTATCAAGAATCAAAGATGTTTGACGACGTTTTTCTAATCTATTTGTGTTTCTAATTATTGATTATTCGGTTGATTGGAATATTAACTTTGACCCTACTTTTGTTTTAGCCCGAGAACATGATGTTCGTGATTCCGGAGGCCACTGACGTCAAGTTGATTGACTTCGGCCTCGCCACTCGGCTGGACCCGAATGACAAGGTCAAAGTCATGTTCGGGACCCCTGAGTTCGTGAGTCCGGAGGTGGTGTTGGGTGAACCTGTTGGCTTCCACTCGGACATGTGGTCTGTGGGAGTGCTCACTTACACACTGTGAGTAGAAATTCAGACAACAGTGGATCGTAATTGTGGCGTAATAAAAACGTATGGTGACGTAATTGATCAGATGAGCGATTTGACAGAGTCTGCAGATTTATATTGTTTCGAGCGGTAAAATAAATATCTGCAATCAGTGACATGCATGATGGGATCAACCGTACAATCTCTCCCCACCCTAAAAGACCTACCGTAGAATGTACTCCCCAAGCATGTATTAGTTGTTCTGAAATTTAATTTACGCATGAAACAAGCGCGCAGAAAATATACGACTCGAGAAAATATACGACTCTAGAAAATTTTTATATGGAACAGCTATTTTAGACTGTTAAAAACCTAAAAAATTAATAATAATTTTGTATCGATTACATTTTTTGATCGGTTAGATCAATTTATTTTGCCCTTTGTTAATTTCTGAAAAACCGGGGGGGGGGGGGGTGGGGGAGATTATACAATTGATCCGCATGATGAAAAATGATAAAAATCTGTTAAGTTACGAAAATTCAAGGAAGTCGCCCATCAAATGACGCTAAAGTGTTAAGCATAACAAGCAGTTCAGCCCATCCTGGTCATTTCGGAGACTGAAAATCATAAGATTAATTCTGAGTTTGTTCAGCTTGACTGGTCTGTCTCCTTTCATGGGCAACAACGACAAAGAGACTCTTCACAACATTGCCAAGTGCAACTGGGACTTCAATGACCCCTCTTTCGACCACATCAGTCAAGACGCTAAGAACTTCATCACTCTCCTCCTGAAGAAAGACGTGTCTCAGAGACTCACAGTGGACGAAGCACTGGACCACCCCTGGCTGAACCAGAGCACGATCCGGATGCCACAAGACTACAGACTGGCTACTAATAAACATAGAATATTCTGGAACAACAGACCTCTCAGGGTCAGTGTACTCGCAGTTCGCTATATGAATTTGTAACCACAAACATTTTTTTCTAGATTGGTAACCTATTTCTGGAAGGATCATTTTAACGCATTACAGATTTTTGTACAGCCATACTTCAGTGTTACAAAACTTAGGTCAAATTTTCGGAATTGTTTTGAATTTGGTTACTCAATCACATTGATGGCTTAGTATTAAAACAAATACGAATAGGTTTTGTTGGCAAGCAGGAACGATTGATTTTGGATTTGAAGGGAGGAGATGGAAATCTCGTCCCCGAATGGGCTCCCCAAAATTTTCTGCCTCTGTTGACAAAACTAGCTATAAATGGCACAGAATAAAATAGAAAGTGACACCAAAATGGGCTTTTGTAGGCCTGCACTGCAAGGTTTTTATTGTATGCCAACTATACTTTCAAATGATTTTAAGTTCTGTGTCCAATTGACCTTTTTTCTCCACACCTGAACTTGATCCAGACATCTCAATAAGACAGTTTGTACTTTACCTTTCAAAATTGAAAATTTAGTTCTGTTTTTATAATCCTATGTTACTATGTTTTATCTTCACCTGAAACATGCATCTATTTTCCCACGAATGGTACCTCATAATGTTGATCTTTATTTTTCATAATAGACATCCTGAACAAACATTTTGCAAATTTGCACGGGTTACAGGAATAATTACCGGTCACAAAAAATCGCGTTGCCCCTAAAACAATGATTACCCCAAAATGAAGGTGTTGATTTTTCAAGGTGTTGGTTTATTGAAAGGTGTTTTTTTTAAAGGCGAAAATCACAAAGTTCTAAAGACAAAAACAGACACGTTATCTAAAATCAGCCAGCGAAGCAAATTAGTTCTACTAGTAATTTGACTGCTTGTAACATTAAGAACCGATACTTATATTAACATTTTCGGCACTAAATATCATTACATTCCATTTTTGTCATTAATTAGTTCATATAGCTGGAAAAAAAAATGTTTTTGTTTTCAGGAGATCCGAGATATTCTGGTGGCTATGGGCAAACTGTCGTGGTATGGGTCTCTTAGGAAGGTGAGAGGATACGCTGGGTATTCCTTCCAGGAGAACGAACGAGTGTGCGCCATGGGTAAGCTAAGCTACAAGCTTTCTTCATTTGATTAATATATTTTTTAAGATGTTACTGCAGATAATTGTAATAGCGAGCCTTTTTTCGTATTTTTTTTTATTTTCGATGATTCTGAAAAGATTTTTATGATTATAAGAAATTGGTATACAATTAAACTGTAAAAACAATCAATTAAATTTTATTTTGCAGTGTCCACGTAGGCTGTGCCTTAAGATTGTTGAATTATAATTGATATTTAAGCACCAGCGGGTTTAGGGGGCGGTAGGTGGGCCCCCCCTCAGAGATTCGACCCCCTGTCCACGCAAAGGTCCCCCCTATGTACCATTTTGAGATATCAATTTTTGGCTGAATGACCCTAAAATTCTTCTAAAGGCTCATTATGAGGTGGGAGCGCGTGCCGAAAAAACGCGATTTGTTAGTCACCTGCGGCGTAAAAAATTCAATCGAAATAGGGTCTTTATCTTGATTTGGAAAAGCGCAGAAAATTCCCCCCCTAGAATATCCTAGACCGGCCCCTGATTTTAAGTAAGGGACTTGATGATAAAAAGTTAATTGTGTTGTTGTGGACGTTTAGACTTCCGAGATGCTGCTCCTCGTTTCGTGAGGAAGCCTAAGCAGCAGGATGTGGTCACTGACCAGGCGGCCAGATTCGAGTGCAAGATTGTGGGACTGTCTGTGCCTCTAGTTACATGGTAATAATGTTTATCATAAATTAGACTTTAACCCGTTTTTATCGGGGTTTCGTTTTCTTTTGTTCATAATAATCATTACTAGTTTTTGAATGATTCCCTATGTTGAATGAATCCTCCGCATCTCCTATTGAGCCTTCAGCTCACATTGTGGCCTAAGTGTTTCTTATTTGGAATGTAACCACCCACTGTAAAACAGCCCGAAAATACTTGAGCAACTTGCAATGTAACCACCCACTGTAAAACAGCCCGAAAATACTTGAGCAATTGCTGTTATTTCAACCGATGGCACATGACTGTACCTATGAAAAAACAAAGAAGAATTTTAATAAGTTATTGATCGACCAGTGGCATCTGAAGCTTTCATGGGTCAATCAATCAGACACTTAATTAGTGTCTTATTGCTTCTTTTGCGGTTTGACTTTTGATTTCTATTGAAGATATCTTTTGTAGCGAGACAGGGGAACAACGAGAGGCTTTGAAAATTGTAATTTCACTTTCTTCCTTTTGTAGAATAGATAAGATCGAAACAAACTTCAACATGATATTTTTGTTGATTTTTGTTTTCAAAACAGGCCGAAACTTTTTTAATCTACTATTTTTCCTCTAGTTGTAGATTTTCTCTCATCGAAGACAACAGAAAAAATTCAGGCGAACTAACAAAATTGAAAAACATAAAAATATATATGCTCAAATTATTGCTTATTTTTTATTTGAACTCAGAGAAACATCTAAAAACTTTTGGAAGAATATTGATACAGAAACGGTATAAAAAACGTAAACTATGAAAAAAAGACCTCATGGGATCCACAAGGGAGTTAGGAACTGAAAAATCTGGGAATAATGGAATTATTCATTTTGCAAAACATACACTCGCTGTCGAAAAAATGTCGATGAACTGCAAATTTTGCTTCACAGTTTTAAGGAATTACCACGGGCAATCTGCTTAACTGAGACTTGGTTCAAAAATTACCAAAAAAGCAAATTTTTCTTTCTCGAGGGGGTATAATGGGATTTAAAAAAAGCTGAAGTGGAAAAGAGTTGCGAGGTTGGTATGTATTTTGGGGAAGACCAAAATAACAATTTTATAGGCAAGGTAACGGACAATTTCTAACAATCAAATTTTTAAAGTTGCTCTTAAGACACAAAAACTTCCTACAGTTGTAACTTTAGTACATATTCCACCCCATCAACTAACAAAACCAATATAGAAAGTTGCAGATTCATCTGGACTCTTTAATGCTGACACCAGAATTAAAACACGTAGTATGTGTTAATTTTAATAACAAAATAGTTCGAAATACAAAAAAAAATCTGCTGAACTGACAACCATACTTTCGGGAAATCCTTTTAATTTTGCTTAGCACGAACGCTTCAACGAGAGAAACCAATCAATCAAAATTTTTTGAATGCTTTTACTGTAGTCATGACTGAAATAAAAAATTTTTTTTTAAAAATAAACAGATCACTAGGCAGTCAAATTTACGGTCAGTAGTAAAATCAAAAAGAATGCGGAAACCTACTAGCGTCCAGAAAAAAGCTGAACCTTGAAAATGCAAAACAGAATTTAAAAATTATATTCATGATCAAATAACAAAATTATTTTAAGTTTTTGAGGAAAACGATATTGAAAATTTTTTGGAAGAGCTGCAAAAAATCTCTATAAAAAAATTTACTCCTTTTTACCGGTATACCAAAAAAAAATCAAATTGAATACGCAAACTGTGGATAGGAATCAATTGGAAAATGCTGCCGCTAAGAAAAACCGTTTGAAGCTAGTGTACAATCGTAGTGGCATTTCTGTGGAAAGAACAGAAAATGAATAGTGTAAATTTAAAAAAAAAAATTAATCAAAAGAAAAATAAAATAATACTTCTATACAAAAGTGGAAAAATCAGCGAAAGCTGATTGTAAACAGTTTATTAAGTTTTGAACGAAATTAAGTGCTATAATTTTATACTGTCGGTTGAGACCTCCGAATTGAATTTAGAGCGTTTTAATGATCTATTGCCAACTCTGGAACAACCTTCTGGAATTTTGTAGACTCGAAGATTTAGTCGTTCAGTTATTCCCTGTAGTGTTATCGGTCAATTTTTTGCTGGTGTGTGCGAAGTGCAACTTTGCCTCTATGTTTAGTTTCGAAAACTAACTTTTAAAAAATGTTAATGTGCTATTGCACCAATTTTAACTAAATTGTTTATAGATTGTTTTGATAGTGCCATTTTTCTAGGATGCTGCAAATTGATTTATCCCATTCGATAAAAATGTTGATCAAGCAGATTCTCAAATTTTTGATAAATTTATTTACTACCAGTAGTAACCGCATGATATCATAACCGCATGATATCATACATCAATAAATTTTATCTATTCAACCTAAATCAGTTCATTTTTTGGCGTGTGGAGGAACACTGGCGGCAATCGTGTAACTTATCGGTTTTATCAGACACAATACTTTAAATCTAACAAAACTGACACTACTTACTTCCACAGATTCGAAAAAAGAGTTCGGTACTGTAAATTATTTGCACCTGGTAAATAAAATGCGAGACCTATAAGCTAAGAGGTCCAATTGAGCAAGTATTAGGATTTAATTTCAGTAATAGGAAGCAACATAGAGCCACTAAACATGCAAACTCAAACCTAAGGAAAGTTCGCTTTGTTGATCTTATAGGATCTATTTTTGCAGCACTGCTTTTGATATTCTTTATTTATGATATCAGCTCAAACCAGGAAAACACAAAACCTATACTATACGAAGAAGACACTGTAATCACAATTTTTTCAAATGAAAACCGCGCACGGTGAGAACCAAGCTGCTTTGAACAAAACAGCAGAATGATTGAAGAAAAACAAGCTGTCATTAAACGCAGATGAAACAAAAATCCTAATTTTTAGCAAAACTAATAAAAAATAAATTTCCAAAATGTATTTTTTTTAAATGATCAGCCAAATCAGCGAAAGAAATAGATCAGATATCTCAGAAAACACTTTGATGAATAAATTGATATTCGTGGCAAGAAAGTCACGAAGGTTTGCGAAATTTTTTAATCGTACGAAAGTTTCTCTGGACCAAGCACTTATTAACAAACTGCAAACTTTTCGTGCAACCTATTATAGAGTATGGCATGTTGACTTACGCACCCACAAAAAAGAATTGCAGTTTTTGTAAGAGCACGCAAATACCAATCGATCGAAAATCAAAGATTGAAGAATAAGTTTTTTGCTAAAGAGCTTTTTTTGTATGAATTTGTGAAAACAGAATTCAAAGTTCTCAGATGTGAAAGCCCTGTCCAAACTTTGAAAACGCGTGTTAAGGAAAAGGAAGTCAATAAACTTTCACCGTTATTCGCTTCCCTAGTTCAGCAAGAAGATTACCAACTGGTTTACAAAAAAGTCAAATGAGTAGATTCTTGCTAGACTAAGAAAATTGTTAAAACATCATAATTTATCATTCAAATTATCTCGAGAATAATTGTCCGCGCAGCAAAAGAGTACATTCACTTATAGATTTTTAGACTGTATCTTCTAGATAAGAAGTGCTAAGAAATTTTTTTTGTAAAGTTAAATAAGACCCTAGATTTTTCTTGTGTTTTTTTTCTAGTATAAGTTTTTTTCCTCGTTTTCAGGCGATATCCACTTGCAATGAACTCTAAGTAGTCAAATTTGTAAATTTAAACATTGAGTTTTTCTCTTCAATAGGATCAAAAATAAATTTCCGCTTTGTGACACGGTAGTTCCTATGGTGCTCTCCCGGGCAGCAAAATTGTTGGCGTGGTGTTTAAATTTATATAACTACTTCTAATGTAATTGCTCGAAAGCATTTTATTATGAATATTTTTTATAAGCTCAATTCAAACTCATTTACCAAAAGGAAGGCAAATTACGCTCTCCGATTACGAAATAATGGAAATGTCTCAAAAAAGCGTGATTGACTTTGTTTCGAATGTCATTTACTTCTAATAGATTTCCCTCGGGAAAAAAATTCACCGATTGATCCAATTTTCTCAAATTGGGTTAATTTTTATCAAAAAAGTCAATTATAAAGTATTTTTGAAATATAAGCCGCTTCAAGGCCATCTGTCTTTTTTGGCTATTTTCTGAAATTTAATTGTACAAACAGGGCTATCATATCCAGCATAAGTGTAACTGGAGCCATAGATAGATATGGATAAAGTAGAATTCGATTTCGCAAGTCATACAGCTTCTTCTGATGAAAAATTAATTGAAGTATCCTAACTCGTAGTTATTAGACAACCTGTTAATTTAAAAAGTTGTTTGAAAAAATGCACATTGTTATCCTCCTGAATTTTGTCAGAATTTGGTCGTAACAAACTAATCAGAGTGTATTAGCTATCTCAGACTTAAGAGAAATAGGTTGGTTTTTTGGTTTTTTGATGAATTAACATGTGATTTCCAGGCACCACAGACATCAGGAGTTGCGCCAGGGACTGAAACACAGGATCATCTACAATGGGAATTATTATGGCCTGGTCATCACCCACTGTGGCATGCAGGATGAGGGAGAGTACATCTGCCATGCACAGAACAGCTACGGCGAGAGGATGGCAGTCGCCACGGTCAAGGTCACACTCGCAAGTGAGTATGCCTCAATCAAGTGTATAATGACTGAACTATTTAAAGTTTATAAAATATTTAATTGTTCAGACCAATAAAAATGAGAAGGAACTTTGTCAGGGGCGGATTTAGGGGGGGGGTTGTTTGCCTCCCCCTCAGGGATTCGACCCCCTGCCGACCCAAAGGGTCCCCCCTTTGGTACTTTTAAGAAATTCAGTTTTGGCCGACCAACCCTAAAATTTTTCTAAAGGCGCCTTCGGCGCCAATATATACTAAATTTAAGGGGGGAGCGCGCGCCAAAAAAATGCAATTTTTTGGTCAAAATTTTCCAAAAAGTACCTAAAAATGCCTTTTTTGGACCTTTTTTCAAAATTTTGCCTGCGGCGCACAAAATTTAGCCAAAATAGGGACTAAGCAGGCTTACGGAGGAGCTCGAAAAATCAATTCGGTCGATCTAAAAAAAAAAAAGGTCGACAAAATTTTCGAAAATTTTTTGAAAAGCCGCCCCCCCCCCCCCTCGAGAAAATCCTAGATCCGCCCCTGAACTTTGTCTTCGTTTTTTTTAAGTTTTTTTCTTTCAATTTTTTTTTTGTTTTCCCCGCAAAATCAAGTACCACAAATAATTACAAACTCTTGTTTTACAATTTTTTGTTGTCCATTTTGTCAAATTTATAACGAGTGTCGAATATACTTAAGTTTTAGGCTTACGTTCAATCTTTTTTATCAAACTACGCACAAAAAAAACGACATTCAATTGAAAAAAAAAAATTTATTATTTTTTCAAAAATATGTTCAGAACATTCTGTGCTTCTTGCACAGCAATCGGCAATCCTTGTTTTTTTTGCTTTTCGTTCCGAGCACTGAAAATGAGGAAGAACTTAGTGTAACTGTTTGTTTTAGCTTTTTCCCAAGCAAAGTCAGGCATTAAAAATAATCATCAGACTCAAAGTTTTTACTAAATCCGTGAAAACTTTAGTTGTAATCCAAAAAACTAGTTTATACAGCTTCATTTAGCGCTTCCTCGCTAATGAAAAGTTTTTCAAAAACTCAAAACAACATAATCTGCAAAAAATCGATTTTTTTTCTAAATAATTGGAGTCATTTGGAGTCGATTATGCCAAAGTAACTAGCCTCCTAAGTTTTTGTCTAGATCTTCTCATCACAAAACAACAGAAAATCGAGGAAAAAAGTGAACTAATTTACAGTTTATCTAAAATGTGTGTTTGTATTCACAGGTACAGATGGAACTTCAGGATCAAAAGACAGGTAAATTTCAATTCTCTCGTCTCTCGAAAACAATCCTTCATAAGTTTTTACTCTTACCACGTTTGTGGCTAGGAAAGTTGGATGCAAATGTTTTTCAAGCTATAAAAAATCCTGGAGGAGGAGATATGTATATGGGTCAATACCCCGCTCTTCGTTAAAAGAAAAAGGCGATGCAAAGATCTTTTAAAAATGGTGATTAATTGTCTTTTCTTCGCATTGATCAATGTGATCCCAAAGCTTAGGGCAACATGCTCATCACACTATTATATTTGTTGTTCTGAGGGAGTGATTTTTTCCTTTCCAGGAAATTTCGATTTTTATTTAGCTATTTTGACGAAAGTTTTATATATCATCTGATCTTTTTTTGCACAAAGTTAGAGGGGTAAAAAAATTGCTAATTCGGAATAACTAAGGCGCGAAATATTTCTAATAGTAGTTCAAGTATTTACAAAATGACCTGAGGTAAGAAGCTTGATCTGAAATAATACTGGCATATAAAACGCTACCGGATGCAAAACTTTTTCATCGACATAAATTGACCATTTAGCTGGCTTGATTTAAAGTCGGAATAGCTTTTTTGCTGGGTAATAATTCATGTTAGACTTTCAGCATCATAGGTACAGTCTTCAAAAAATTAAACGAGCTGCTTGCGTAGGTTCAAAGCGATTAAGGGCAGTACGCAACATCGTTTCTTGGAAACGCGTAGATTCCAATTTGGATACCCACTCAACAACTTTTCTTCAGAAATTGATCTGAATAAAAACAACCACCCCAAGCATATAGACTGTTCATTTTCTTCGAAAGTCGGAACAATAATGAATGGATTGATTGCGACAGTTCTTTGTAATTTTTGTTTTAAATAGATTTTTTTTACAGAGGTGGTAGAATAGGCGGTAAGTGCGAAGACCCCAAAACAAGTGAAAGGGAATTGATAATATACTTAAACCTGATTTAACGCCATTCTTTGTTCATTCAGTGATTTAATTGCCGATAGAGTTTTGGAAACTAGAGAACGTCTTTATAGAAAATCAAAGATTAATCTCAAACTAAACAAAGCTCACACTAATCGCAGTTTATGTCCCCTGAATTTTGGCCCTGATTTTAATAACAATATTAAATATCCTGATTACAAAATGAAGAGATTTGATAAGCTTCTACTAATAATGAATTCGATAAAAAGCATGTTTCAGCTAAAAAAAAAGAAACCAACAAATGATGAGTTGATAATTTCTATCTTCGATTCCAACCAATTTCAATTTATTTTATCTTGTGTAGACTTCCAAAAGCCGTCGTTCTTAAACCAGATCAAGGACAAAGACGTGGTGGCCGGTTCGACTGCTCTGTTCGAACTGAAGATCCAGGGCAATCCGTTCCCGGAGGTGTGCTGGATGCACAACAACGTGCAACTGTCTCAAGGGGGGAGAGTGCAAATGAGTTCTACTGAGGCGTCCGCGTCTTCCCTTCAGGAGGGGGGCGGGGGCGAAGTGTTGCTGAGGATAAGTCCCGTGCTGGACACCGATGCGGGAAGCTATGCATGCATTTTAAATAGCCCCGCCGGTCAATCTAGAAGTACAGCCTGCCAGTTGAGGGTTCAACCCAGGGATTGTCCAGACTTAAACGGGTTCTTGATGACGCGCTCTCCACCTGAGGTCAGATCTCTATTGCAGCTCATAACATTTTGGACTATTCGATTCACAGAACCCATCTAAAAGTCATTAGCCAAGTAGTCAGATGCTTTGTTTTCAGCTGCAATATTAAAATGTATTCTCTCTGAAATTTTAATTTTAAAATTAAATGAGATTTTTGGGGAAGTTTTTGGAGAAAAACTAACATGAAGATATTGCCTATTTATTGACAAGTGACTGCAAACCCAATATTGACTCATATATCTCCTGTGGTTTAATTTTTTTAACCAATCTATTCGTTTTTGCAGGTAGTTGTTGCTTGTTCCGACCTGGAGCTAACAGAAGGAGCTCCCGCCTTGTTCACGGCCGTGTTCGAGGGCAACCCAGGAGTGACAGTGCACTGGGAGTTCAACGGACTCCTGATCAAGGAGGACTCCGAGGGACTGCACATGACCTTCGATGGCAGACAGGCCCAGCTGAGTATCCCGGACACTATGGTGGAGGACGAGGGAACCTACAGCTGTTATGCCACCAACGCACTCGGCCAAGTGGTCACATCTGCTAGACTCTTCATAAATGGTAAGTGTTTTTCGACACAATTTTGATTGGTAACATTTAGAACTGTCAACTTAATGCTGATCGTTTGCATGATGAATTTTGGCCAATCAATTTTATGTTTCATTTAAGCGACCTTATCAACCTATTTATTCATTGGTACTCCAATATTAATTTAAAAGGGCCGTACTAATAAACCTCTGAATGACACTTTTTCTCGTGATTTGTGACCAAGTCGACTAATTCTGATCCCTGTTGAAACGACGCGTCAAATGAGTTCGTATCTGTCAAATTGTATAAAGGAGCAAAGATCAAGTGCAGTTCAGTAGTTTGCAGACCAGAGATCAGAACGTGTTTGAAAAATTACGGTTGTAAAAAGTAATCATCCGCACTGATTTATTAGAAAGACAGTCTAAGAGTTATCATTTTGAGTCAAGTGAAAATGAACTTGAAGTGAACGTTTTCTTTTGTTTCAGAGATATCACAGGAGTGAAGATATGGCGCCATTAGACAATCGACTCATGGAGTGATTTGTGCTTTTTAGCTTTGATAATAATAAGATAATCAATCAACTACAATTTTAGCAATACTCTCAGTTGTGTAAATAGCTTACTGAGAGGAAAGAAATGTTTTCTCTTACTCAAACCAACCTTACAGCTTACCATATTATGCTTTGCTTTCTCATTAAGTTTGGACTTTGATTATTAATGATTTATTAATCCGAATAGAACCTACATGCTTTTATTGGGAGAAAACTGAAAATGCATAGCACTTGCTCCTCTACAAAAGGGAGTCAGCCCAAAAAGAACTGAATTGAATCTACATTCAGCAAAACAACTGTAAATAATTCAAAAAGTAATAACAATCTGTTTTTATTAGTCGCAGTGAGTTCAGGTCTTATATATAATATGAACGAAAATCCATCCGCGTTTTTGCAAAAATATTTAAGAAATCTTTCAGAGGATTCAAAAGAGAGCTGGTCAACCTGGTTAAAGCTTTAACTTTACGAGATCACAGTAATAATCAAAGTTATGTCGACAAAGCCACTGAGACCTGATACTTTGACCGCGTTTTCTCGAATAAGGTTGACTTCAGACAAAAAGAGATAGAACTATTCCAGAATTTTCATGGCAATTTTGATTTTGCAAAACTCGGGACTCTATTTTACCCCAAAAATTGGCAATTTTGGGTCGATATCGTTGATTTTAGCATGCAAAAAACTACTGGTTGGACTGAATAAAGTATTTTAAATAGAGATTCGTTAGGTAAACTGAGTTCAGAAAGAAAAATTTCTGAAAAACCACAATTTTCATTGATGAGACTTTAAAGCTAAAATGGGTATTGTGTACAGTAAAAATGGTCTTTTCAAAATATTTTATCTACTTGGGGAAAGAATGAATACGAGTTGCTCGGCTCAAGCGCCGTTACGCCCTCAGTTATGAACTGAATGCATTTCTTGGTTATTTGAAAATGAGTAAATACTGTTCAGGTTTATAAAAGAGTACTTTTCGAAAACTCAAGATCTTAGAAGCCAGAAATTGACAGTATTTTCTGTTGACCTACATGCTTTTTTGGAATTTTGTTTGAAGTGGAGAATGAAGTCCGAACCCTCAGAGCAACAAGCTCTGCAGATGTGGCGACTTTTCCCGAGCCCAGTAACAGCATGATTACACCTTGGGGTATTAAACCGGACAGCTCGTGTTAGGTTCTTTTCTGATGTAGATAAGCGTTTCCTCGTGGATTGAAGCAGTCATTTGGATTCATTTTGAGCCGTTTTAATAGCACTGCAGTTATTGAAGGTATTGGCTATAAAAATTTTATTTAACCCAATTTAGCAGTAGATGATACTCTTTCAAATTTATTCGGCAAGGAATTCGACCAAAAATGAGCGACGCAATTGGTATCATAATAACTTCCCTGAATAATTTTTTAATGCTCGGAGCAGTTTCGCTGTAATCACGTTATGCCTAAAAAGGCTCTAATGTGAGAAACTACAGTTCTTTTATCAGGTTTCCTTGTTTCACTGATGAGTCAGCGCTGGTCATCCAATAAAATGTTTTTTTTTTCCAGTATATTATTGCCTCTTATTTCTTTTTTTTAAGCCAGCGGCAATAAGACTTGAAAATGAATGTTTTGGTCCTTACTGAAATCAAATCCCCCACCCTGGATGTTCAGAGCCTGTCTTCGCATCTTTGCCATGTATTCGTAAATTTATCGAAGTTTTTCTGGAATTTTTATTTTGTAAGCCAATGTTTGCAAAGTGCTTTTTGTTCCGACTTTCGATACGAAAGTAACGGAATATTTGTGCTCGGGGTGGGTTTTTTTTTCTTCAGACAAATTTCGACTTTAAAACTAGCCATTTTTGACGGAATTTTTTATATCATTCGAAAGCTATTGTTGTCTTGAGCTCAAATTTGAAAAAAATTTTCACCTATGATCTTTTTTTGTAAAGTTATGGGGGTTTAAAGATTGCTATTTTGGCCAATTTGGGACAATTAACGCGCAATATATTTCGCGCTATTAACGCGTAAGCGGGGAGTTAGTCCGTCTTTGAAATCGTCCAAATTGGTTAAAAGAAGCTTATTTGCCAGAATTGATTTGTTACAAGCAACGAAATCTATCCTTTTGTACTTTATATGGCGTGTGGGGGATGATTTTCATAAAAAATTTTAAATTTTAGTAAAAGAATTTTTTCTTTTGTTTTGTTTCATTTAATTTTTTGAGGTTATTACTGCTCCATAAAACCTTAAAAGGCAGTCGGAACTTTCAGGGCTTCGCCCTGGTACGAGCAGTCTTGTTGTTCCGAATTTCGATACGAAAGTAACGGAATATTTGTGCTCGGGTGGGTTTTTTTTTTCTTCAGACAAATTTCGACTTTTTAACTAGCCATTTTTGACGGAATTTTTTTTTATCATTCGAAAGGTATTGTTGTCCTGAGCTTAAATTTGAAAAGATATTTCACCTGTGATCATTTTTCGTAAAGTTATGGGGGTTTAAAGATTGCCATTTTGGCCAATTTGGGACAATTAACGCGCGATATATTTCGCGCTATTAACGCGTAAGCGGAGAGTTAATCCGTCTTAGAAATCGTTCCAAATTGGTTTAACGAAGCTTATTTGCCATAATTGATTTGTTACAAGTAGCGAAATCTATCCTTTTGTACTCTATATGGCGTGTGGGGGGATGATTTAAAAAAAAGATTAAAAATTTTTGAAAAAAAAATTTTCATTTTGTTTTAATACTTTTAATTTTCTAATGATATTACTGCTCCATAAACCATAATGGGCAGTCGGAACATTCAGGGCTTCGCCCTGATACGAGCAGTCTTGTTCTTCTTTGTGACTAAAAGTCAGCGCGTTCGAAGTGCAGACTCTGTGCTGAAAATGTGTTATTGTCTTCTGCAAGCTACAAAGAAATAGCATCTAAAAATCTGTCTAAAGTTTTTAAAAAAGTATGATTGTGTTGAAGTCAGATTTAGAATATGTTTTCTGTTTTTCTCAGACCACACTACGGACGAAAATACACTGAAATCCACACTAATTGCAGCGCAAGGCAGTGAAATATTATGAAGAAATACCGTTTTGCTATTTAAATCGCAGAAAAATACGTCATCATGGTTTTTGAGGCCACAATTTGCGACAGGCATCGATTTATTAGAAGCGACCATTCATATTTTGAAGTGCAAAAACTCGTAACCAATGAAAATTCTCAGGTAAACAGCGATAAGGCGCATAATGGACTAAAAATATTCCAAAGTAATTGTTCGAAAACTGCAACGATTCTCGGGTTACAAATTCTGGCTTAATAAGAATCGGTGCAGAAACAAAACAGTCCCATACAAATCAGTCCAAAAATCAAGACAACCAATAATAATCAATTCGATACAAAACAGTTTTAGTCAGTTTTAAGCGGTCAATGAATATTAGGCGGTAATTTTTGAGGTAATTTTTGTGTAGATTCCTATTTTCTGTAGGTAAGCTCGCAACATGGCGCGACCGGTGCGGCCAATATTTTGTTTTAAATGTTGTATGAACATGGAAAATTATCCGCCTACCTCCTTTTAGAAACTTTTTTCACATGGGACAGTTTTCTGTATCAGACGGTTTTATTGTTCATTTTCATGCATTTTCAGACTGTTTTGTAGGTGCTGTTCTCTGCGAAACTCACACCTAAATCAAAAACTTGCCTGAGGAAAAAACTACGATTTTACTTCAGACTTTCGAGGAAAAAAGAATATTATGCTTGTGCCATTTAATATTCAGTCATTTTTCGATAATCGATCATTTTTGGGATAATTGAAAGCGGCGGATAAATGGGTTTCCAAATTGAATTATGGCCAGAAATTAAGTCTGTTTAAAACAATACGAGACGCTAAATACACTTTTTGTATTTTACAGGTGGGGATGAAATGCAGAAAAAAAAACTATTTTTCTCCGATTATTTTGTCAGTTATTCAACCAAATTTTTTTAATTGGCCTTAAAGTAAAGTTGGATATTCAGGGCTTTGCCTTGATATACGAGCAGTTTTTTTGCCCTAATGAATGATGGCTTGTTGAGAATTGCCGCGAAACGATTATTAACATATGAGAATTGCCGCGGAACGATAATTAATGTAACATCTCAAAATATCTCTAAGATTTTTCTGAGGTGAAGCTAATTGCCAGAAAAAGTAATTTTCATAAAAATTTGTTTTCAAATGGCTAACTGGTATGTACAATAAACTAATTTATCTAGCCAAACTTATACGTGCAAGTGACAAAATGTGCCAACACCAAGTCAACCACCTCCATCTTTAGCAGAAATGGTGAGCTCTCAAAAATCTAATCTTATGATTTCACCGCTCGCTAAGAGTTCGGGTTGAAATGCTCGTTGAAATGCTTTGCGATGCATTTATTTATTTCAAATTAGGGTCTTGTAAGGGTATTTGACCCGTAAAAATAGGAATGCAGCCATTGCGAAACTTTTTAAAACTTAGTGACTGATATGAGCGTTTGATATTTTCGTTATTTCTTACTTCTGTCCATGGTTCTCTGCAGCATAAGGGGGTCATAAGTTTTAACGACTTCCAGGTTAAACCGGTCAACCCTAAAATTTTTCAAAAGCGCTTTTGCCCTAGTTTATGATTTTCTTTTGATAATGTACGCTAAAAAACAGTCAAGACATTTCAAAGCGATTTTTGGTTCAATTTCTTAATGTTTTGCCTGCGATGCAATTATTTATTTCAAATTAGGGCCTTCTTTTGGTCGACTTCATCAAACCCCAAGAACCTGAATGAAAAGAACAGCGATATTCACAAGCATTGCGAGGGTTGTAATCAAACTCAAATATAAAGAAGCTTTTCCCAAAGCACTCGTATTCTTAATTAAAACGAATTTAAGTAGATAAATTCAAGAAAGTTTTAATTAAGCAGTAATTCATTCTGTTGTCATTATACATGACAGCCATTTTAGTTGATAAACAAAATGTGGATTGCTGAGGGATATCCCAAGTTTACACAATAAGAAAGTTCATTGTTTTATGTTAATTGCAATCTATTGTTGTTTGAATGTCAACAGAATACTTTGTTTTAGAGGGCAAATTCGATTAAAAAATGTTAGCCAGAATTAGAAAAAAGCGTTAATTGGTTCAACTTGCACTAATTATTTCGCTATTGCTTTTAAAGAGGATGGCAAATTCAGCAGTGGATAAAGTTGATCCCCTGAAGATAATTTTTCTTTATGAAAATTGGCCCCCGGTTAATTATGATGCTATTCTATCATGATTAGACTATCTTTTTAACGCAAATTCCTGATTAATAGACAAAACATAGTTCTCGTAAACGTATTAATTCACGATATGACTGTTTGATAACATTTGAC